CTTCTCCCTTCTGCACTGCCATGGAGGCGGCCCAGATGATCAGTCCGGTTACCGGTTGTCAATAAACCCTAAGAGCTTGGATGTGGAGCATTACGCCCGTTCGAACGTATCCCTATAGAATTCGTCATCGCGATGCTTGACAATTGTGGAAATGGAGCTGGGTCCAAGAGCAAGGGAATTGAGAATCCGGAATGAAGGACTTTGAAGCTGCTGGGAACATGGGGACATGTAGGGTGTTGCGCGGGCGTGATAGAGTTGCATATGCAGTGGTAGGGAGGGTGATGCAGATATCGAGGTGCCCTGTGCAGGGGGACCGCTGACAATCGTTCTTGGGGCTCACCCTGTAAAAAGCGATGAGGACATGCTGTTGAGATCGCTGGACGAGATCAAAGCTCCTTGACACCAACGCTGGCTGGAGAAACTTGCGAGGAAAGGACTATCCCCGCGGAATCCACGTTTTCTTCCTTCTTTTTGTCCGATGCGTGGGTTTCTGGGAAGCCATTCATGCGTAACTGGGCACATCATATCTCAACCCGGGATAATCACAGTGCGGTTCTTGCGTCCAGTCTAGAGAAAAGTTGGACGGATGCGTGGTTACGCTCCGGAACACGCCGGTAGTCAACGGTGAGTGCTGCGGTACCTGTTCTTTCGCGAGCGTCTAGAAAACGTGGAGAAAAGGAAAGTGATGGATTCACAAGGTGAACTAAGTTACACGATACCAACCAGACCGAGAACTTAAGAAGAGACGTAGGTCTGTGTGCATCTGAACTCTCGGGAAAAGTCAAGCGAAAAGTTGAGTTGACTTTTTGAATTTCCCCTCTTCGAGAACATTGCTGTTTTGAGATGCTACGAACCGGACGCCCCGAAAACCAGCCGTTAGCCCACCGGAGGCTCTTGGTGGTATTCGGAATGGACTCGGTGTGCCGGAACGGATGTGGCGCTGGGGTCCGGAGCAGGCTCCGGCTTCTCCCACTCGCCGGTTGCGCCGCCCATCTTCCCGATCTTCCAAGACAAAAGAACAACGCCGCAACCCAGTCGACGTACGTAATCGAGATGAAATACAAACAAACGCATTGAAAACATGATGGCCATGTTCATCATATTTGATTGAAGCTTCATTTCTTCTTCCTTGCGTTCGGACCTCCCCTGATTGCCCGCGTCCGATATCACATTCATCCCACCAGACACGTTTCACGAACCCACGCAGCACAGTGGACATCTTGCTCTTTTCCTCCGCCTCTGACAGACTGGCTCCATCTGCACCGTGTCCGTGCGCTCAAGGATCACAAGATTCAACTTGACTTGTGGCACTTCCCGAGGACGAAGACGACCGTCGGCTTGCACCCTGCCTGCCCCTCTCTGCAGACCTGGACTGGAAATCTGGATGCGGACTGAGGATCACAGCGTCATTTCATCACATCAGAGACGGGCCTTGCAATAATCGTTAGTCTCATATTGACCAGGTGTCAAACTGTAAGCGAAGGGCACCTTGGAGTAAGAAAAGCAACCAACTTTCCCCTCTTTCCCGCCTCGTTCCCGGACATTCGCTTGACAATGCGGGGCGGCGGGCAGCACCTGGCATCATCACAAGCAGCTGAAGTGGACGCGCGGGGGTTCCATTTCTGCAAACCCATCCAAGCTCCAGCTGTCAATGCGGGCAACGAGGGCGCGGCGCGTGGTTTCGGTCCATCGAGAAGCAGAAGCGGTGGAGGGATGGATGGCCTGCCGTTTTTCTTGCATCCTTCCCGCACTGACCCTCACTCCAAAATAGGCCAGGACTCAGAATAACACCCTTGTCCCCTGATGGGGCCCTGTCTGGGTCCTGGTCAATAATTTCTTCGTGTTAAGAACTGGCATCGTGGCTGTCAGGGGTTTGTGATGCGTGCCTCCAGAAGGCGGCTGGGGGTGTAGATAGATGGAACTTCGAGGGACCTGGCAGATGGATAAGCAAGAGATAGCCTGGAACGAGGGGATTCAATTAAAAGAAGGTGAGAAACGTGCTTCGGCGTCGAGACCGGATTGACGCGGTTCGAGTGTTGATTGCTGCAGGCCAGGACACGAACCCCCCACTGTGACGCCCACCGGGCCACAGCTGAATATTGAGATCGTCCAGGAACATTCCCTCAAACTCTCGATTACATGGGAGGGATTTTGCTTGTCTTAACCGATACGCCCTAGTCGGCATCTCAGGGTCCTATCAGCTACCGCTGCACACAATCATGAATTGCTGTAACATCATCAGTCGTGATGGTGCCATGTTGGGCTACTCTAGGATGAAGCAATATTTGCTGTCATGCCTTGTCGAATGCCGTTGATATCCCGCATATGGGCCTAATCTCTGCCCTTGAGTAGACGTACAGATATGCGGTGCAACGTTCGGCCAACAGATCGGAACGTGAGGTGGGCAACAATGGTATTGCTGCATAATTGCTAACTAGGATGCGTTATCACTGTACGGGGACAAGACAGTGTTGCCGCAGCTTTACTTTTCGGCATCGCCCGGTCTAAGACCCAAGCCTCTACAGAAACCTAAAGACGATTTTTCTCGCTATTTGCCGAACATCAGACGGAGGAAGAAAAAGGCCTGGCCTTTCTATCCATCGCTTGCCCGCGGATGACACACATGGTAGGGAGACCACATGGCAACTTGATCATCCGAAGGCGAAGGCGGCTCCTGTCCGTTGAGTTGAGGGGAGAAATCTCCACCCCGCGCCGGGCTGCTGTCGCGAGGGGACTGCTCAGCAGGCTTGCGTTTCAGACCTCGCCGGTGACAACCAATTCGGCGACATGTCCACTCTGGGACTTCTCAAGGGTTTCTGTTTATGCAACTACAGAGTTTGTGAGACGGTGAACATGTTCAAGTGATTGTCCGTTGCCGTGTGCGACAGAACAAATCTGGCGGGCGCTTGGAACAGGTGGACGTTTTGTTACGGTTGTCATTCGCGTTTTGGAGGGTATATCATCTGTCCTCTAAACCTGATAAACGTATCATAAATCTCTTGAAATAGTATCGGGGATTGGAATCATGCATGACACCATGATGTAATAACAACTTAGAGACGCTGTTAACAGTGAGAGGTCCTCGGTAGTTAGGATGGCGGCGACCAATGTTCGGAGAGTTTCGGGGTGACAGCGGGTTTCAAGAAATGAGAACGATAACAGCTCAATTAAGTTGCTGGCAATGTGACGTTGAAGGATGGAAGTCAGCCTTAGGCAAACTGTTAATGGATGTTTCGCCACGCTTGCATATAGCCTCTCCACAAGTTCCAGTACATCAATCCGGTTGCTGAGTTCATGTCATATGATGGAATGATCATTGCCACATTCGGCCCGTTGACGATCTTATTAAGGGCTGGGAGAATCGTAGTCGCCAAGTTATTTGGACATGTTGATAAGCGCTTAGAAGAAGTATAATAGCACTGCTAAAGTGCTTTCAATCTTCTTCGCCGTCTGACGCATGTCCGCGTCTCCCAAGATACATGATTATGGTCAATACAATGCAATTCGCCGAAATGATCAAAGTTGCGATGAGATGTTTGCCATTGACATAACCTTCAGGGCTTGGTATCAGTCAAATAGCGTAATTCGTAATTCCAAGGTTTAATGACAAATTTCAAGCACATGTTTTCGTGAATCGTGGAAATGAGACTCTTCGAGTTGATTGCTAGGTAACTAGCCAAGACATCCTTATTGCATTTCGAAACGGCGGGTAATCAATCGCTAAACTAAAGTAGATAGTTTGGTGAAGTCGATTAATTGCCAAGCACTCCAATGGTGGCCTCATGATATTGAATCTAGGTAACTATCTACAGCAGTTGGCTTCTCAATTAGGAAATCCTCTGCAATGTGAAGTATTAAGCCTAACGTAGGAACAACCTAACAAGGAATGCTCAAGGCGCACATTTTCCTATTCCCTAGAGTATCAGGAAGAGATCAAGATGTCGCTGCTTTGGCTTGATACGCATGTTTTTTCTTGTGGCGACGATTTAGGTGGTTTAGCCTACTTTACTTGCTGGCACACGAGTTTCGAGAGGAAATGAAATTCACCACCGGTCTTATATTCCTACTCTGTGGAAGACCACGTATGAAGAAGATCACAAGTCAAGTCCATGATCACGCTAAAGGTAGACCTCATTGGTTATAGACTCGTTCAATCCACATTGTACAGCCCCGGAAACCTGGATAGAGTGATATGCTGGATGTGATCATCTGTTCCGTCCCTATCTCGAGACTGATTTCGACGGTCTGCAGATTTGTATTCAAGGATTTGGCAAGACAAACTTTCCCAAGCTTCACATAACCATTGATACGATTCGAATACAAATTTCAATCTCAATCAAATCCAGAGAAGTCACAGTAGTTGAGCTTCGGCTCATATCAATTTAGTTATGGTGACATGGATTGTTGGAGTCGCTGTATGAAACCATGGCGCGTCTTGGATATGATCAGCTTCGTGGAAGGGTTCGCTGGACAAGGCTTGCGTCTATTTAGGAAGTAGCTAAAAGTAGACATGACTTTTTGCTACTCAGAATCCGTTGTGTCTTGCAGCATGTATCGTGGTGTATCGATGTACATATGTGCAATTCAGCTAGTATCTCTGCCACTGAAACACTTCTTGCTCGACCAAGTCCCCAGTTTAGAGAATATTCCTCTCCCAGGATTGGCTATACCACTTAAGTAGCGCTAGTATGGTCTCAAGGACTTCGCAGTCGTCCGGACCCGTAGCCGTGTACCGCCAGGCCTACACTTCATTCTCGTTTCTTCGGCAAACGACTAACTTGTAACCTCATGCAAAAGAACAAACTATCGATGCCATCTTCAGATTCTCATCCAGTAGCACATTTCCCAGGTCTCTTGACCACAGCCTTGACCATAGCGTTGATCGCAAGGTCTGCGAATTATCCTATACCTGTCTAGAACGTGGCCTGATATCTCGATTTCCTATGTGTACATGTGACAAACCGTTCTGCTTCATTCAAAGGTCGAAAGCTTCTATGCCATCACAACTTTGGACGTAAACTGCCTTCAGGATCTCTTGATTCTAAAGTTGCCCTCGCCTGTGCATTCAATCTCCTCCACATATCCTTTCGACGCTCGTGACCCTGCATAAATCTTTCGAACCAGAACTTGTTGAAGGGTGGCAGCTCTCGGCCCTTGCCATCTTCCGTGGGTGGACCAGCAATTCTTCTCAACTCCTCAAAGTATTCTTCAAAGTCTGGAAATACGAGCGCAAATTTCGGGCCGTCGCCACGCTTTGCGATGCGGTCTGCTTCCCAAGCGAGCTGGGCTTCCGTCGATGGGAGGCGAGAGGATGGGACACGGCCTGCGAGCAGTCGGGCAGCGAGGACAGCCTGGTATTCGAAGATCTTGAACGTAAGACCTGCGTTGACGGCACCAACAAACAAGATTGTGGGATCCGGAGTGTATATTGTATGGAGGTACAGATTTGGGATGCGGTTGTTGCGAGGGGTTGGAACCGAAGTGTTCTTGACTTCGATCGAAGAGCCGGACGATGCAGGCGTCAAGAAAGGAAGTGTCCAGCTGTATCCAGTGCCGAAAATTATGTTGTCCACATTAGGAATGGACGATCCGTCTATGAAATGAACGGTCCGAGAGGCCGGTTCGATATGGGAGATGGAAGTAACCTTGTGGATCAAGGGATGGTTGAAAGCCTCATCACCAAAGTAACCGTTGAAGGTATGTCCCTTCACCACGGCATGAACAGGTGCTTGAGCCACTGAGGTCAGATCGAAAGCGATGTCTCCTGCAGAAACAGAGGCGCCGACCACCACGACCTTCTTGCCCTTAAATGCGGACCGACCTCGGAAATGCTTGCTGTGAATTACGCTCCCGGAACGATCTCTAGCAAATTCAGATAGACCGTCAATGGAAGGGATATAGGGCACACTGTAATGCCCAGATGCAACTATCACAGCATCGAATCTTTCCTCCCACCAGTAATCAGTGTTCTCGCCGTCTTTGCGTAGCGTGAGCTTCCACTCTTCACTGAGACCGCTTGATGCGGGCACCTTTTCAGCTCGTTCAACAGTAGTGTTGTAGCTAACAAAATCGCCGTAGCCCCTTCGATCGACCAAAGAGCGGACATAGTCCTGTACCAATGACCAGTGGCGAAAGGGCGTGTTCTCTCCGTGGATTGATCTGGAGTGTTCGGACTGCTGAGTCGGAAACGGCTCTTGAGTGTATTGCATAGGGACGAAGTCCACGTTCGTCTCGAGGTAGGGGTAGACAGTAGATTCAGAGTACCGCGGCGAGGGCGACTTGGGCAGTTGAGCGGGGATATTGGAGGGAATCGTTGGCAGTTGAGGGTCTGCCGTTCGGGAGGAGAGAAGATCGAGCTCGTTTGGTTGAATAATTGGTGGTGGTTTGTCTTCACCGAGCCTGTGGATATTGTGAATACGGGTAACGGCTCAGTGTGATGGACTCTTAGCTCACCAACATCCTCCCGGAGCCTCACGACGCTCAAAAACGCGGATGATGTCAAACGCCTGCTCTTTAGCAAGAGCATCAATCGTGATGGCACCGGAAGGGCCAAGACCGATAACTGCTATGCGCTTGGCAGGCTTCGCTTGTTCCGTCATCTTTACAAACTTACAACGGCGGGGTTGGGTCGTTATGTGACTGGCAAGAAGTTTTCCCACGAAGACACTCGATTAATATATTCTCGCCGTCTTATGAGTGAGGACCGAGTGGTGAGCCGATCGCCGGAGGGATTTGCCTTGAAGTGATGCCCCACACAAACCTGCTCATCGGGATCGAGCTCGTCAAACTTGGACTAGGTCGAAGGCATAGAACCCCTACGCCGTCGGTCACCGCTCCCTCTCTGTATTTCTGCCAAGATTAGGTAACTACACAACGGGGTATGGGTTCATCAAGGCAACTCCCATTGCTTTTCTCCCATTTCTGCACTTTACCTATGTAAAGGTGGGCACTTTTCGATGGTTGATATAGGCGCTCTTTACCCATGCGGATGGAAGCGGCGTTGAGCAATCAAACAATGCAGCAAACAAGCAGACAAACAAACCAAGGACGAAGAGGCAGTTTCAGCTTGACAGTACTTTGCGAATTCAATGAGCCTTTGGAAAAGCCCCATCTCAGGTCAAAATGTACATGCCCGCTATCTAGTATCTATCTTCCACCGCCTAGAGATTCAAAGCCCGATAACAGTGAGTAAAATAGCTCGGGGTTTGTCTTGGCGCGATGGTGAAAGATTGCGTGCTCAGTAGGATGGCAGTGATAGCCACTAAACCACAGACCAAAAGTGGGGAAGCTTCAACAACATCTAGCCATCAATCGGGGTGTCTAACCGGATCGAACTGACTTTGCCGGCATGGCATGCCCTCGGTCTGCGGCTTGGGGGCGATTGCGTGCTGTTCCCAAGACTGTGGCACCGAGCTGGGCCTCTAAAAGCAAGGATATGTTGGAGTTGCATCCTCACACGAACTATCAATATGCCCGGGGTTTCGTGAAGCTAAAGATGGCGTGAAAGGTAGTCTCTGAGTCCCAAATGCCGGAATGAGACATGGAGGTACGATGAGAACGACCTGCATTTGAAAACATGACCAGAACCCTTTCGCCGGGAAAAAGAAATACCAGTTTCAGATCTCAGTCATCTCCTCACTTTGAGCACACAACGATATGAGTGAGTCGAAGCAGGAAAGCCTACAGTCTATCGACTTGCCAGGGCAGGTGTCAGCAGTCACCGAGCAAGACTGGACGCAGTATGAGGAGGCACGAGCTCGTCGGAAGTAAGTCGATACATGGAAGGAAAGGTCAATCAGGCAGGTAATGGATTCGCTGACATTTTATCTGGCAGAATCGATAGCTCAGTGCTTCCACTATTGTACTTGGGTCTGCTCGTCTTTCAACTTGACCGCATGAATCTCGCAAGTGCCCTCACTGGCGGCTTTGCGAAAGATATCGGGGTAAACCAGGACACCATCAATCTCGGAAATCAGCTCATGTTTCTTGGAATCGTCATCCTGGAGATTCCCTCGAACATGCTCTTGCAAAAGGTGGGTGTGGTCTCCGCTTGTACATGCAGGATCACTGTACCCCTTCGAAGGCCAATGGTGCTGACCGATGTACGATAAGATTGGACCGCGCAAATACATCTCCAGCCAGGTTATTCTGTTCGGCTTCGTCGCGACTACACAAATATTTCTGGTTGATCGCAAAGGTTTCTTGGCTTCACGTATGATGCTTGGCCTTGCGGAGGCAGGCTACATTCCAGGGGCTTGCTATACTCTTTCTACATGGTACACGAAGAAGGAACTAGCCAAGCGCATCGCAATTTTGTTGGTACAGACTGATTGATTGTGTTGTACTTTTTCTAACCCTTCGCAGCTTCTTCGGGATGTTCAGTGGGAACGCCTTGAGTCCCATATTAGCATCGGGTATCCTGAAGCTAGAAGGCGAGCGTGGCCTTCGTGGATGGCAGTGGCTTTTCCTGAGTACTTCAACAACCCCTGCCCCCGATTTCTTGATGGCATACTAACTCTGAACAAGTTGAGGGCATATTCACTATTTTCGTGGGACTTTCGCTCCTGTTCCTCTTGCCCGGTTCCCCAGACACGCCAGACCCGCTGTTAAGCCCAGGCCTCGTCCGATTCAAAGGCTCAGAGAAGAGTATCATACAAAAGCGCCTAGAGATGGATGACAAAGAGAAGCGAGGAGGTGCGCAAGGAATGATAATTTCTCCAAAGCTCGTATTGAACACTGTTCTGCACTGGAAGCGATGGCCACATTTCCTAAGCAGTTTTGCTGTCTTCTCTACCTGGAGCCCTCTGACCACTTACACACCTACCATCATTATGTAAGTCTCGAAAAATCACTTTAATGGGATCTGGAAGATCATGGTCTTGAACAGTCCATAACTTACATGATTGAATCAGGAATCTCGGCTTCAACCGCATCCAAGCCAATGCCCTTGCCGCGGTGGGCGCATCACTCGCTCTAGTTGTCGTCTTCATTTTTGCCTACATCAGCGACAGGACCAACAAGCGTGGATTCTCTGTGATTGTGGCCCAGTTTTGTTATCTACTTGTCTTGGTCGTTGCGCGTACGGCACACCCTCATGTCGGCAAGTGGTCCCGCTGGGGGCTCTGGACAGCTGTAAACAGCTTCGCGGTTGGCTATCACCCTGTCAACAACTCATGGGTGCAACTCAACTGTAAGGAGCCAGGCGAAAGAAGCATCAGTATCGCGTAGGTTGCGTTTCAGTCTAGAACAAGAGTTGCTTTCGGATGTGCTGACGTTGAATAGGATGTGGGTGATGCTCTCTATCAGTGGATTGATGGTGGGTACGCAGTATTATCGTGGGAATGATGCCCCATTGTGAGTAGCTCAAGCTCTTAACACTACGAGGTGATCGGCTGTTTTCTTAATAAATCTATCGCTAACCTAAGTATGTAGTTACCAAACGGGACTGAGGACACAGATAATCATGGTCTCAGTGGGAATAGCATTTGCGATTCTTCAGGTTGTAATCTACACAGTTCACAACAAAAGGGTGGCTCAAGGAAAGCACAAGCCCCGTGATGGTGAAGCGCCGCGGATCTATGTGACGTAAGTAGCTACTAGATTGAAAGCGATCTATCGCAAAAAAGGATCCAAAGAGCTGGAAGGTAAAGCTGGTTCAAATTCGCATAGAGACCTTCAAACTGGCAAGCAAAGAAGAATGCAGATAAGGGATGTGGACTCACACTCCTTTTACGTTTCTCTTTCTTTTGAATCTGAAGATGTAAATGTTTGGAGTATCTAATACCATCAAAGAAGCGTCTGCGAGCTGTATTTAAACCTCAGCACTCGATATTTCCTCTTCCTCTAATGTCTTGCCGTATGATACTATACCCTCTCAGGTTCCTCCGGTGTTTGCTTGTCCGTTGGGTTTCCCAAGGATGTGGAACCGCCAGGCCGAACCTTTTCCCCGATCTCGAGGTTTTCGATCAGATATGGAAGCATGAGCAATTCGGCAAGGGTACGCTTGCACCCCTCACTAAGATCGGCCACTTTGCTGAGTACGTCGATGTCTATGGTAAACCAGTCGGCAGTCTCCATTTCGTCGGCACGGAGTACTCGACTGAGTAGAAAGGCTACATGGAAGATGCGTTATGATCCGGAGAACAAGGAGCTAACGAGGCTGTTAAGGCCCTCAACGCTCAACTCGGGCAAATTTTTGAACCAGCTGGCTTGAAACATAGAGTTCATGCCCCGGAAACCCTATATGTGGTTGAGTCCTAATCACATGCAAACATATATGCCCCTAGAGCTATAGCTGAAAGTTAATGGAGTCAAATGTGAATCTAGTTATTGATTGATACGCATACAATGCAGTCAGACAACTGTCACCCATCAGTGCTTTGCAAGATGGCCTCATAACAGTTTTCGGGCCTAGGCAATCTGTTAGTCAGTAGCGGCGCAGCCTAGGCTGCAACATGCTTCAAGCTGACCACCGAGATCTTCTCGGCATCCCACCAACGAGACCGAGCTACCGTGCCCAGTTCATTAGAATGACCTGAGCCCAAACACAATCCTTGTTGAGCGTAGTACCAAAGTAGAGCGATGACTGGTCTCTGCCTAGCACTGCCGCAAATGTATAAATGAGATGCATCTCAGTGTATCCCGGTATTGTCCGTTGACTTGACAATAGAAAATGTATTTAACAAAACTATTCTCTCTCCCTATTGTGCTTCGGAGGCCAGTCATTTCCATCACCCAATTCCAAACCCGCTTTCATAGTCCACTTTGGGTGCATGCAGTATACCCTCTTCAAAAAGGAAAGGTTGATCATGGGTTCCCAGGATTCGAAGGTCAACTTACAAAGCCTTCCAACACAATCTGACGATGGCCTGCCATCGTTTCTGGACCAAGCTGGGTTTAGAAAGTCGCTTAGCCTTGTCCAAGAAGTTCGAGTTAGTTATGCTCCTTTCATCCGCTGGCGAACGGCTCAATACTAACTGTTCTTACCTGCCAGGAGCGGTTTGAGAGTAGCGAGCCGGCAAAATATTCGACTTTTCTGGAAGTAATGAACGAGGCAAATGTGACGCCCATGGAATCACAAGAAGAGTGGCAAGCTATGAGGGCTGAGAAACAGGCTGAGGCTCGCCTAAAGCTGGAGGAGCTGTTCAAAGGCCAGGAGGACTTACTGGAAAAGCTGGACGCATTTCTTCCAGCACCAAGCACGCAAGCGGGGAACTAGAAACCTATGGCTAGGAGATGATGAGAAGGAGCTGAAGATAGCCTGTGAAAGGATATTCTTTGATAGTGATGGTTGGTTTGAGAGTCAAGAGTAATCCCTTGGTCGAATCCAATAGAGCTACTGAACGTCCCCACTTGAGCTTTGAAAACGGTGCGCCAAGGGACTCACCTGTGACCTGCAGCAGCCAAGCCCCGGATTTGCCCAAGTAAGAATAATTTAGTATGGTTATGAGATCTATTTCTTGTGTTGTTGGGACTGATTGCAGATACGAAGCGGCACAGCCATTCAACATGACTCGAGATGGGTTCATCGCCTGCAGGTGTGGCCGCGATCAAACGGAGTGAAATGTCCCCGAAGTGGTACCAGCATTTGGTAAATTTCGTGAGTGTTCGACGCGTGGATATGTATTGAACGAAGCTGCTTGCCTTCAAGACAGAAAGGCCTATATATTGGTAGTAATTCCGGCTACATTCTACATGACAAAAACCCGAAGTTTCGGGATAAGTGCAGGCCAAGTAAGCCGGTGTGTATCCTGCGACCGGATTCTTCTCAGAAAATCCAAAGCTTTGGGGATATTCAAGAAATTGTTGCGATGATACTGCCTGAGTAGGAAATTTTCAAAGAATAGGCGCTGCTCAGAGGTATGGCACTCAAGCGCAGCAATGAACGTAGGCCAGATAAGTATGTGTTCGCCTAGTGCGCCTTCTGGGAATGCCTCCAAGCTCCTTTGAAAGGTCTCGGTGGCATCGACAGATGAGGGCGATGGGGTGTTGTCATCAACGTTAGTCAACGCTCTGCGGAGGTACATGTTAAAGGCCTGCTGGCGAATGTCGGCGATGAGGTCAAACGTTGGGCAATGGCCGGGATATAAGCTGTAGTAGTAGTAAAGACAGTCAAAACTCTTCTGGGCGTGGTATGATAACGCCTTCATCCCGGCATCTTGGCTGACCAAGGGTGCAGCGTAGGCCCGCATCCTAGTGAGTCTGGGTAAGACGCAGTTTTCAAGCCCCCAGCAGAACGAACCAAAGGGGATAACTTACTTGCGAATCTGTCTCAAGAGAAAACCTCCCATCTCTCCTCCGTCAGCCAGAGTCTCTTCACCACCAATAGCTTGGATAGATGCCTCCAGCATCTGGAAGACTATGGGGAAATCCGGCATGCCGTTGACCATGACAGAAACCAGAAGGACAACAATGGCAAGGACCACATGTTGTCGGGTCTCGTCGCTCCAATCTGTCAGGTCCTTCCGATACAAGAGTTGGCCGATTGCCAAAGCATAAAGCCTGTCTGGATTAAGATGCGGTAGCAAAATGGCTCTACCAGAGAGATGAAATGCTGACACGGCAAGGACAGCGTCCATCACCATTTCGTTGGACCAAGCAACCGGTAGGATCAAGTGTCGCCAGCCGTTGTAGATGTCATCAACTACAACCATCTCTGGTGCGATGGCGTCTGAAACTGAATGGCACTATTAGTGTACTTTCGACAACTTGCGAAACAAAATCGAGGAAAATGCCGAGGACAGTGATTCTGGAAGCTTACAATGTGTCAGCAGGAACTCTTTCCACGGTTCCAGGATGCTGAGATTTACAGGCGAGAATGGCTGCATGGAAGTTTTGTCGAAAGACACATAGACATCGTCGATGATGCATGTATCAAGTGATACCCCATTTGCTTCCTCGTTGCTTGAGCCACTGATAACACGATCTGATTCTGTACCCGAACCTTCACCCTGACTGGGTCCCTTGACTTCATATCTTTGGAAACAAGCTGAGCTGTTCCAGTACTCATCGTCCCAGGCTGATGCCCGAAACGTTTCTAGGACCTTTGACGAGGTTCTCAGAGTTCCATACGCCGATGCCTGGGCAAGAGCGTCCTTCAGCAGCGCGCTTCGACCTTTAGAAGTGGACTTCCGCGGCGACGAAAAGCCATCAAGGAACTTGTACCTCAGATGGAAGCCGCTGCAAACGATTCCGCGGTTATTACACTTTGCGCAACTAGGACGTGTGCCATCGCAGTCGATACGACGTTGTGAACACTCGTAACAGCCTGCCCACCATTTAGCCGACCCCCCAATTCTCGAAACCTAGCACAAAGGTAGAGCAGCACATACCTTTGACTTTGGGTACGTAATGACGCTTCTTTCGAGCCATGAATGCTGTCAAGCATCAAGCCGCTCCCTCATCGCGGATATATCGCTTTGTTGTGGCCAGGATTAGAAGCATTCTCAGGCCGAAGTGCGGGGAGTTTGTCTCTCCACGATGAGCCTCAAGGCCCCCAACTTCATTCCCACTTGCAACCTATCAGTTGAAAGGATCGGGTCACCTTATCGCGCTTTCCCCGCAATGGTGTTGACCGCGGTTGCCGCTCCGAAGATCGGCATGCTTCAAGCGACCGCATTGCAGTAGTGTCTGGTCATTCTCCGCTTTCTGAAGACGTCCAGAAGGAGTAATTGAGATGAGAGCACACATTGTTCGGACTGACTCCCTCTCGAGATCAGCCGAATTCGCAATCCTCTAGGGGATATATCCTCTCCTGGCATTTGGGACGAAATATGGTCTAATTTGGCCTATCACAAACAGTTTTGATGATGCACCACGATGGCACAAAGCTTTGGGAATGAAATAGATCAGTAGCTCTTTTTCGTGCCCCGCGTTGACATTGATGTGCCTGATGAGCTCGTCGAATAGTCAAGTCTTGCAACTGTAATACCTTCATCGTAGAATTGAGCGATTTGAGAGCTTCGTTAAGCGGAAAAAGTTCATGTCCTGCATCAACTTGTTGGTGTTCACCTTGCCATCCACCAGGATGGCCCTCGGTGTCGCCAGCCCGGAATTGAGCCCCTGAAAATCACCCCCAGCGTCTTACCCGATTAACATATTCAAGGTAATAAGTCGATATACTTTCTACTAAGTAAAGTAGATAAGTCAAGGGACATAGACTCAATTTAAGTATCAGGAAAGCACAGACTTCTCATAGATGCAACTCATTCGCAGCATCCCAAGCTAAGCTTTCCTAGCAAGGATCTCCAACCGGTCCCTGGCCTGCGCTCCCTCGTATGCAATTAATTATCCTTTCTGTTCCTTGCCAAGACCATCTCTCCATGCCGTTCAGAGTTCAACAAGGCTGAGCTGGAAATCACACGGAAACATCCATAAAGCCTCTTAGATTGATCAATAGAACCTGAGTTCCCGCCTGCATCCTTTTAGAAAAGCTTACACGGCCATTACAATACGAACCTGTCGCTGGAACGCGAGTAGCGAATTGCAAAGACCGAGATCTGCGGATATAAAGCCTTTAACACTGTCGGTCACCAAGAACGGCTTGGACTAATACCTGTGCACACCTACACGATCCTTACCATCAAAAACTTTTTTTCTCGCGAGTCACAAGCACCAGCATCCCATACATCATCCCCACAACAATCATCAAAATGCTCCCCTCCATAACCCCCCTCCTCCTCCTCGCCGCCGCAGGAACCTCCCAGGCAATCAACATCTGCTGCTCCTCCTTCGCAGGCAACACCTGCACAAAAGACCAGTACAACAAGCACCGCCAAAACGTCATCCTGAACCAAATCATCAACGTCGACGGCCAGAACTGCGTCCGCAAAGGCGCCGGCCCCGGCGCCTGGACCAGCAAGAAGGACTGGTCCGAGTGGTACGATTGCCAGCAGTGGACCGGTCCTGAGCAGCACCAGATTGAGGTCGGAGAGTGTACTCTCTTTTGCGTGATGCCTAGTGGTCTTCTGAACAGGCCTTGTATTTAAGCTTTGCTCTTGTTCGAGGTACCTTGTTAGACAATAGATCATGCTGAAGATTTTGAAAAGACGAGGTGTTATTGATCTCCCAGTTCCTTTCGTATCTCGGAAAATGCAGAATAACTGTGTGAAAGATATATCACAACTTCGCAAGTACCTGTTCCTACTTTGAGCAGAGGTTTAGTTCACAACGACATGATGGCACAAGATTACACTAGCTGCTGGAGAAAGAACTATCGAGATGATGTTCGTTCAATCGCTGGTCGTATCAGGAGTGTTCACATTTGATTTGCGAATAATCATATCACCGGAAGCACGATGGTCTGTACAGGAGGCTTGAGAGTTCCAGCAAGTGTGACTCCAATCTAAGGTGGCCGAGCTTCCTCGGAACTCAGGAGACCAATCTGTCTTTTTGGCTTGCTGGTGGGGCGCCTGAACGCTGTATTACACACCTTGTTCTTGGAACTCATAATCCATGTCATCGCTGTTCGTGTAGACTAGTCTCAAATTCATTGCCCTGGAAGTTCTGCGCTGCCATAACTCGTTGTTCCTTTCCATCGTTTTGCGTTTTAATTTGTAATACTCCACAGACGGGATGAAGTGTAATATTGTCATGACCTGGTTCTGAATTCGTAAGCCCTCGGGAAATCATGATGGCGTTGGGGAGGGGCTATCTTTGTGCGTGGGGATTGGGCTTACACCGCTCACTGAGTTAACAACTTCCCACGCCTGATGATCTACGGTCCGCCTGACCGCAATCATTCCGCAACATCAGGAGGCTGCGCATCATTCATGCATTTGCATTGGCCGGCATGAATCTTAAAGAGAATCCGATGAAGAGGACAAACCGAGATTACAGAAGCCACCAATGTAAAGCAATGCGAGGCGGCCAGCCAAGAGTCATTCCTTTGAGCGTGGCGTCTAAAGCTACAGAGGCAAACCACGACCACAGCGAAGTTGATACCGCTGGTTAAGAAGAAATTCACCCGGGATGGGCACGAGATGCTATGCTTGTTGAAGGTCCCATTGCGCTGTCCAAGTAGGTTATACATTGTGAATGCGGTGATGCATCCGCCGAGAAAAGCGCCGAATGTTCCAACAAAAAGGAACTCGATGCTGTCGGCGTTGTTGCTGGTATAGTTGTAGTGGATCAAAATGATATCGCACGTGAATAGAATAAGCGACGTAAGAAACCAGGCAGAGCCAAGGACGTATGTAAGCATCTTGTGTTGCTTGACGCTCATTTCCTCTGCTGTCGCGACTGCGCCGCGTGCTACAGGTGCGCCTGATGCTGCACGTACGCCTGGGTTTTCTGGATCCATGTCGTGGAGTTCGTATGGAGGAGGGGGTGAACGACTGTGAATAGACATGATGAAGATGTCGTGATGTGTCCAGACCTGAGTGGGAAGAACGAATTGGTGCAGAAGCAGGTACTCAGCGGGCGGGGAGTTGACCGGATGCAACGAGGTCCTCGGCTTGACGATGTCTTGTGGTGTTTGTGTACAATATTCGAAGTAGTGTTGGTCCAAAAAAGCAAAGATGGTGTGTTCGTGGTGTTGATTGTGATCGGGAAGAAGTGGTGGCTGGAGATGGGAGCTGAGGCCAGTGTGATTTGTCTATGCTAAGGTAGTGTAGAAGGGGAAGTATTGCAAGGCTTCTTCCTGTTTATGGCAAGAAATGCCATCTGCTGATTCCTCCTCCTCGGGACATATCACGAGCTAACATCTACCGGGAAAGCAGAGAGCTGTCTTCTGCTAGTCTGTGCAAGGCAGTCCTCGTTCGCGAGAAGGTAAAGCAGGTCAACGCCTGTGTCCAACGGCCCTTCCACTAGAGTTACAATTATAACTCTATGCCTGCCTTACTGTCATCTTCAGCCAGTGTTCTTTGAGCTGTCAAGTCTACATCTATTGCTCTGCCTCCGGTTACGAAATGTTGGTCGACCACAGCTGAAGGAACGTTGTTCTTCTCAATCACTCTGAGCAAGTCGGCCGTCTTCAGTGAGTGGGATAGATCACGACAGACTGTCGTTCTCCGCAGGACTTTCCAAATATCAGACGCATCGCAACACCTCGCCAGGATTTGAAGGCAGGTGATGAGGGGTGGGAGATGATTTTGAACGACACATCCCCTCAAAGAAAATATGGTCCTGGCCAGATCCGTACTGTGCGTGCGCCGAGCGGGCTGATAACCTTACCTCGATCATGCAGGCTGTCTGGAAAGAGCAAGTACCCAGTCAGGAAATGGGTATGGATCCTGTACGCACTTGGGCTTTCCCATCAGGCTGCAGGTTTTTGAGTTGCAAGGAAGGGGAGCTGCACCATGGACGCGGAAGGCACAGGTGTACTGTCGTTTCGGAACATGCCCGACCAGTGACGGGCTGGATACAGCAAGGTGCGAAGCTGCTGAGGAAATTAGGAGATGGGAGAAGTTGATTAGGGTTAAAGGAGGCGGTACTAAAAAAGAAGCGGCACCGTCAAGAAGGAAGGAAGGTTGTGTTAAAATGTTGGATTAGGTTCGCTACATATCCTCTCGGAGTCCCAATTCGTGACGGTCATGTTCAAATAATGCGGAAAAGGCAATGTTTCCCAGCGCCAGAAACTCCAATCCTTGTCATGTCTTATCTTGTGTTGTCGTGTTTTCAAACGATCCAATCTGTCCCCTGTTCCGAAATACCTTAGTCGCTTCCCCTGTTCAGGCCTGTGCTACGGTGTCGCGAACAATCTTGTTGCAGTCGACGGGGTTCTCAAAGACGAACCAATCGTCACGAGGAATGTTCTTGAACGCCTTCTCGAAGCGCTCCGGCTCGTTCTTGGCGGAGATGCCGATGGCAGCAATGTCAGTGACCTTGCGGATCAGGATGAGCTTGATCCAGCCCTTGAATTCGCGGTAGCTGTTGCTGCTGGTCAGTTCATGTATGAAAACGCTCGAGGAAAGGAATGGAGATACTCACATGTCGCCATAAGCCTCGGGGTCGGACTGTGTAGAGTCGCCAATGAGGATGAACTTCCTCTTGGGAAGCCAGTCGTGTACCTTCTTCATGCGTTCTACCTTGTATTGCTCCGTGGCCATTGTCAGCGCTGACAGCAGGCCTGCAACCGTCTTCCAGCTTGAGTCGCGGAGGATGATGGACCCAGGCGGGTAGTACTTGTCACGAAACTCTCTCAAGAACGGGTACAGGTTGTATGGGGAAGCCGATAGGTAGAACCACGGTGATTCCTGCGGCAGGAGTGCGGAAATGTTCCGGTACAGCTCCGGCATGCCCTCGATTGGTCTCGGTTCGTTGACAAAGGTCTCGCGGAGGATGCCGATAGGGTCGCTCGTTTGCGTCAACTTGATCGTGTCGTCGATGTCTGTGAGACACCATGTTAGTGAACCGTCGCGGAATGGTTTTGGTTTTAGGGGTACCGCGCCTGAAATGATTGCCCACCCCTCTGGAGCAGCGAAGAAAGTCTTCATCTCCAACAAGCCTGTCGCACCACGCGGCACCGCTGCGCTCGACGTGACCGTCGACCCAGTCGGTTGCTCGTGAATCTTGAGTGTGTCCGTGGTAATGCCATTCGACCCCGAGGGACCCAGCTTGAGCTCCTTCTTCTGATGCACGATGCGGAGGTGCCGCGCCGGCTGCACGTCCCAAAGGAACGGCATGATCCGTTCCTCAATGGTCTTACGCTCTTCTGCATCGTCCGAAAGCCCAAGCTTCTCAGCAACGCCCTGCACGATATCGACCACCTTGCATTTCGGCTCCTTTTCGAAAATCGCGGCGACGAACTCGGCCTGCCAGCTGCCTAGACGGGAGGGCTTGTATGCTGTGTTATCCAGGAGCCAGACGATGTCGTCGTCGGTCACGGGCCTGCCCCAGGGGTTGTAGCTACCGAGATGCGACAAGATGCCGCTGGCGCTCGCGAAGGCCGCCTGCAAGGTCGGCACTGTTGGGTTGGGGAGCTGTGCCTCGATCTCGTCGAAGCGACGTTCTTTGCGGGTCTGTTTCTGCATCTCGTCTGCGAATGCCGCGGGGCTCTTGCTGTCGTCTTTGGCCGCCATGGTTTCGATGTTCGGCGCTGCTTACAAGTCTTTATAGGGATGTCGCTCTGTGTGCGTCCTTCGCCTTTTTGACAATGAATCAACGGTCACTTGGTCGGCGAGGTAAGCAATGTGACTCGAAAAGGATACTCCTGGTGCCTTGGCGGCGAAGTGGTTGGTAGGCTGATGATTCAAGGCTGAAAGGCAGATGTGTCTCGAGGGGAGCTGTTCCTAGTTGACGGGAAACGGTGGAGGAGGGTGGGAGATGCGGCACCTTAGGTAGGCGACCTAGAGCAGATGAATGGACGTAGACAGTACGGGGTAATAGGCGTATGTCTCAGCTGGACGAAGAATTGCTGGGAATATGACCTTTCAGCTACGACAGCCACGAGCCGTCGGTGTCGGAGAGAGGGGGGCAAGGCGAACCGATGCATTATGTCAGAGCTAGAGGCGCTGGCTGCATCGTCTGTGTGGGAGGTGTCCGTGACATGGTTTAGGGCGAGCTGTGACAGGTCGGTCCATCAGATGGCCACTGGCAAACTACCCTAGTCGGTCGCAACGAAGGCTTGGCTTAATATGCGCTTTCGAGACCCTTGTGACCGCCAACCGTAAATGACCCAGGAAAGGGCAGGCAATGACGATGGACGGATCTGCTTGTAGGCGAAGGTGTGTCGGAGGCGTAGGAAATGTGGAGGGATGGAGGGGTTTGGCAGTCGGAGCAGTCGCAGTCGCACCGTGACAATGGAAGAGGAAAGGTTACACGCGGGGGCGGGAGGCATCCGGTGCCTGTCTTCCTCCTGCCTTACCTCATCAGGCTCCCGTCAACTGGGGAGGGAACCCCTGCGGTTCGACGGTCATTAGAAAAGGCATGATCCGAAAATGTCCCGACGGCACGTGTTGGCGTCACTCGTCAGGGATCCTTCAGGACAAGAGAATCGCGTTGCGCTAGCTCTCCCAATCACAAAGACAAAACAAAATGACAGTTCAAAAACGACATATAACGTCGTAGGCATCCAACAAAGGATCCTGAGGCAAAATAATTGTCCCTGGCAAGGCTCGAACTTGCGACCTTTGGATATCCCTAGATAGTCTAGCGTCATATGTATGTTATATGAGACCAACGCTCTACCGACTGAGCCACAGAGACTAATTGATTGTGGCTGAGCAGAGCAGTATGTTCACCATGAAGGGTCAACGAATTCCAGGTCTGAGCAACTCAGTCGTAGTCGTTCTACCATACCTTATCGAATGATCAACTTTCTGTCTTGATTTACTCATCTTAGACCACTCTCAGTTTTTGCTGAATCGAAATCCAGTACAAGCGCTCTCTCGCTTATTGCGGGTTTGGATGTCTTGGTCGGACTAATCGGACATGTCGGTGCAAGCATTTGTCAGGTCGTCAGACGGAATAGGCTACAGATAGGCTATGGCATCGCCAGAGACCCCTTAGACGACCGAAGACCCGGTTACTGTGACTCAAGCTTGGAAATCCTAGCTATAGTTCATCGTGGTATATAAGTAAGTAATTTGGCATTTCTTGGCATTTTCTTTTCCAGTTCACTGCAAGAGAATCGTCTACCATACCACAATAACTCTACTGCTTACTACGGAAACCACCCAATTCACCACAGAAATGACTACCACTGTCGAGCCCTCTTTCTCCATCACCCACATCACCACTGCCTCAGCCATACTGGACATAAATGGCGTTATTTTCCTCACGGATCCCGTCTTCTCCCCGGCTGGCACTGAGTGGGACATGGGCCCGATGGTGCTCAAAAACACAAAAGGCCCAGCCCTTTAACTGGAAGACCTCCCTGTCATTGACGCCGTACTTCTAAGTCATGAAGACCACCCTGATAACTTGGACGAACTCGGCCGGCGTCTCCTCGATGGCCGCAAGGTTCTCATGACACAAGACGGAGCCCAGAAACTTGCACCCCGCCCTGGTGTCCAGGCTCTCAAGCCAGGGGAAACCACGATCCTTGCTATTGGAGGGCAGGGATTGAGTTTACTGGAGTACTGTGTCAGCATCCTCCAGGTGAAGAAGTCACAGGCTTTGTGTTGAGGACAGCAAGCTTCGGGGAAACAAATGGCTTGCCCAACGTTATCTACATCTCCGGCGACACAGTCTACCTCGAGGAGATCCCAAAATTGCTCAAGAAATACCACGTCTCCGTTGCGATCCTCAACGTTGGTGCAGTAGAGGTTGCAATCACAGATCATCCTTTGCTGGTCACCATGGACGGGAAACAGGCAGCGCTGCTGTTTCGCGAGATCGGTGCGGATGTGTTGGTGTCGATGCATTACGAATCTTGGGCACACTTCGCGGAAAATGGAGACCAGCTCAGGGCTGTTCTTGAAGAGGAGGGTATTGCTGACAAGGTACGCTGGCTAAAGCCTGGAGTCGAGACGAAGATACTTTAAGTATTCAGTAATAGCCTCTCATTACTAAGTACATGTACCAAATGGCCTTTAAGTTCTATGGCCTGCCTGCTTGATGTTAGCTGCCACCTTTGATGGCGAATAATCTGCAACTTGTGATGCTATGAGCCTAGATACGCCAAGTTTTCGGGTATCAACACCAAAGGTCATCTGAAAAGGAGAGCTATGATCCTCGTCTGAGGCTCGTTCTCCTCTTGAGTCTTGTGGAAAGTGAATGGACCTCAAAGTATCTTTGCCTACTCCTTATGATCATTGTCCACCTTAGCTGGAGCCACACCCGTTTCAGGGTCAACAACGCCATGGCCCATATGTGCCGAGTGAACGAGGGAAGGATTCTCGGCCTTGATCTTAGCAAACTCTTTCTCAGCGTCCCATGCCCAGATACTCTCGCTGGCAAAGACAAGATCCATTTCCTCCAAGGTGCGTTGGTTCGATTCCGGGTAGAGTGCCCAAACAGCGACGAGGGATATGAAGTTGACCGCGCCAAAGAGGTACAGCGTCTTTTCGTTGAGCTTTTCGAAGATTGTAGGGAGAAGAAGCACCTGTACACGGTCTTAGGAGTTGAAACAAAAGAGCTGAAGAGGGTTAAATGTCGTGCACCCACCGTCCATCCATTGCCTATCGACCATCCAACAACACCCCAAGCGTTGCCCTTGGCACGTACTTGCAGGGGGAAAATTTCCGCGGGATATAACCAGGGGACCGTCAACCAAGTCGCACCAAATACCGCAGTATATAGGAAGACGAAGAAGGTAGCGGCACCACCCAGTCCTGAACGGTTGCCGGGATCAGCATTGAGAGTTGCTCTTGCTAAGCCTCCGGCGCAGAACATGCATATCCCCTGCGCAACAGCACCCCAGTACAGTGTCCAACGTCGACCAATGCGGTCTATAGTGAACACGCAAATCAACGTCGCAAACTAGACGATGTCAGCTTCTCCAACCCACAACATGCGAAGGTAGCATTTGCTTTACTTACCATATAAGTGATGTTATTCACACCGCTCACCCAAAGACGCTGCTCCGAACTGATGCCAGCGATCGAGAAGATCGTAGGCCCGTAGATCGTGATTCCCGCAATCCCTACCCACTCTTGGAGAATCTGAAGCCAGATAACAAGTTGAACACGACGACCAGTGTGCAATTTGCCCGAGCCTATTCCAAAGAGCATGGCAAAGTAGCTCTGCTGCTTGGCGGTGTCGTCTTCCAGGTTTCTAATGCTGATGATTTCCTGCAACTCTGCCTCTGCGGCCTTTCCATCCTCACCCTCGGTTCCGCGGAGTCTACCCAGGATGAACCTAGCCTCCTCTTCTCGGCCTACCTTGACTAGCCATCGTGGGGACTCCGGCATGAACCAGATCATGACGAAGAGGGCGATCAGAGGGATGATTTGGAATGCAATTGGAAACCTCCAGACGAAGGATGATGTCGGGTCCTTGTACTTCGACGTGCCGCTATCACCGGGTTAGATACTAGTAGTCTTGACCAGGTGTTCGTGACTTACAATTGTAGCCAGTATGCGACAACAACACCAAAGATGTTAAGAGTAAATTCTATGGCGACAAACTTGCCCCTAGATGTATGAGAAGCTACCTCTGTTGCCCACACTGGGGTGATGGCGTTCAACATGCCGGTGCCAATGCCGTTCAAGACTCGTGCTTTGATTCACGTTGAGGTCAGCGTCCTCCTTTCAGGGCTGATGGCTGTGCCCACGTACCACAAAACATCCAATCCGCATTCTGCGCAGCGGATTGAAGAGCTGCGGTGCAGATAGACCAAATACATGCGACGGCAATATGTTGTTGTTGTTGTTGTTGTATTTAACGCCGTGGCGGCCGGGCTAGAGCCCTTACCGCAGACCTCCCGAAGGGTATATGGCGTGGAGGGCCGTAAGCTAAGGCTACCTACTCTACAGTACATCGTCTCTTTATATCGTCCTCTAAATCATACCTTATGGCTACTATATATTCTATCTATCCCTGGTTCCTGCTGGTGCCCTAGTTTCATTCTTTCCTAAATCGTCCTTTGGAATCGGGAGGTTTTTTGTAGTCCGTATTTATATTTATATAGGTGTAGATGCTGTTATTATAGATAGATCTTTTAGAAGAAGTCCGTTATACGGAGAAAGGCCTTAAAGCCTTGTGGGTCGGTGATTAATCTCTTGAAGTAGGCCTTAAGAGATCTTATAGGGCCTATGGGCTCGGGTATATTACGAGAGTAGAGGGTCGGCTACCGTTGCCTCTTCGCTAGTGTTAGTCGATAGTAGATCAGGTGGTCTACGTCTTTTACCTCTCTATAAAAGTATATTATTAGAGCGTTATTATAGTTAAAACGTTAGTAATATTGCTCGAAGTCCCCGTAATCCGATCGTACTACTAGTAGGTGATGTAGTATAGCCTACGGTAAGGCTAGTTTAGGAGGGCTAGATAAAGCTGCTTTAAGCCCTAAGTCTATGTACCGTAGCCTTTGCTCTTTATATCATTATCTTCTATGGTGGCCCTATAGTTTTTTTTTTATAAGCTGCTTGATACCTACTAGTGTTACTATTTGACTTATCTGCGCCGGTAGTGTTATTCCTTTTTTAGCTAGCTGGTCTACGGCCTTGTTTTTTTTAATGCCCTAGTGTTCTAGAGATTAGTACGTCCGTATATTAAAAATCCTAGCTACTTCTTGGATTTTAAGGAACGCCTTTTATAACGAGTCCGGCGCCTTACTATGGATACCTTGTATAATGCTAGTGTTGTTAATATATATGTAGATTAGATGATTGCGATTGGTGAGTAGAGCCCTTCTAAGGCCGGCTTGCGCTCTTTTGACCTCGGTGTTGAATATTTTTGCTAGTCCGAGTCGGCTATACCTTTATGCTATGCGTTTAGAGTCTTGGTAGATGATAAAGCTGTACCCCACGGCTCTATTTGTCGCCCTGGAGCTATCCGAGAAGACGATTATATGGCTTTCCGGTACTATCTTTAGCTAGCGCTTAAAATCTTTTATAGCCTTTTTTTTATATTGAACTATTATTTGATCCTATGAGCTTGGTAGGTACTGTGATTGGAGGAATGCTGGTCTTCTGTATCTTAGTAGAAGTTTAGCTGTCTATTATAGTTTCGTTTATTATTGTCCTTATTAAGAGAGCCGTACGATTAGTGGGTATTGGCGATCGATCCTTTATAGTTGGATTACGGCCCGTAAATGGATGCCCTTTAGAGCGACTTTGGCTGACGGTAAGCTGGCGTTTTAGAGGAGGCTGCTGGTTAGTATTGTCCTCTAGATAGGTAGAACGGCCTTTGCTGCCGCTGTAATGACGCTATCGATCTTCTGTACGAGCCCCTTCTGGCCTATGTTGATGGGTCTTTTTTGGAGAGGCGGATTTATGTCTGTCTCTACTTGGCGTTTTGAAGCCGGCTTTGTGATACTTATGTACTATGTTTTGGCGTTAAAGAGTGCGATCGGTAGTATGTAGGAGACGACGGCTTTTTATATGGCGGCCGCTAGTAGTCTTTTTTTTATGTTTGTAAGTTACTTTAGGTGTTGAGCTGTTTTTTTTATTGTAATTATTTTTGTGTTAATGTGGTGCCGGAAGGATAGTTTTTTGTTAAACTAGATACTTAGCTAGCGTACAGGTTTTATTAAGGCCTTGACTATTAAATCCCCCGCTCTGACCTTTAGTAGCTCCGCTGGCTGGCCGTGCTTTTTAGTAAAGTAGATAACTTTATATTTGTTTAGGTTAAAGGAGACCTTGTTCTCCGAACCCTATTTGAGAATGCTGGCTGCGCTTTGGTTAAGTATTATGACGTTGCTTTCTAGGGAGGGGCTTATGGCCAGAGTGGCGATATTATCTGTATACCTGAATTGCGTATCCGGGTCGTCTTTAAGTATTTTTGTAATATAGAGTAGAAAGACAATAGGAGATAGAGGCGACCTTTGTAGTAGCCTGTATGATAGAGGAAAGTATTCTGTTATACTTTTTTTTAATCGGACTCTGGCGATGCGGATATAGTAGAAGCTGAAGATAAGTTTAACTAAGCTGTGTGGCTATTCTTGCTGATGTAGTCTAATAATGAGCTGGTTCCGAAGGATGGAGTTGAACGCCCTTTTTATGTCTATAGTTAGAAGTGTTGCTGTGAGCCCTTTTAGGAGGGCCGTTTTGATATTGTGGGCGAGGTAGGTTGTTAGATCGATGGTTAACCTGCCTTGTAGGGCTCTGATTTGTTACGGACTGATGATGTGCTCGATAATCGTTAGGGACGCTATCCTTCTGGTTATTAGTCTTTTGAGTCCTTTGCTTAGGTACGAGAGGAGTGCGATTGGATACTAGGACCTGGGTTTGGAGGTATTTCTGCCGGCCTTCTGGATTATGACTATTTTAGTTCTACGGAAAGGTAGAGGAAAGTGGCCGGCCCGTATATAGGACTGGAATAGTTGCCTAACTGGCTCCGAGATAATGCCCTAGTAGGCCTGGAGGAAGTGCGTAGTGATCCCGTCTATATTAAGGGTCGTTGTTTTTGTTAAGGTGGCCGTCTTTATTTCTTTTCCGTTAATATTATCCTACTAAGTAATCGCTCGCCTTGGGACGATAAGTATATTAAACGGGTTACCTAGTGTATTATCTTTTGTATTAAACCTATCGAGAAGGGCTTTCTAGAGCGCTTAGGCCTTTTTATTAGTATCTTTAATCGTTTGGTTATTTATAATTAATGGGGGTGCTCTAGTCAGTAGGCTTGCCTTCTGCTAACCTATGACTTGATAGAGGTCCCGGTTTAAAGCGACTCTATTAATCTTTCCGGCTTAATATACTCGTTTAGCCTTCTTTATAATATTTAGGAATGCTTTCCGCTCTTTTATTAGAGAAGGATTTACGTTCTGCTCTATTTTCTAGGTTTATAGGTTACGGGTAGTACGGTACGTTCTATAGGCCTCTATATATTCTTTTATCTACTAAGCTGTACCTTTTTCTTATTTTCTTTTCTTTTTACTGACCGCCTTAATGGCTTGGGAGAAGAGCTTGACGATATGACTTGCTTGCCCGTTTAGGTCTGTCGGAGTAGGTTGATTCCCTAGATTAGGTATTATAGCTAGCCCCCCTTTAATCAGGTCTCTTAGCTAAGGTAGTGCCGAGTTGGGTATTAATAGTGGCCGTGGCTGCGGGTAGCCCTTTCCCTATGATATTAGGTATTTAAATAGTAGTATGACGGCTACGATAGCCTTGTGGTTAGCTCCCGGGTGTAACTGTGGGCTGACCTACGCGTGTATAAAAGGGATATTAAAGAAAGCTAGGTCTAGGACATGTCCGTAATCCTAGGTTACTATCCTAACTTTATTAATAAAAGAGAGATTATAGCCGTCTGCCTAGCCTACGATATTATTTCCCTGGTTCCCGTTCCTTATCCTGGGCTCCTAAGAGTAGTGATATACGTTAAAGTTACCTATAATTAAAGCTCGTTCTAGGGGTTTAAGTTCTAATAATATCCTTATTATACGGCTGTGGGGGTTACGGGGTTATCTATATATATTAACGATAGTCGTTATTTTATTAATTACTAGTTATAATATATCTTTTATATGGACAGGCCTCTATTACTCTACCGTTATCCTTATCTTTTTACGTATATAGGTTAATACTCTTAGTCTAGTTCTTTTGCTATTTTAGAAGTCGATCGGGACGAAAGAGTCGAAACCCGGGTATATGTTTAGTTATATATTTCCGTCCTTCTAGCCCGTCTAGGGTTCTTAGATAAGGACTATATCTATCTAAGCCTCCTAATAGAGCTGTAGGAAAGCTATATATGCCGGGGAGATCTTTCCGACGTTACCCTATATAATACGTAATATCTGTAGGGTCGCCGCTTTCGGTTTATGTCTCTGAGTCGAGTTTGAGGTAGGTGTAGGTATTTACGACGTTATAGTTTAGCTTCTATGCTGCCTGTTAGCTCCTGCTTGGCATGGGTAGTATAGGATGGTCGATGGAGGTGTTGTTGGGGGAGTCTTTGCCCTTGCCTTTGTCCGCCTTGTCTTTATCTATGTTGCTGCTATTAGTGCTTCCGTTATTGAGGTAAATAATCGAGTTTGCGGAGGGCGTTTTTATGCGTGCGTGTTTGGCGCTGGGTTGCTGGTTCTGGCTAGTGGAGGTAGGGACGCCTGTTATTTCCTGGCTATTGTCGGATCGAGTAGCCTTGTATAGAGTGTCCGATGTTTTTTGGCCGGCCTTCCGGATCCGAGCCCGTTCTTTTTGACCGGGAAGGGAGATGACGCTATTTATGGCCGAGGGCTTTACTGGGTAGTTTGTGTAGCTGGTTTAGAAGGGGCCGTAGTAGTTGGTATATTAGGGCTTGGCTATGTAGGGTCCTGTTTTGTGTGAATCGGAAGGTCTTCTGTAGTTACTATAGATCGGTCGTTATCTATAGAACTGGTTAGAGTGGTAGCCCTGGTAGCCGGGGTCGTGTTGGATGAGCGTCCTTTGTTTTTTAACGGGCAGAGATCTGCCGCTTTGGTTAAAAAGCTTGAAGGGCGTGACCTCTGATGTGAATGATATGAGCCAAGATATTTCGTTCGTGACTAGGTTAGGCCTAAGGCGGGACGGTCAAGTAAGAATAGGCTTTTATTCTGTCTATACGAAGACCTCATCTTTAACGAGTATAGCTAGGTCTAGGACGTCCCTATTAATGCTATGTAATTTTGTTAGGTATTATGGTATAATGTAAGTGTACTATTTAATAGGCGTCTTGACCTGGTAGGCGCCGAGGTATTCCGCTAGCTTTACCTTATTTATAAATAGTTTTTCTTATATTTGCTTATTTTACGGCTTTAAAGAGTAACCTATATTAATATAGTAGATATAGGGAAGGTCTGTTAGCCCTAGGCTAACGGCCTTATAAACGATCTGTCGTATAGCGAACGGTACGATCTTCTAAGCGGCCGCTAAGCTTTCTTCCGGGATATAGGCAAAAATACAGAGGTCCTCCTTCGGCTACGCCTACGGCTAATCCTCGGCGGGGAGTATGGCCTTTAGGCGGGTAGAGCTCTAGCAGCTCTAGCTACTCCAGGTCGCCGTAATAATATTGCCCGCTATTAGTATAACGATAGCTACCTAACTCCGGGCCGCTATTGGGCTTATTTTGTAATTGATTAGTTTTTTGAGGGTTTGAATAATATAGGTAGTGGCTTTTTTTACGATCTGCTTTTTAGAATTGTTAAAGCTGGCGATAATGTTATTGACGGACTATATAATGGTTAAAAAGATGTCTTTCTATGCCTTATACTGTCTAGCTTTTTCTATAAGGGCTGTTAAGACGGACCTTGTAGTAGATCTATTTAGAGTAGATATGGTAGAGGCTGCGGGCCCCTCGGTCAAGGTAGGGGCGTCGGTGGTGGTATTAAGCTGGTTTTCTGTTAGGCTAGGCCGGGTCGGCTATGCCTCGGCATTACGGCGTTGCTTAGTTCTTGAGGTAGGGTTTGGTTCTGGAGGTGTCCTGGAGCCTGATTCGGGGTCGGCTTGGTTGGCCGATATTAGTCCGGTGCCCGACGGCGGCTGTGAGGCTATTGTGGATGCGGGCTCCGGTAAGGGGAGGTGAAGAGTTTTCGGCTGTTAGTAATTTGGTGGTAGGCTCACTTATTCACTAACAGCAGATGCCAAGAAAAATTAGGCGAGAGGGAAGTTGATGCGACGGCAATAGTCTTGAGTCGTCCGTATCTGTCACCGAACCAGCCGCCTATCAAGCACCCCGCGAGCGTCCCGGGAAGGTAGTAAACGGCAACCTGAAACACTGTGAGATCAGTGGGCATGAGAACGATTTATCCGGATGCTCACGATGCCTCCTTGCAACAATGGCTTATCAACCACCACAATTCTTTGCTGCTCGTCCCAGTGACCAAATCCCATTAGTTCAGCATAATTACGTGCAGTGTTAACGCCGCCCATTAAACCTGCGACACATGTTATCAAATCTGACTCCTTGCTTCTCTCAGCGCTTGATCGGAAACTACTCACCCTGGTCATAGCCGAAGAAGAACACGCTCAAAGAAGCCACAAAGCAAACTGCGTTGAGCAGCGAACTCTTGTAGAGCTTGTTGGCGGCATTGTACTTCGCAAGGGGACCTGTTGGACTTGACATTTTGGTCTAGTGTCTTGTTTCTCTTCTAAAAGTTGTAAATACAAGCATGCTGCTTCAATGTCTAAGGTAGAACAGAAGATCGGCAGAAGAAATCTAAAGGGGACCTTTTGTTCCGGGGAGGTCACAGAGGTAGTACTTATGTAAGATCCAAATCTAGATTCTTAATCCCGAGGATCCATTGCATCGTTCTGTGTTACCTCCCCCACCATCCCTCCTCCAAGTTTCCTCTCCCCACACCCCACGTTTTGAACCGCACGTATCCCGTCGACTCTACGGGAACAACAAAACCCGGCAGGTGACATCACTCCAACATCCGCCAGCGCCTTTACGCAGTAGGTAGTCAACTCACCTCCAACGTCGGCTCCGCATACGTCCGACGCCCTCTAAGCCGACTCCCGGCAGGATACCTACCGAAAAGTTGCAAAGAAAGCTCGGGGCGTTGACCGGTTTGTCGCCGAGGGTTGCAGGAAAGCTTACATTGGGGGTGGGGACTTGCATGTTTTCCGCCCAACGACTGATCCGCCCGGAGAGGGACTGAGCGCAGTGAGCGGCTGTAAACGGGATTATCATTGCTTTTTGTGGCATGATCAAGTGACGTCGAGTGAGGAGCCAACCCAGGTTACACCAAAAAGACAAAGCCGCGACGGACAGAACGCCGAATCGCTCCCTGGCATCGCACGATGCTATTGTCGAGTAATGCTCTTAGTACGTTATACGCCAGGCTGATGACTCGAACTTGATGTGCACCGTCACCTTGCATGCTCGTGGCCTAAATCCTAGGACTGGATCTTGAAGGATCGCTCCGCATTGCTTCCGTCTCCATGACTCAAACCCTCCCGATCATCTGTGCCGTAATCCTCGGGCCCGCTCCGAGCCTCTGATCTATCCCTCCGGAACCGGAGGCGACGAAGATCATGGGTACTTATAATTGACCGCATTCACAGTGCCGGTAGGATTGGATTCCTGCAAAGCAAAGGATCCTACTTGCCTTGAAGATGTAAGCTGGTTAGGGACACTGTTGTGGAATTGGCTGTTGGTGGCATGATGCATCCTCATGCTTAACTCTTTTGATGATTTCTCTGTGGACTATTTCGGACTCATGACAAGCATCATGTATTCTGTATTCATTCTTTTCAAGTACAAGTACGATGTTGATGTCTTTAAGAAAGTTGTCAATCAGGGTATGGTGTACAGGCGTCCGTTCACATTTTCGGTGCCCAACAACTCAAGTCCCTTTCCGACATCCTCAAACGGAATCTCCTTCATGAACGGCCTTATCGACCCCGATCCGATCAAGTCCAGAACCTCTCTGAACTCTTGAATGCTGGCGCTCGTTGAGCCTTTGAGCGAGACATTCTACGTAACAATCGCGGTAGTTGTAATCTGCATGCTCTGGGCTGCAAGTCCAACTAACACCACGCATCCGCCAGGCCTCACTGAGGATATCGCAGCCTCAACCGTCTTCTGGGTTCCTGCAAAGTCTAGTATGACATTGAAAGTTTCGTCCGAAAATGCTTTCTAATCCGTGGCACAGGCTATAGCGCCGTATTCCTCGGCCTGTTCAAACTTGTCCACGTTGATATCGACTCCAAAAACCCTGGCACCACGGTGTGCCACAATCGCCAGCCCGTTCAACCCTAGACCATCTAGACCAATAACACCAACCATGTGCGATTCGCATACCCTACCCTCAGCGACGATGGCGTGGTAGGCAGTTGCAACGGAGTCGGTAGCTACAGCAGCTTCAGCGAAGTCAACCTGACCTGGTATCTTGACAACATTTTTGCCTGGTGCAAGTGCATATTCAGCGTACCTGCCGTCGCAGCCGACGCCGAGTGCCTCCTCAAAATTTCTCTCTTGGAACGGATGGCCCACGCAGGATACGGCAACCCGGTCGCCGACTTTGAATGATGTGGTTGAAGAGTCGCCTAGCTCGGTAATGATATCGGAGACTTCATGGCCCAACGTCACGGGCAGCGCGCAAATTCACGCTGCGCCACCGCCGTGGAGGACATGGGTGTCGGAGTGGCAGAGCCCGGCGGCTTTGACGCGGATAAGGACCTGTTTAGGGCCCAGAGAGGGGATTGGGACGTCTCGGAAGACAAGGCCTTTGTCGGGGCCGAGGAGACGAAAGGCTTTCATGTTAGGCCAAGGTATTGTGTAAAGAAAGGCATGAGCAAATGAAACTTGCTGAACACCTAGACATTGTCTATTTTCTCTAGCATCGTTAATTTGGGATGCGTCAGTGATAGAAAGTAATGAGATGACATATTACTGGTATCAATAAGTTGAGTGCAGCCCAATTTATATATCTGAATAACATGAGAGGACTAGACAGACGAATGCATATAAAACTACGAGAGCTGACTTTGCTGATATTGCAAAATCTTCATTCGCCAAACACTAGTTGAGATTCCAAGTTCCGATGACCTCCCCTTCAACGATATTCCAGCTTACAGCATAGTAGAGCTGCTACCGATGCTTGTACTGGCATCAATGTCAGCGCTCAGAACATCTCTAAACTCTCCTAGCGACAAACGTCTCTTTGAATCACAAGATTTAATGCCCTCGGGGTTCCGCTGAAGTAAGCCCGCCTTGACCTGGCCGGACGCATGCTCCTGATCAAGTGTCGCCACAGCGCTTTTCCAGTCCCTTGGAGCATCGAATGCCTCAGACCCAACTCTGCCAGTCTCACTAAAGGAGAACATGACGGTCGTATCGCAGCCATTGCTAACCGCGTTCCCGCAAACTTCATAAGACAAGAAGTATCCCCTGGCAATCAAATGACTGGCAATGGCGGCAACGCCGGCGGCGACGCTCGAGCAGGTGGCGGTAAGTGGCCACTTCACGGAACCAATCCATTCGGCTCCCGCGGTGACTCCATCGCCAGCTGGAGCATCCCAGTCGATAGACCCGACGAGTCCGGGCAGCTTTTCACTAATTTCGTTGTGGTTAGAGAACTTCCGTCAATATCGACAAAGGTCAGTAGGCTCTTACATCAGCGACTGTAACTCATGTGGGCTCTCGGCTACAGTCTTCGATCCTGTCATTTGAAGACCTTGCCATTGTCGCTTTTGGGCAGCGCGCCAGGCCATCACGTCAGCTTGGCCTGTGTTGGAGATGGTTGCAAGTTTTCCATTAATGTCGACATGGATGCTAGCTGTACGATCGCTGATCCCGGCATGAAAGCTGAGGTCTACTTCGAAGATTTCAGCTTCTCTGGCAATGATCTCAATATTCAGATCTTTATCGACTTGATGGTTGACGATGCCGATGAACAATCTCGGAATAGGAGACGAGAGGCAGCTTCCGCCAATGCCGGTTGCAACAGACCCAGCATTAGCCATCATGGATGACTGGTTCAGGGTAGATAAACCGTGACTAAGTTCTGTTGATAGAAATTTAGTCATGATGACGTGTACTCATAGAGACTTAACTGATTGGGGGCAGGTTTGGTACTTACCCCCTGGAAAATGTGATGTACGCAGGTGAAGCCCCTCCAAGCTCGGACATGAAGGAGACGAGACCTTCACGGTATCTACAAGGCAGAAGCTGAGTTAGCAGAAGTCGACTCGGTCTTCTAGGTGTCACAAACAAGTTGAATCCGAATCGCTCTCGAGCTTGAGAGTGATTAGGCGATTTCCTCGACAAGCAAAGACCCAAACGTCGACCTCAGTTCCCAGAACATCTTGCGTGTTGGCAACTGAGCCGTTGGTATACAGCTCAGGAGAAGCCCAGATTGCGATGTGATTCTCTGGCTTATTGTGATCTATACGGAGGGTGATCGCATATGTCGAGGACATGATGAAGACTTCCACGAGGAGTGGCACTTTTCAGTGTGTAGTTGTGGCAGGGAAAATTGAAGGGGGTGGCCTGTTGCAAATAGAAGACGGGTTAGGTTGAGCGAATCTCCGGATTATATACTTTAATGGCCATTTTTGCTGCATCTTGGGTCTAGAAACGTCGCAGACCTTCCCCGTGGGATACGGAAACCTGTCCGTTGTGAAGTGCAATTTGTTCTGGCATCCAATGATCCGCCATTTCCTCAGTGGTGGTTGTTAAATTGTCCAACCAACATTCACAGCGAAGGCACTCGACTCTCAAAAAACACCTAGCCGGAACATGGCATGCTAGCTTTAGCTCGAAGGCATGCCTTATCAAGGGGAATACTACATACGTCCCGTGAGACATCATGCTGTGATACCAAGCCGCTGTATGTCTTGAACAATCTGAGATATTAGCAAGAAAGCATATTGCTAGAGATGTGAGTATTGGGAGCCATGGCCAGATCAATATCGCTTACAGCGATCCAGCCATATGAGTTGGTGATGTTGGTATACAGCCTGTCAATGCGATTCCGTAAATGCAGGGGCGAGCCTTCGAGATTTCCTACTCACGACATTCTACATCTCAGACAAGCCCTATGAAATCGTCATTGCCAGGGTCGCGAAACCATCAAGAGTCTGGCAGCAAGCCACCTGGATGCAACACCATGGTACTTTGAAGTGTGCCTTACCGCAGGGTTTGGAGAACAGTACCTTTGGCTATCCTGATGAGAGAAGAAAAAGGGCCGAATGTCTTCCCGTGGTCCCAGGTAAGGAGACGGTCTCAAGCCCCATTATGTCTCACTAGCTTCCCGAAAAGCAGCACCACCCCGACCAAAGTGGGAGTCTAGTTGGTTGTTCCGTGTAGCAAACCATTAAGACACGAGGAGAACCGGTAATAGGAAGAACGTAGAACGATGTATGGTTCCAAATTTGGACCCCACGGGGTCGAGGCGCCGTTTGGGACTTCCGGTCCGGGACCCGGGAAAGTGGCAGCCATGGTGAAAAGATGCGAACCACGTTCCTCGACCCTGACGGTACAATCAAGTCCAACGAGTCAGAAACTCACAATTGAAGTATTGTATCTCTCGATGGAAGATGCGCAAGTCAAATAGACTTTACCACACTGTGATTCACCCTCCTGAAACTATTGTTGTCAAGTATTATGTGCCATGTATGCATGCATGCATGCAGATCTCCAAGAAATTCTGAGGTGATACTGAAGTATTACGGAAACACTGTCTTTTATTTTTGTCGCACCACAGAGTTGTGATATTCCTCTACCGCCTTTTGCATATACCTGTGTTTCTCCATTTGTCAAACTCGATTTCAAATATGTTTTCTTCCGATGTGGATTATTTTCAAGATGGGAGAGAATAATTGGTCAAGCTTGGACTACTCAAAATGCATTGTGCTGGCATTTAGTTGGCAGAGACATCGTTGAGTCTCAACCCTGGACAGAATCCCTAGGCTGGTAGCTTAACATTGCACTCAGCGTCGACGATTCAGAAGCAGGCTATCTACTCTACAATCTGTTGGAAAATGAGGGAGATCTGGTATGTATATGACTGGCTCTTGGAAAAAGAGAAGGTGGGTGTAAGAATCAGTCTCACCAAGGACTCCAGACTGTGAAACATACATGTAGGTAAGTGGCAGTTGGGGGTGCTCTTCTCCGAAATCCTTCCATCCTGAGGGTGTATGTGCATGCACTTCTCTCATACGCGTCTGCTTTTGATGACATAGACTTGGCACGGCAGGAATGCCAAGGGCGTGAATCCGACAGCCTGCGGAAGATCAGAACTCCAGCCACCTCACATGCAGCGAGCACTTCTTGACAGTAAAGTCTACAGAGTCCTGACTTTGTGCATTCTAGTTCATAGACTTTGCCTGCGTGGCGGAGAATCAGAACGCACTTGTCTTGGAAATCTAGAAGCGGAACATAAGTTTCTGTCTTCTAGGCTCTCACGTTCCTCACATTCCACTTCTACACATGAAATGACCAAAGACAAAGTCTCAGCCTTGTATGATTTCGGCCCCCGGCCTCCTGACTCGGCCCAGGAGACTCAGAAGCAATTGTCAGAGACTCTGTACCATCAAAGGTCACTAATCTCCCAGCCCTGCGGCTGAGACGTTTTACGTTGTCACCGAAGGACCGCCGAAGGTATCGCGCCATGGGTTGATAGGCGTCAAAGACACGATGGTACTCCCCTGCAAGTGTGCAACGTGAGAGAACTTCGTACTTGTGCATTCCACTCTGCGTTACTTAGGTACTCCATATAGCTGTCCTAGCTCGGGGTAAATACATCGAACCTCGCTTAGTTCATCTGTGATCGGAGAGCCTGTTGAAGAATATGATGATGATCTTGACATTCTTGGCGTACATGTGGTTTCTGTTAGTGCGTCCGTGTCAGGCTACCTAGCCAGACGCTATTCTTAGCCCGGATTTGACCCTGGAAGAATCATGTGGAGAGCCGTCAACCAATCAAATATTCATCTTCTTCTTGTCAGATAATTTGACGCAACCATGGCTCTCGCTCCTTTCTCTACCCCGCCCTTATGACCTTGATCAACAATGGCGATGGAAGCAGAAGCAGTGAGGGAAACTCAAGAGTCGTCGCGCTATGAATACTCTGCCTTACCTTCAGAGAGTTCCATTCGCCTTCTGCAGATCGTTCAGGATAATTCCTGCGCACAAGGCTTCTTAGTACGGCTGGAGACCTACGAGCTTGAAGATGCGCCCCCATTTTGGGCACTTTCATACACATGGGGGCCTTCAGAGTTTGATGAGGGGTCTGATGCTTCAAAGAAAGCAGAAACACATTTCACTAACTTAGAATGCGACGGTGGACGACTTCGAGTCGGCCAGAATCTTTTCGACTTTCTGCGGCAGTTCAAGAATGACATCGCTTTCTTCGCAGAATCAACGGAACATGGACGTCAGTCCCGTAGAGCTAATCAATCGGCTCGGCTACTCTACCCTGAAAATGGCTTCAACCTTTGGGTCGATGCTATCTGTATAGACCAACGAGAGAGCCAAGAGAGATGCCATCAAGTCCAACTCATGGGCCAAATTTACGAGTCCGCAAGAAGTGTAATTGTCTGGCTCGGCACAATTGAGCCCCCATACGAAGTCTATTGGGTCGTCAGATGTTTTATACCAAAGATATTAGAATTGGCCCGGGCAGGAAGCAACGTTGACTTCCTACACCAAGTTGGACCGGAATTAGACCACCCTGAGATCTCCAAGTTGCTCAGCAAGGATTTCTGCGATCAGTGGCGAAGTTCATATCCAGTGTACTTCGACTTCTTCCTAAAGAAGAGATGGCTTACGCGCGGATGGGTTGTACAGGAAGCAGCGATACCCCACCCCGAAGATATCGTGCTTCAGTGTGGCGGGGTCCAATTCGCCTGGTCCGACATCAACAAACTGTCTGCCTTCATTCTTCGGGTGCGTTGGGATGAAAAACTCATACAAAGACTGGGTGAACTCCTTCCGGATTGGAAGAAACGTCCTGGCACCGTCGATCGCCTTTGGAACTCGACACAGTCTTCTCTTTCGGCATTTCGTCGTGAGAAAGTCAGCAACGGCATGGCTCGTTGGCAGAAACAGCGCTGGGGTGCTACTACAGATGAAGCTATGCGTCATGCCGAGGTACTTCAAACTCTCCACAGGTTGAGGATCTACAACTTCGAGAATCCGCTGGACCACATTTATGGCGGGCTGGGAGTCATACAGCGCATTCTGGGTCGCAATTATGAGGTTGGAGTAGTGCCCAATTACGGCGTCTCCGTCGAAAGCGTTTACACCCAGGTCACGGATTGGTTGATCCAGCACTTATCCAATCTCGATATTCTGGGACTAGCAGGCATCACCGAAGGTCGCCTCCCAAACCTTCCATCGTGGGTTCCAGACTTCTCATCTCACGGGCCTGAACACTTTACCTCTCTGCAAAGGTTAAGGCAGTTGGCAAGAGATTGTCTTTTCCCGAGAACTTTTGATGCCACCAGCACTGCAGATGGATCGGGCAGACATGAGGCCCGGAGTCAAGGTCATGATCATCTCCTACTGGAGGGAGTCTTCATTGACACGGTCTCAAAGTCCGAAATCTCGAGTTTCGACAGGCAAAATATCTTCAGCAACGTAAAATGGCTACGAGATATGAGAAGACGGCAGGGTATCTATGAATTGACAGGGGAGAGTCTCATGGATGTAGCCGTGGCAACGCTAATTGCGGACGTCAAATTACTTCAAGACTCTCAAGAGAGTCGAAGAGAGTGGGTACAGAGGTGCATAGCCTACGATGAAAACAGAAACATGGGTGAAGGAGAAGATCAAAGCACCGCTGGGCTGGCAACGACGTCCATCCAACATTCTGATGCGGCCATTCTAGCAGACTCATTGTCAGGAAGTTTGGGGAAGGACCCCATCTCAAAGATGGCACATTTCATGGCTTCTGGGAGACAGTTGTTGGAGACAGACAAGGGCTACCTCGGGCTTGGATCGGCGGCGTTCAAGGCTGGAGATGAAGTCTGGCTTATTCGTGGAAGTCGCATGCCGCTATTACTGAGGAATACCTCCATCAACGCAAGCTACGATGACAACGTTGCGAGTAGAAATGGCGGAAAATACGTTCTAATTGGAGAGGCATACATCCATGGGATCATGTACGGAGAGTTGATGACTGACGAGTTCATGTCATGCTGCCGGGCAGTTTCTCTCGTCTGAACGAGATCAAATCGTCAAAAGGAGCTCGCCAAGCCCACAAACCAAAGAATCAGAATCTCGAAAGCATTCAGCCGCGAGTTTGACCGGATGAAAAGTTCTTCGGATTTACTATTATCATATCATGTTCAACACGATAGACTGTATGTGCTCATTTGTGAATGGAGCTTAGCTCTGCTGCCTTGCTTCTATTCGGAATGTTGGATTAGATAAAGTTTAGATACTATTCGCTCCGCTTGATAGATATTACAACTGATTTTTTCTACTTCTGACACCGTCTGACGAGGCGTGATCTTTCTCTCTTTACCAAGCGGTGTGTCCTCCATCAATGATCATGTTGCTTCCCGTCATGAAAGAGCTTGCGTTGCTCATGAGAAAGAGTGCCGCGCCCTTGAATTCCGTCGTATCCGCCAGGCGACCAAACATGTTCAAGCTTTCCCACTCCTCTTTCAGACCTGGAACTTCTTCGAAATTCTTCCGCACCATCGGCGTCATGATGTGCCCCGGACTGATGCAATTAACACGAATTCCACCAGTGCCTTCCCTGGTCATGGGACTCCACTCCATGGCCAGGTTGCGTGCCAGTTGAATCAGGGCGGCCTTGGAGGAGTTGTAGACGGGTGAGAGTAGGCCGTGATTTGCGATAAGTCCAGACATGCTGGCGATCATACAGATGCTGCCGCGAGACTTGTACCTGATCATCTGGCGTGCCACTGAAGTAGCGCTCATGAATACGCCGGTGTAATTCACCGCAAGCATCTTCTCGACATCATCTGCGGTGTACTCCGTGGATGGCGTTATCTGCTGAATGCCAGCTGCGGCGATGAGCCCGTGAAGTCCTTGGTTCTCATCGGCGATCCCAGAAATAATCTCGTCTAGTGCCTTGGTATCGACCACATCTGCTTGTCTGTACTGAAGGGAACCTCCCCACTCTGGGACCACACGGGCCAGTGCCTCTGCATAATCTTCGTGAGGCTTCTCTTGCCGGTCAAGGCAGTACACTAGTAATATCACCCAGTCAGTATCAAATAGAGACCTGTAAATCAGACGGCACGAAGACATACCCTTACCCCCTGCTTCGCAAAGAGCCTCTGCTAGGCTCAAGCCTAGACCTTGAGCCCCTCCCGGTCACAATGAAAGCTTCTCCCTTCAGGTTGAAGTCGGCGAATTGGCTGCGGCCATAATTGTGTTTCATGTGCGGGCGCGTGTCGAAAGCATGGTCTTTCATAGGATCAGAACTGACTGGCTGCGCACTGCTTAATTGTGTTGTGTTGTGGAACGCAGCGGTATAAAGTAGTGGGGATGATTCGATGGTTCTTTTCGAGGCAGAAGTGATGAGACTCTTTCCCGTCCGAAAGCGCAAAGTGCTTTGGAGGGCTTTGCCAGCTATTGACATGGCGTGCTAGGTGTGTAATACGGTCTAGGGATGTTTGAGCTTGATGTGCGTACTAAGTAAAAACTGCGGAAGCTCTATAGCTACGGCTTGATTTGAGCTTAGTATCGGTGTTGTGTAGGAAAGTTTCTGAAATCAAAGAGGCATTGGAAGCTTCATCGTTTCTTGTGTTTGGCTGGCATCGCATTTTAAAATGCGACGTCAGTCCCAACAACACGGGCCTGTGGGTCCCTGCAGCCGCCACATGGGAATTTGACGAACAGGGACAAAAGATGGCACCGCAAATTGAACACTAGAGTGCCCATAAACTGACATCGCTTTGGGACTGACGTCTCGCTCTCGTCATTCCGAATACTGAAACCCATCAATTTTAGGAACGGGAGTGGTATCTTGCTTCCTGACGGGAGCTTTTTGCAACTAGCCGCGCCCTCGAGATCAGGTGTGCGTCAAATGGAGTTCGAAAGAAGAAAGGAGCAACCGCTTCGGAATGCTAGTAAGCTGACGGAAATCACGGATGGGCACGGGATAGTTGTGCCGTCGAAGATCCCGGATGAGCCACGCAACGACGTAGGACACCATGAATCCTCTTCAGCCACAGGTTGATGCATCGACCCGAATGACGCGGCTGGCAAACAAGGAAGTTAGTTTCACCAAGCCAAAAACCCTTGTTTGATAGGTGAACCGAGCAAGAGACGTGATCCGTCGATCACTGCTTCGTTGTGAAACATGGCAGTGTTGGCAACTTGGCAGTCAACCGCCTAAGTGCACGTAAAGTAGTTGATTTCGCCGTCGCTTAGCCCAGCTAGTTCCTGGGGTGTCAAGTCTAAGGATCTCACTTGTTTGGTCATAGAGCGTGGGATTCCCTCATCCGGAGATATCTGGTCCGGCAAATCGGATCTATTTCCTGGTTTGGTTGCTGGGTGCTATGATTGCTGATTGGCGATCTGTCGTCCTTCATTTCCTGCTTTAAGAGACATGGGCCCACCGGATCTTGGCCGGTTTGCTTGTATCATCACATCATGCAGCTTGCACCCAAAGTTGAGTGCATGACTTGGCTGAAAATGGGCTTTCTTGACACAAGGTCATGTTTCTTTGAGTTGCCTATCAGGATAGGGACGGACTGCAGCTCAGTGCCTCACCGGAGAGACCTCCGGGCGGAGTTGATCTCCGAAAGGTGGACCTGACTTCCGGCCAGCCTCGGTGGATACCGACAGGGCTAAAGATTACCTCGCACTGGAACCTGACGTCACTTTGAAAACATGGCTAATTTGGGACGAGAATTATAGATTGCTTATCTCGCCTGTGGCATCTCTTATTCCCTGTGTCTGGTGAGTAGACACTACCAGTTGGCTTGAAGAGTACACCTCATAGCTTAGTGGCTATCGTGTTGATCAGCAATCTATCAACGTCATATTGGTGAGAACATGATGTTGGAGACCTAGCTAATCCTCCGAGAAGTCGTCCTTGAAGAGTAAATAAATCAAACCTTTGCGTTTCCATCCGCATCCCGTGATCCTCGTGAGGCGGGGCGCTCGTGAATATCCTCAAGCTCGACTTGAAGGACCTTTTGAGTGTTCTTTTGGACTCTGTCCTGCACATCTTTACCCTCGAACATGAAACTCAGCTCTTCAAGCGTGCGTCCTTGCGTCTCGGGGAAAATCATGTAAACTGTCAAAATCTCTACCAGGATCCACACACAGTAGACAATGTAGTACTTCCAGCCGATGGCATCAAGTGCGATTGGATTGACATAGGTGTTGAAAAAAACGGCAAAGCGGACAGTAAGTTGTTCAACGGCGATTCCCTTTGCTCTGTATGTGGTGTCAGCGTCACGCTTCCCTGGAAGTATGGCAAAAACGACGCAAGAGCACATTAGAAGAGGACAGCGAAACCTTACCTTTGACTGAATGGGAAGAGTTCCACGAGATAAGTATAACTAGATAGGTTAGCGCCCAAACGTTCGGGTTGATCCTGTGCGGAGTTCATGGGATAGGTAAGGAGAGAAAGGAGATCGAGGGGTCATTTACGCAAGGGCGTTCCATCCAATGTTGTAAAACCTAGAATGGAAAGTTAGCGTTTGTTTCAAGCAGTACAGTGTTAGAATAGAGCGATTGACTCACGGCGAATAAACAAAAATGAAGACCAAGACTGGAATAGCAGCTCTTTGGGATTGCTCGATGGCGAACCTTGCTGACGCGACAGTCCAGACGGTGTAAACGCAAGCAGTACCGATTGTACATGTGAGAAACATCTTTCTTCTGGCAAAGCGTGGTGCTATCAACGCGATCGGAACGGCATTGATGAAACCTTACCGTGTTATTAGCATGAACTCAGATACCAACTGGCGAGAAGATGACCTACCCCAGCACGTGTTGCCTAGAATGAATCTCTGCACTGTGTGATTGTCCGTGATGCCAACAAGATTGAGAATCTTCTTCATGTAGAAAGAAATTAACCCGTTGCCAGACCACTGTGTGAAGAAGCCCATGATTCCAGCCAGCATGAATCGGCGGCGCATGGCGGCACCACGGAAGACATCGGCCCAGAGGAACTTGCTAGCAACCTCTTTCTCTTGCTGGATGGTGGACATGATCTGGGCGTACTCAAGGCGGACAAATTCCTCGCCGTTCTCTCCCTCACTGTGATACTTGTTGAGAATTGCGAATGCCTCGTCGCCACGGTCTTTAGATATCAACCAGCGGGGCGATTCTGGACAGAAAGGCATAAAGATGATTTGACAGCCGCTAGGAACGAGTTGAAGTAAACTGGGGATTCTCCAAGCCCAGGTGGTGGTCATTTGAAAAGTACCGAAGGTGATGCCTGCTGCAACGATGGCTCCTGTTTATCAATACATGTCAGCGGCGCCCTCAAACTCTCTGCCTGGGAGCTCATGAGATAGGGTTGTATTCCATACCTACAAACCAGCTTGCGTTGAACAGGCTACAAAGTCAACGAGTTAGTGACTGCCATCCCCTGATTGCGACGCGTGCGAGCGTACCTGGTCATGATTGGACGCTCCTTGGCATAGGAAAGTTCGCCGATGAGTGAGGAAGCGTTGATAATGGCAAAGGGGATACCGAAACCTAGAACCCATCGGGAGGCCAAGAACATATCGACATTCCTGGCCCCAGCTTGAAGCCCAGCACCCAAAACCATGATCCATGATCCCATAAGGATAGTGCGTCGGCGACCGAGACGCTGGCTGAAATAAGGGACAAAAGGAATGGCCATGAGAGCACCGAGGGAATAGATCGCGCTAAGAAGGCCAAGCCTTGAAGAATTGGGTCGCCCAAAGTCTGGTTTTGAAGATATCAGTATTGAGTCATCGCGAATGGCAACGAATCCCACGGTGGGGTTCTCTCACATTCGAACCACGACGAGACAGCTTGCAGACTGTTCATCATGGAAGAATCAAAGCCCGACGTCCACTCAACTCCAAGTCCGGTTGGGATGAGGATGAGATAGAGGAAGCGCAGGTTCGGCTTCTTGTACCAGATCGTCTTGTCATTCTGCGCAATTTGCGACAATTGTGGATCGACATGGTGTTCTTTGGCCCCGATGATGGCCATGGCTGCGGTCTGAACGATGGCAGGTCCGTTTGCTCTTGAACAACGAGATGAACCCAAACTTTGAACGTTCTGAGACTGGGGATCGCGATGTTCAAATACTGGCTGGACGTTGCGCCAGGTCCCTGGCTCCTATGTCTCCGCGGCGGAGAGGAAAGCCCACACTTGTTCAAGTCGATCGACCCCAATAAAGATGGCGGGACATCAGGCCACCGAATCATGGTGCAGAGTTCTTCGTTGGGGTTGCTTCTTAGATTGCTGCCCACCCACAAAGAACCCAAACATCGCGTGCGGGGTTGCGCGCCGGGCGGGTAGGGATTCCGATCTCAAAATCCGGGGTAAGAATGACCGAGGCAACGCCGAAAAACAAGGGTCTCCGGGACTTTGAGGAGCCTTTGCCGGGTATTTATGTTGCCGTCTGCCACTTTCGTCTGAAAAACATGTCATCCGTCAACGAGAAGTGAGACGAAATGACAGGCTAAATCGACATGTAAAATGCGAACGCACTTGGAAGACATCTGACGAACGGTCTGGTCCAATCTTGTTGTCTCGCAGCCAAGGTTGCTGTGCACTAGTGAGCCAATCTTGGCGGATCAACTCCGCTCCACGTGCTGTGAATCCATCGTGGGTGGGCAATGGCACCTCCATGTTTGCCCGGCCATATTGTGTCTACTTGAGAAGCTGTTCGATCTGCCCGGGGTTTAACTTGTTTCATTGTGCTACGCAGAACTCCTACGAACTTTTGGAATGCGTTTCAATTAAATGAGTGAGACGTGACAAGCTATCGTCGGCTGTGACTGCATCGCTAACCGGATCACTGACCTAGAGTTGACCAGTCCATGAGGGATGGCAGGTATGTAATTGGTGCGGACGCTGTTATGATGGTAACACATCCATGATGCCTATCAGCGCAATGTGCCATACCCCTTCAAAGGTAATGATCAGACACTTGCAAGTGGTTCTATTGATTTCTGTTCATAGCTAACAGTGATCAAAAGCCGTGATTCCTGTAAGTCGAGTCATATGGCAAGACTAGAAACCCGTCTGAAGCGCAGTCCCATCTTCCGATGAAGACTCAGTTGGCAAAGACCATCATGAAATCGACTATAGCATCCAGAAACGTTTTTGCGAGTGTCTCGTCAAGACGTCCATCATTGAAGCAGACGGAAAGACCAGTCTCACCCTTCCAACTGTCCATTCGAACAAGCCTGGTTAAGTACCAAGTCATTAGTAGGAGTCTTCGTGATGTTTTCTCAACGACTGGTCTTGATGAACTATCGAGGAAGATAGTTAGGAGAGAAAAAGAATTCTTACACATCAGAGGAATAAGTCGTCAGATGGAAATGGCAGCTTTCCACTGTAAATGTCCTTTCGCTACTGGTGCTGAAAATGGCTTCTGGGAGATATTTATCGACTATACCGTCACTAACGAAGGCCTTCACGACACGGTATGAAAGGTTAGTAATGCTCGACAAGGCACCTGAATAAAGGACAAGCTTGGACTAAGGGGATCCGAACCGGAAAGCTTGTGGGCGAGAAGGACGAAGGCGCTCTAGGAGTGCTGTTAGGTTTGAACCCAATGACCTGAAGTAAGAGGCTGGAGACCACTCACGATGCTAAAAAGCTCGCCAAGAAGTTGCTCTTGGCCTGGTCAATGACCAATTGGAACTCATTCTTCAGCCAATACTCGTAGCTGTCTCTAACATAGCGAGCCAGTCTCACGAGAGTTGCCTTGATGGCTTCAGGATTTCCTTCGTCCACGACGTACGATCGAAGTGGTGCAAATTCAACAGAAGCGCCAGCCTGACACGATCCATAGCGAATGCTCGCGTCGCTACTAGTGAGATAGCGCCTGCCGTTGACTGGCAATGGCGAGGAAAGGAATATAGAATCCGAGGCATCAGGCAACAAGGGGCAAACTCGAAGTATCGCTAGCACCATGGCGGCATGGCCGAGGTGAGTAAAGGTGAAATGCGGTCCAAGCCGACTCTTGATAGCCTTCCCGATGACTTGACTCTGATCTGCACTAAAGCTGGCCCAAATGGTGCGAGGCGTGCCTACAGTGTTGGTGACAGGAAGTCCCCAACTTGTCTTCGGAGCCTTAGTGACCATACAAACTTGGTTGACATGTAACAGGCAGTCATTCTGCAGCCAGTGGAAAGGTATATAATCACTTACCGCACTTTTGAGCAACTCTGTGATAAATTCATCTCGCGTCTTTTCATAGTCTTCCCCCAGTGCATCCACAACAGTTTTGCATGCATCAAGGACCGGCTCGTTGAGGTTGACAATTTCCTTGCCCCAAGGATGCTGCAGAGTGTTGACTGCTGTATTCTGGCCGCTTGCGTTGAGATGTTGACCAAGGCCGCGAAGTAAGTCACCAACGAATATACGAGAACTAATGCTATCCCAGTGAATGTGATTGAAAGCACAGAGAACGTCCACTCGAGCGTCAGCTTCAAGTAGAGTGCTTGTCTCTAGCACTTGAGCTACGACATAGACTTTGACGGGGGGTAGTGGCTCTGGTCTCTTTTGGCGCTCTTTCGAAATTTCCGCAGCAACTTCAAGCCCAGTTCTGACCGTTGCAATTGCTGAAACGATGCTGCGGGCCCATTCTAAGGCAGCTTCGTTAGAGATTGGCGAGGTATAGACGATAAAGGGAGGGGCTTGGTCGGTGGTCCAGGCGACTGAGCATCCTATTTCAGGGTGCTGGAATCGGAGGTTGACAAGTGCTTTGGAAATCTGCAACGCGATTGTATCTAGCGAGAATCCAGGGACATGAATGCGGAGAGACGTATTCAGATAGTTATCGTATTGACCACGAGAGTTCGGTTCTCGCAAACCGACCCAGGCTTCGGTGCCGACAGCAAGGCGCCTGATAGACCGGGGGTCGTCTGGTGAGGGTAACCAACGGAACTTCGCTGGCTCTAGGCGAGGCAAGGGTGGGAGAGACATAGTAGTGATAATTGAACAGTTGAAGTATGATTCGGAACACGCTCAGTGAGCCACGGTCTGCAGGAGGCTTAAGTGTTAAAATTGGATTTGTCAGTGATGAATGGACGTAGATAGTCAGCCTTGAAGTGGGGGACAGTTGTCAGCTTTGTGTCTAAACGCAATCGAGATAAGCGAAGTTCAAGTTGCCATATCTTCCCCAAGTCTGGCCGTTTGACACTAGTATCGGGATGTAGCTGAACAAAGCTTAGCGCTGACTTGACCCGCCACAACCAATTCATCTTCTGGCTAGCCCGTTGTCTGTAGCCGTCATTCGAAAGCACATGCACTTTGCGTTCCATGTGGATGGGCATCCATCCGAACGCCACCATAGCGTGTGAGATTTCTCCTCTGACTACGTCGTAGCTAGTTCTTCCCGCGACCATTCTTCTGCCCTGGCAAGGACGATACCTCGAAGGTCATGTCCTTGCGAATTCCTCGAACAGGCGCAGTGCTTCCTTTCTCCGAGACGCTGTCTTCATCAAGACGCGTCCAGTCTCCCTGGCCTGCTTCGCCGTCCTCGTAGTTTGTCCCTTTACGGATCTTGCTCTTAGACGTCACTCCCGAGCCGCCAATAGTAACGAGCCCGACTGAACCCGGGTGGAGGCCGTGGGAGGCATCGGTTTGACCCAAAGTTGTAGGTCGCGGTGAGCGACGGTGCATGAAGAATTGTCGTAAAGCGGGGAGGGAACCGGCAATGAAACCAATGGCAGTCTCGACGTTGGACCAGAGGGGGATGTTGGCGATGTGGACTATTGATTGATCCATGTCAGCAACTATTCATCAGTGGCTAGGGAGAATAGCATACAGGCAAGATCGTCGAGAGGACGGTTGTAGTGGTCGATGTATGGAGTGCGTATCATGGTCGAGACTGAAGCACTCTGTCATTTAAGGAGGTGAAATTAGCCAACCACATCAACTCAGACGGAAGCACGCGTCAGAGGACTTACAATGAGCCGAAGGAAAGAACAAAAGAGACCATGATCTTTGTCGAGAGTTTCATTTGCGTTTGCCAGAGAATGATAGCCGGGAGGACAGCACAGGCAAGATCGGTAACAATGGTGCTGACAGTGGAAGTGTATGACAAGGCCAGCATCGAGCTGACTGGCGAGCATTCTCCACGACCCTCTAGTACAATGCTTGTATCCCAATTGGCTTCCACAGGTCGGCATAACAACAGGATTCCGACGAATGTCGTTAGGAAGGTGGCGACAGTAAGGCCCATCAAGACGTAGACGGCGATGCGCAGCGTTGGCATTGTAGTTGCGATCCGCAGTGTGGTGATGCAAATCGAAGTTTTGATCGTACACAAGACTGCCACATAAAGCATCATCCAGATCATCAAGTACTTCATCGATTCAACCAACATTACTGGGCTGAGGTCTGCGTTGCGTGTGCCTAGCCCGCTCAACGCACCCATGCAGGCGAGGGCGACATCGACGAGGTAAACGACCTTAACGCCAGTGTTAGCCTAGGCGTGATAGAGAAGAGTGACTCTCTCCGGTTCGTCACGAAGCGTTCTAAAAGTTTCCGGCTTACCAAACCACCGAGCATCAAGCCATCGTCCCAGCTAAACGTCTTTGCCCGCAGCCGAATGAACGTTCTCAGACATACCACGATCAACGACACAACGCCGCCAACGATGGAGACCACAAACAGACTGAGACCAACGCCCTCAAGTTGATAGACAAATCGCCGACTAGAATCTTCCGTCGTCATGTTGACTCGAAAATATGTGGCAATGCCTAACGGTCTTGACCACACGTGATGTTGCGATGGACTTGGCCGGAGACAGCGGGTTAACAAAACGAGTGAATCGAGATGAGGTGATTCAATGATCGTATGGTTACCAACGAGGATGAGGCAAAACGAGGAGACGAACAACGTACTCCACAGAAGTGAGCAAGAGCCGATTCTGGCTAGACCTATCGTTGACAGATATGCGGACACACCAGAGAGGTTATATGGAGGCGGTCTTCGTCGTGAGCTACAAGCCAATGTCTTCCATCTCACGCCGATCACTAGCAGAAAAACTCCTGGCTTTTTTTTAATCGAGATGCTAGGTGTCGCTAAGATCCTTGAACTATCCCTGAGCAACCCTTGGAAAAGCTCCTGCACGCAGGGAAGAATGCCTTTCGCTTCGACAGGGCCAGGGGGTATGCGGTTTGGATGACTTTTGGTAATACTTAGCACCACCATAGAACCCCAAAGAGGCGACTGAAAACGGAGTCGTGAGGCAATTCTTGGTGAAGTGACCAGGTAACGTATGTTTGACCCGTTTGCCGGATTTCCGGCTCCGCTAGGTGGGACAGTCAGGGACATTATATGCCATGCCGCGGACTACAGCACGTATGCGGGTGAACTTTATGACATGATGTAGCTTTGACACCGAACTTGATCAACACTAGAATGCAACATCAAAGATCAATTCTGCTGGTCTGCTGGTCTTGCCTAATACTCGTACCTTTTCGATCCCTGGATAATTATTGCAACCGCGTAAGGACTCATGTGTCCACGAGTGAAGACGAGAACATCGATGGTTATGGCCTCGGCATTCGCTCTTTCCCGGTCCCACATCATCCGTCATCCAGGCCTCGAAGACTCAATGTCACCTCGACCAGTACTCTCATTGGATTTCAGCAGTGGAGAAAGTGGATAATAAACTCGTTAGCAAGGAGTTCCTACTTCTAGCGCTCGAAAGGGTCTAGGGCGTTTGCTGAAGATCCAGAAATGGCGACAGAGGAGACCGTCTGACAGTTTGACAGGCACCACGTTGCTGCTATCACATTTTCTCCTATTTTCCTTAATAACCATGCTCCCCAGACCCCATGATATGATTCGGTTGAAAATTGCCTGACAGTCGAACCCGGCGTGAACTCACTTTAGCACAAACATCACATCGTGCTCTCCGTTAGACAAAATGACTAAATCACAGATCACCGTTCCCATTACCCAGGCTCCTCCGTACAAAGTTCACGAAGGCAAAACGGCCGTCATTACGGGCGGTGCAAGGAGTGAGCCTTCTTACCATTTCTTTCTGGAAGTTCTTAGAACACCTACGCTGACAAAAAGATCCAAGGTATTGGTGCCGCCATTGCTCAAAACCTTGCCTCCAAAGGCGCCAATGTCGTTCTCATCTACCTGACCGATTCCTCGGACGAGCCTGCCGCTGCTCTTGCCGAGCAGTTGTCAGCAGCACACAACATCAAGGCCGTTCCCGTGCGTGCCGACTTCAGCACACCCGATGGTTGCGCCAAGATTGTCGATGTTGTAAAGAATGACATGCCGCCCAACGCAAAGACCGGCAAGCCGCAGGTCGACATACTCGTCAACTGCGCTGCTCTCTTCCACGCAATGCCCCTCGAGGCCGTCAACATTGAGGACTTCCACAAGGTCTACTCTATCAACGTCCTCGGCCCCATCTTGCTCACACAGGCAGTAAAGCCCCTACTGCCTACCGACCGCTCGGGCCGCATCGTCAATGTGTCAAGCGTCGGTTCCAAGGTTGGCCTTGAGTACCTGACCCTGTACGGCGGCAGCAAGGGCGCCCTTGAGGCCATGACGCGCACATGGGCTCGCGAGCTCAAGGAGCACTGCACCGTCAACTCTTGCAACCCGAGCTCCACCATGACGGACATGCTCCGAGGTGCCTCTGAGGATGCGAAGCAGGCCATTTCGTCGTGGTACCCTCTTACACCGCTGTGCGGAATCCGAGAATGGGACTCGGATGAACAGAAGGAGATGGCTGAGAAGTACGGTGGACGTGCTGGCTACGCTGAGGAGATTGCTGGCATCGTTGGCATGATTTGCTCACCTGAGAGCGGATGGATGACAGGATGCTTGGTCAGTGCCAATGGAGGCCAGTGGATGGCTAGTTAAATATTCAAAATTGAAGCAAATTTTTCTCGTCAACTTTCAATGTTTAGTTCTGGTAGATTACAAACTCTACGGATTGACGCACAGTAGAGACTTGCCGGCTGCTGCAGCCTGCCTCACAGGCTCGCATCGCAGAATACTTCTTCACTCAGCCACGGTGACCACCGCGTAGGGACCCACGCACGAAACTATCTCATGCAGGGGCTCTCCAAGCCCTGACAACAATAAGCGATGCCGTCTACGAGGGGGGGTAAGAGGCTCATAGGTTGTTGATAAGAGAGAACTGGGGGCCGCTAGCAGTCATTGGGGCCAACTCCAGGTTCAGAAACATTTCCAACGTGGCACCGTTGAGACCAACAATTAACAACTAAACGGCTCAAAGATATTTCTGAAGAGCGAGCCAATCAACGACCAGGAAAATAGATTGTAAAAGTGGCAATTCTAATGTGGACGCAGGGCCGCAAATCATCCTCATTGAAATGGCCAGGCCCCTTGGCCGTTAGCGTCCTTACGGTCCCCAGAATAAAGCGACCTCGTAACATTCTTGACTGATGCCGGAAGAGAATCGGCACACCGCCGTAATCGGGATTGGTCTTGGATTCGAGCAAGTCCATCCCAGTTGCTTTGTCCGAGCAATTCGTATTGACTTCTCGTACTTGAAGTACAAATGTTCTCCCTTTTTGTACTTTAGTATGTAGATCATTTGAATCTCCAACTGGAGACGTTTGCTTTCCTCAACTAGTACGGAGTATAGTGCACAGCTTAGACCATCGTTTAGTAACGCACCAACGGGACGGTCCGGTGGGGTGGCATTCCAGACGCTCATTTCGGGGATACGAAGGTATTCCCGCAACAATGTAACCTCGAATCCACCCATGCGCAAAGTAATCCTAGAATCTCATCCCACGACGCGTCAAATTGCTTCAAGCGATCTCGGAGCTTCTTAGAACCGTGAGATGTCCTGAGCAAAGCGACTTCAGCTCCTGGAAAATCTTTAAGCACTACCTGCATCAGAGGGCCGAGTCTGTTTAGTCTGAAAGACGATGGTCAGTGAGATCATCCTTGGACAAAGACAAGACATATTTCTCAATGCTATATCAAGCAAGGCGCCTGGAGAAGACTGGGTACCGTAATTCTCGACTTCTCCATGTCAGCTTGTCTTAGTCGTTGCGGAGTCTCACCTGAAGATAGTCGGCTGCAACTCAGCCAACCGCCTGTGGCACAATGATCACAAGGAGAGCCCCGAAAATGTCAAGGTTGTCAGTAGTCTATATCTCCATCTTTTTTTCCAGACTTCATGGTGATGGACGTGAATATCAGCGCTGAAATAGTCTTCTACGGCGAGACGGTTTGTTAGACCCCAACGAGTTTTTGCAATGAACAACATATCAACATGAAGCGTTCACGACTCCTCAAAAGGGGGGAATCACGATCACATTGAACTTGGCACTTGACGATTCTATGGGGGTCTGATGACAGTCGTCAGCCTCGTGTTTAACATCTTCCGGCACAGAAAAATGAAGAGGGCATGCTGACCCGGCAAGTTCATGCTCAGCATAGATGAATATCCGGTTCAAAGAGAAGAAAAGTTGAACAAATACATGAGAATTCTCAACGAATGTTCACAAAGCCGTGAAGTGTAGTTGTGATCAATCTCTTTCGATTTAAGCTATCAATTGTGGCGTCACAAGAGCTGAGGACGTTGTTAATTGGCTAATTCAAACTGTGAAGCCGGGCATTCGGGCGATAGCGCCTCCTTATTTTTCGCTTGTAGTATACCTAATCTAGGTGGTGGGATGAAAGCTCGGGAACTTGGGCGTACGCTGAATTCCCGTGGCTTATCGTCAAGATTTGGTATTCATTAAGCCATCATCAAATAATGACACTGTGACGATATGCCGCCAATCGGAAGATACGCATATACCTTCATCCTTCAGCGGTGTCCTATCTGTTTCTACTCTATTACAAGTTTAAGTCTGGCTACACAGGATGCAAGTGGTAAACAAATTTGATAGCGTATGCGATGTTAACGCTAGCTCCTGAAGGCCGACAACGTCGAAAAACGGGAATGGTAGGGCTATAGGTCAGATTCTCGGCCTAGTCCCGACGTATGATCCTACTGTCTCGAAGTTCTTGAATACAATTGAGCTAAGCTTTCGACATCTCATAGAAATAAGCCCGGCGTTAAGCTTGCGAATGAGTTGAGAATAGTATTCGGGGGTGAACCGACTCAATGGAAGCGCAATCTCAGCCGCTCCCTCGTTGAGGCATAGTCCGGAAGTATCCGAAGTGTGGGAACAGTGAAAGCTACTCTTTACCACAACTAAGTGCAATGGTCCATCGAATACGATATAAGATCTGTCCAGCAGCCTGTAGAGCAGTTGAAAAGTGGTGGCCAATCAGTTCAATCCTGAGCCCGTTCATCTAGGGTTTCTTTTAGTTCAGCCTGATGAAATCGCCAACTTCGCGTTCGATTATCAGTAGTACCAATTACCCAAAGATGTCACAGGCTTGCTCTCTAATACCACTGTCATGGGTTCCTAGGCAGCCCTCTTCTTTTTCGAGATTATCGCACGAAAATGGAAACTAAAGCCCTTCGTAATCAAATGCAAGTAAGGTAGACACTATGGTCCTGCAGTGTTGAGCCATTGCTGCTCCGCTAGTAGCTAAAAGCCTTACAATATAGGTAGCCATTACATATATGATTGACCTTAAGTAGCAACTCAGAAATATATCGTCTGTGGCCTTCCCCCCATGTTTTTGCGGTGGGTTGTCCGGCAAACCGGTGAAATAAAATAATGTATGGCCACAAGGGAAAGCCTTCTCAATCATGATGCCCCCCCCCCCCCCCCCCCCCCCCCAATATAAAAATAGTTGCACTAACTATCGGCAGCAACTGTGATCGGGGAGCAGTATAACATGAAGTATACAATCCAACTTGTGCCTTCACCTTTCTGAACGTGTTTTTGAAAGTGTACGAGACTTGCGCAAGATCACTAAGTATACATCAGATTACCTTTGGCGACTATTACGTGAGAGAAAGATGAAGTAACTATCAGGGCGTACCATTAAAGTATGTGTTCTCACTATGCAAGCCGATGCCTTGTATCGTACTAGTCGTGATAGTATTGCTGTATAAAACTTCCATGCCAACTGATCTCACGTCGCTTGCCCACACAGATATCACTAACCCTGTCGGGTTTGAATTGATTTGACTACTTATGGTGAGCTTACGTTTGACAGAACCGTTGAGTTTGTGTGAGAATTTTAGAAAGAAACATTGAGCACTTTGGAGAACGACGGTACAGTGCAGAGTGATACTCGAATGTTTGAAAGAGCTGCATCAATACTATCACATGACTTTTACTGACAAGAGATGTTTAGAGGCAAGTGAACTGTCGTCCGTTCATGGCCCAATTGCTTGCGATCTTGAAAAATGATACATGCCAGAGGGACAAGTCACTACAGTAAAGTAAATTATTGTGAGTCACAATTTGAGTCGCTGTGAATTCCAGCCTCTTAATGTCTCGGTTGGCATCGAAAATTGCCTACACGGATAGCCAGATCTCTAAGAGTATCAGTGACTGCAGATTCACGTATTAGCTGCAAAAATCAACGTTATGTAATCCTCTATGTCGCTTTGAGGCTGGCTTTCGAAGCTCAGGACTATTTCCGTATTTACACACCCCGATTGCCTTCCGAGATACAGATGGAGTGTGACAAGATATCAGATCAGTGCCGCCAGTAAGTGACCGTGAGAATCGCTGCTACTACGAGCAAGCTGGACAACCTGCGAGACTCGTTAGGCATCTGCCTCCAGGTTATCAACATACTCTGATATAACCGTGACCCATAGTCTGTCAAGGTATGAACAATAAAACACAGGATATCTGCTCATGGCCAGAACAAGAGACTTCTAGAAGGGGAACTGGGCCAACTACAACCCCCCAAGTTTGAAACCAAAGCTGATAGCAGTTCTGCCAAACGGAATATTTACGTAAGGGTACAGTAGGAACGTTAAGCTGTTTCAGCTATTGCATGCTGTATTTGGATATCTTCACGATCTAAAAACTAATTTTTAGTCCCTTAACAACATCTTCTGTAGATGTGCAACAAGTCACTAGCACCGACGTGAAATAAACCAATGGCAGTGGCAGAAGCACACAGCTTTCAGCGTCTGATCTCAGTACTCACACGTTAGTACCTAGTTTTAGCTTGACTGGAAGTTGTCTGTGGTCAATGTCCGCTTGGAGGCGTACAGAGTCAGATTGTAGTACTGTTCTTACCGGCTTTTTGCAGGCAAGGATCTCGCCAAGTCTGCCTGTAATGTGGTTTAGCCCTGCGCAGCTAGATCAACAAGTGTCACTCATGACACAGGAATGAAATGAGAAATCAAATGCGAGCACACAAGCAAGTTGCCTGTACTTAAAAGAACGGCCATACCGAAAACCTGGAACCCACCAGTTTACCCTTAAATAGATTTGGTGACGAAATACATCAGGCGAAACGCACCGGCCAGGAACCATGTTCAACGCCCAGCCCTACCTCACGATTGGCCCAGTTGTGCATCGCCTTGGCGATTTGCTGAGCCTCCCAATGAGCAAAGTTTTTCCCTGTCTGCATTGACAATCTGAGACGACATCCGCCATGCGCCCTGCCAGCTGACCCGGACTCGGGGCCGCGGATGATTTGCCGCTTTTTGACCTCCCTGACTCGATTCACATCCCTGCACAGATCTTGGACTGCCTTTTGAAGAAGGTAGGATAAGGGATCTGGGGGGGGAGACCGAGTCCTGCCGATAATCAAAGGGACGAGACGGACGGCAGATTTCCTCTCTCCGCTCGTGTTTGGAATTATCGCAAATTGCCGCATCGGCACACGAAGCCGTTGGCGATATCCTTCCTGTGCGGTGTTCCTACGGATAGCCGATGGAGGCTGACCATGCCATCTCGTCTAACAGATCTCGAATTCTCGCTTGTTTTCCAGCTGAACCGGAATGTGACCTAACCATCATTTAGTTTTTTGACTTCGGCGCTAAGGCAGGGTTATCGACTCATCTATCCTTGCAACGGTAGTTTAACAGAGACAAGAGGCGCAGTCTGCCCAAAACCGAGCGCGAGCTGCTCATCTGGGTCCCCTTGACTCACGGCATGCACAACCTCACCGAACAATGTTTCTCGATCTCAATGGGCCCCAACGAGCACAATCAAGGACGACGAGACAGGAGAACTCATTATTCCAGTCTCTCTCACAAGTCGCAGCAATCATCCAACATCCGGCCCAGCGGTAGACTTGTAAGCAAGACACGAGCAGAGAATCCAGCCTTGCAAGATCGGTTTGACTTCGAGTCATTGCTCTTGCTTGGCTCGTTCGTCCCCCCACAACGCGGACACGGGCACAATGACATGATGCCACACGACGGTTGTTCGATAAGGGCAGTCCGGAATCTGTCATTTCAAGCTGTATGGCTCCGCTTTCCTGACACAAGCAGCGCTGTCGAGACTGAACGGCCGTGAAGAGATCTTCTTCCACTCTTCTAGAAGGCCATCACTCTACCCCGGGTTGACCATCTGAAACTAGGGAGAACCCTACAGCGCGCCAACACCTTTGCGTGATCATCGTCTCATCCTTACAAGTAGATCGTCGGCAGCTGCATACTATGTACTCGCAGGGGGTCCAGCCCTTTCCCCGTACGGAGTAGTGCCGGGTGGATTGGCTATCTGTAGCCTGTAGGTAATCAACTAGGCTGAGAGGGTGGAGAGGAGAGAATGCGATGTCATATCTCAGTTGTCATCCCCCACACTCCGAGTGGGTGCGTGTTTTACGTCCTTTCCCTTCTCAGCTTCTTTCTTGTGTCTCTTTTAGTTTGCGATACCCGCCGCGAGTTGCGTGGCTGCTCTTTGTTATTCCTTTTGCCCTTTCTCGACGTCATCGAACACGCAACGGCTGGTCTGTGTCTTGAGGTTTCTTCGACATCCGAACATCGCTTGGGCGAAGGAAGTAACCCCTTTTGGCCGGTCAAATGGGGCGGCCAGAGGATTATGGCCCGACAATCAACGCGGTTATCTGGTCTCAGGTTGGAGCGTCATTATTCTTCCTCTGCCTACGATTGTATTGTAAATTCAAGAAGCGCAGTGGACTTTGGTGGGACGACCATGTTCTCATAGCATCTTGGGTTCGTTCATGCTCTACCTTACACTAATTGCGGGAATTCTCACTGACGACGAACCTCATTTAGGTCACATTGATGATCGCATCAGCATTAACAACATGGAATGTGTCCCTCGGTTTCGGCAAACACGTATACCAAATCAATCCAGTAAACTTCCCCCAGATTGGCCTGAACGGCAACGTCATCAGCACGATATCGATTACATCGGCAGTCTGGAGCAAGACATCTTTTGCGATGACATTACTTCGAATCGAAGAGAAGGGTTGGACAAGGAACCTGATATGGGGTGCGATCATTTCAATGAACGTCCTCATGGGCCTCAACGCGATGGCTGCTTGGGTTCAATGTACCCCGATTGAGAAGTACTGGCTCCCCCAGACACCGGGAAAGTGCTGGAGTCCGAAGGTAGCAGCTTACTATGGAGTCTTTGCTGCAGGTATGGCTAAATAATAGTGGTACAGAAAAAGTTCCTTGCTAACAACTACTAGGATATTCTGCCCTAATGGACATACTTCTCGCCATGCTTCCTTGGAAGTTGATCTGGGGACTTCAAATGAAGATGAAGGAAAAGATTGGTGTTGGAATTGCCATGAGCATGGGACTATTGTAAGTCTAATACTTCATTGTGCGTCAGACTATTCCATCTAACACAGAAATCCAGCGCAGGCGGGACCTCCATTGTTAAGTGCACGACAATTCCTACTCTCCTTTCCGGAGACTTCACCTGTAAGCAACATGACATCAAGAGATTCTGATGCCAGAGACTGGACTGACATTTCCCTTTCAGATGATGGTAGCGATCTTGTCATTTGGGGTACTGTGGAGTCAGGTGTAACTATCATGGCGGCCTCAATTCCCGTTCTACGGGTCCTCATCCGCGATGTTGCAAGTACTGCTCGCAAGTACTATGGCAACTCAGGTACACGTACCAATGGATCTCGATTCGGTGGCGGCCTCACGCGTACCAACACAGTAACAGTTACGACATCGACAACACGCAAGGGTTCTATCAGGAGGAAGTGGGACAAGCTGGCTGATGATCGGAGCGATAAAAGCATACTTGGGGTCGAGCCGGAACCGGGGTTCGGCAAGATCGTCAGGACGAATGAGATTGTCGTGCAGTATGACACGAGGAGTGACGTTGAAGGGCATAATGGAAGCTATGAGATGGATCAGATGGATCGAATGAACCGCATGGTATAATAAACTTATGTTATGATGAGCCTATCGCCACTATCACTACTCCATCTTCTCTTCGAGGTGACTCAAGTGTTTGGTGTGTTCTTATCGAGGTAGCCTTACTGATTACCTATGGAGGTAACTCAACCTAGTGCCATCTGAAGCCGGCCCGAAAGTCACCAGAGTCATTATAAACCCCTAGATAACAGCAAAGGCTTGTTAGACATGTAGCTGCTTCTTCTTGGAGGGCCTGTTGTTCCCCTGATGACTACCTATGCACGTTTCCCCACTTGCATACAATCTCCCAGTCCATCAAAGTTGAGTGTCGAGCATCTGGGCACAGGCAGCTTCCGAACAGCCGCGGTACATGGTGGGAACTTCGCAGAGAGCCGGCCGATATGCCAGCATAGTGGGTATGAACTGTGTGAATCCTTTCACCAATCCCTCACTTACTCACTTGATAACATGACGTCATCTTGTAGTGTGTTGCAAAGATTTTGAACCCGAATCTGGGTCAGCTTAAGAATTCTGACTGGATCTGGATTTGATGCAATTTCTTTTTGAATCCAGCCCCGAACGATCGCTGACCCTACGACGTCCTTCAGGTGCGGGTCAGTCATCTTGGCCCGGCGCCCGGCCGCTTTTAGTATGTCCTCCGCGCAAATTGGCGCTGGAAGAAGACGTAAACCGAAGATCTCGCGAGCCAAATCTTCTTGTATGAGATTGTCTTGGTACATGAAGTGAACTAACTTCGGAATAACCTCTTCGAGGATTGCCTTTGTCTCCGGAACGATATAGTGCAGGGATAATCGATCCATAGGGGTTATAGCTTGAGGGAGACCGAAAGGCTGCCGAGCAATGTATGCTTTGATATCCTGGAAGCTGCGAGAAACCATGCTAAACCATTCATCCTCGTTGATAGTAGACCACGTCGATTCATCTTTGTCAAGGCCCTTGGAAATCCACGTGAGTAGATAGAAAAACTCAACATGGGATAGATTCTCAGGATTTTTCCAAAAACGGAGTAGAATTTCCGACACCCTTATGATGATCTGTGAGTTGAGACCAAATGCTAATTTATGTCTAGGGTAAGAACGGGAAAGTTTATGCTTACACAGTCGTTAGCTACTTTTTCATACATGCGAGAACGTTTCGGGTAGCTATGCCCTGATAGCACAGACAACTCAGCATCCTTTTAGTTGAATGATAAGGTATGGAGCATGTCCGTGAAGTTTCGCTTCACTTTGATGGCTTTATGTAAGAAGGGGGGTGCAGGGGGGGTTGCATGGGTGAACTTACCGTGATTTCGTCCAGTGCTCTCTCGGCCTTCTCCTCAGATATCTTTTGGATGATGATCATCTTGACCATGGACCACATTGAAATCCAATAGTAGTTCATTTGTCGTCCGTTCCACAGACTTTGCAATTCTTCCAGGCTCGTTTTAATCGCTGATCCGTCTATCCCTGGGGTATTGGCGGTTGCAACGCGAGAGAACGGTGGTCTCAACGCTTTTATCGCTTGATTAAAAGAGTCTCGAATAACCTCGAGCTCTGGGCGTAGACGCTCTGGAGTATCGATGTGTATTGGCATATTATGGATGCATGTGATTGCCGCGAGTACCAGCACCAGAAGCGCTATGAGTAATTCGCCGTGATAGGAGCAAGTGATCTAGTTGTCTGCCATTGAGACTCGAGGGGATATTGAAAGGTTCATAAGTGGGAGAAATAATTTGAAGTTATGAAAAGAGATCTCTGTCACTTATGTTTGGAAGAGTGAAGACGGTCAGATATCAAAACGTGGCATGTGTAGGGGAGAAAACGTCGTCGCGATCATTTCTGGTGTAATAATTGTTGTTATGCTTAACGCCGATAGGCCCTCTGGAAGGGAAAGGCATTAAAGCCTAATACTCAATTACCCAACCCTGATAGTGTGTCACCACACTAAAAATTACCATCTAGATACAATTATATGGACCTCTCGGGGCAGAAAAATACACGATTCATGGTAGTGTTGTATCTTATATAGGATGGCGGCGAAAAGGGTTTCACAAGCGTGGGCAAAAGGGTCTCCATGGTTCCACAACCCACGACAGGCTCAGCTTCGTTGTACATACATGTCCTTAGGTCCAACTCTGGGGCCTCACGCACTTGAAGTGCACAATTCTATTAGCCCAAGATTTGAGGAGCGGCACAGGTTTCGGAGATAGCTCAATAAATGTGTAGAAAGTCTGCGTAGGTCCCCCCGATCATACTCAGAACGCATCGGCTTCTTACACCCAAAAATCACAACAAGGAAAAATACGATATTGCTCGAAAAGTTCCATCTCACCGACATATCCATCGACGATACAATGCTAGTAACAGAGTACCATGAGGTGGTGGCGAGACTGAACGAGCTGGTCAAAATTAAATGTGACCAAGTGCATTCGCGTTTCACTTGCACATTCGACGGATACGAAGACGAACAGACCTTGACGACATGCTCTAACTGCCGAGAACGAGTCGTGGAGATGTCTAGACTTTTTGTTGAACTCTGGCCTGGGGACTGGCACAGCGGACATGGTTCCTACATCCAGGACTCACTCCTCGACACCATCGAGTCAACAGAAGCGTCCACCGACGGACTGGATATCGCTTCGATGATAAAATTCCGATTGAAGCATACTTACTTGGCAGACCGTGTCATTAAAGAACTCGGACTTCCAGCCCCGAGCAACAAGCCATGTGGGATCTGGAACAAAGTCGAGTGGGAAAAGGAGCGCCGCCAAAGGGAGGACGAACCTGTTTTCGACAGATCTCGGGATTTTACCTGGAGGAAATTCACCGACGGCAATCTCATACCCCAAGGGACTATTCAGCAGGGGCCCGGATTTGTTCGGTTTGTGCAATATCTTGTTGCGGCGGTCCGCCAGAAAGAGTTTACCACCAAGATGTCACACGACGAGTATGACGAACTGATCGAGAAGATGATCAAGTTGGTCGAAGATGCTGGAGCTTCTGATTCAGATCTGGCATGCGAATGCGCTGCGGCTCGACTGGCACGTGTCGATTGAAAGGGTCTTTGGAGGAATACCTGCCTGTTAAAGTTGCGAAAGAATTGCGAAACAGAATGCCAGGCTTGTGGTTTCGTAAAACCTGCACCACAAGTAGAAGAAGTACGTGAGGGATTTCATGAACTGTGGATGAACACTTGTCAGCCTTCATAGACGTGCTTGTAGCATTTCTGCATCTAGGTGCAAGGCGATTAAATGATTGGAAAGGTGGATGGGAGAGCACCTCGCGTGTTAAGATACTCTGGAAAGTTGAGACGCTAGATCAGGCGTGATTCAAGATTGACATTGCCCATCATCGGGCATGGTAGCACGGAAAACTTCAAATACACATAATAGGAACACTTAATTGAAGAAATTCTGCACTGAAAATTGTTGTTGATCAATTTGCAATTGATGCTACACCATTGTCGCTTACAGTCGCAACCAACTTTCCTCGAGTCACTGTTTCGCTGTCTACAGAGCGTGTCGAAAACTTGAACATTCCATTCGACGGAACAGAATTTCGTGCTCTCAGCTTCATCGCTGTCTCTACGCCCGCTACAGGGACCCTGTACTGGAGATTACCCCCAGGGAAAGGAAGGTACTCTGGAAGGAGCCCCAATTGAGCCAAGGCTGTACCTTGATCCCAAGTGATATGCTCGTGGTACAGGCGATCACCTCGGATGTTTACAACGGCAGCAAATGGGATCTCAGCGTATTTATTGGTTGGTGGAACTCCCGGGAGCCTAGTGACCAGGTCAGTACACGCCGACGAAACAAAGGGCTTAGTTGGTATTGCGGTGTTTCTACGTACAGCCAGTCAAGCTCCTGATCGTGTGTGAACTTAAAAATGAACTCATCAACTACACGATCGATGCCGATGGTTCGACTGATGAGCTCCAACTCCGTGTCGGCTGAGTTATTGAAGATGAAGTTGTGACGATAAAAGTCAGTAAGCTTGTCGCGACCAACACCGCCGGTCAACTAAGCGAGCAAATGTTATTAAGGGAATTTTTCTTCACTTCGCTCTGCACGATCGGAATTCTCTCACCGTTGGGATGTGGTTGACGTATGGTTCTTGCACCATTGTGCTCATAGTGTGCTCCACAGATCTATCGGCGAACTCATACCAGGTATGCTCATCCCAAATGGCCTCCAAGTCAAAAATGGGACTTTTCATTTCGCCTTTGAGTAGAGTGAGATTGCGAGTGTACGAGAGCATATCCATATTGTAATCGAAGTGCGCCTGGAACGGAGTTGCGAATTTGAAGGACTGGGCTGCTGGGTAAAAGTATTCCGTTCGGCTCTTTGACCGCAAGGGCTGTCCTTCGGATTTTCCAGCAAAGTGATAGACTGTGGGCGAAGAGCTACTGGAGATCGATGACCTTTCTGAGCTATCGGCGTATACCACTGTGCTCACGATCTCTGGGTATTCAGATAGGATCGGCGCAACTGTGTTCCACATTTCTGGTCCGTACGCTGAGCCCAATTAGCCAAGTCCAACAAAAGTGGTGAAGATTGCAACTTACCAACAAGGCCAACCACATCTTTTGGGTCGCACTTATCACTCTTTCGGAATGCTTCAATGGTAAGATCGAGCGTCTCGCGTATGCCATTTTCGAACGCTGTTGGCTGAACAGCAATGACTGTGTACCCCTCCTCGGCCCATTTCAGGGGCAGCGCGGGCACGCCTTCCTCAATTGCTAGTGCATTGTCGACTGAAGGGAGAAGGAGAATGAGGCCCGGTCCAACTCCACGGCGAGAAAGGGGTGACAATAGTGAAACCCCGCTTTCAACCGTCTTCAATTCAGACCGGGGAAGAGGAGCTGGAGGTTTGTTGATGTCTGCGTACATTTTGGCGTTACGCGTCGCTTGATTTTATCGGCGTGATCTTTAATTTTGGGCTCTTTGGTGAACTCGTTGATGAGACTGGGAGACTCCAAGAGCTTATAAGATGAGATACTTCACATCAAAAATGATAAGTCAGACTTAGCGCAAACTACGGCACGGGTTAAGCTCCGGCCGAGTCATCATGAACCAGTATAGGTATCGTGACGGTATTCCGAGCTTCTATCCCGACTGGCAACGAGATAGGGCCTTTGATTGGTCTGTTGGGGCGGAACTTCCGTAGCATAGGGCGCTCTCGGATATACGGATTTACGGGCTTACAAACAGTCGATAAAGTGTGCGGGCCGAGCACCGCTCACATCGATGGGAGTTTACTCTGCCCTGTCCACCGGCCGCCGATTGTGATTGACAATCCGGGGAACCACCCTGATAAGCCTATCTCAACTTCCAATTATGTTTACGTTGCTTATCTGCTTACCCAATGAAGGGCCTTGTGGGTTTGTGAAGCATTGCGATCTTTCGAAGCATGAGGTGATCGAATAATGCAGATTCACAACCCGATAGAATTGCTCCATGTCCATCAAATGTGACTTGGCGGCAATTGCACCTTGAGTCGTCGGCCCGCAGCCTACATTTCGTGCTACCTCCCCGTTGGTCCCGCAACTTTCGGCCGTCGTGTCCACGGCACCGCATCACACGCCATGCCCCGGCCGCCGGTGCGTCCGGAGGACCGAAAACGGTCCACCAGGGCCTGCACGGCGTGCCGAGCGACCAAGAAGCGATGCGACGCCTCGCAGCCATGCCGACCTTGCGTTAAACGCGGTGTAGGCTCGACTTGCACTTATTCTCAGCACATCAGGGCCCGTCGCGCACCACCGAACCGAACCCCAAGCGTGCCAAACTCCCGGCGGCGTGATCAAGTCTCTCCCTTGCTCTATCAGTCCCAAGAGTCTTCGTTGCGAGATGAGGATGGAACTGCAGCATCATCAACTTCCGATCAAACGGCGACGTCGTCCGGTCCACGCCCGGTTATGATGTACACATGTAGTGGAGAAAAAGGTGCGATACCTACTTTCCGCGATGTGCCGCTTCATCTGCGACATTGAAGCATCCTGTATGTTTGTCGATTGATAGCTAATATATTGAGATTCTCAGTCTTTGTCGGTAACGCCTCGGCCATTGCGTTCCTACAGTACTTGCGAGGAAGCTTGCGGATCCTCGGTCCAGGCTTTACCATTAGCCAAGGATGCCACCGCATGTTTGAAGCACAGATTCCTATTCAACAAACGGAAGACTTCTCGGATGACATTGAAACCGCAGAGAGGAAGATATTGGTCCAACGATATCTCGATGCTGTGAGTATATCTTTTCACGATCGCCAAACCTTTCATATGTGTGGATAATTGACCTATACACAGTCCAGTGGACTCCTTGATTTGTTCGATGAATCAGACATCGAAGGTTTACTAGCTTTCAAGCCGCGGCCTCACAATACTGGGTCTCTGAGGTCCGACTCTGCTGCCGACTCAGAGAGGCTTCTGTGCCTTTACATGATGATCGCAATCGGCGCCCAATGTCGTGGCCAGATAGGTGATGCGCCAAAAGCCTTTCGTTACTTCTCGGAAGCACGCAAACTATCCTTCGAAGGGATGCTGAGCGATCCGTCACTGAACACTGCTCGAGGCTTTGTGTTAATGGCTTTCTATATGTTTGGCGCCTGCCGTCGGAACTCGGCTTTCATGTACCTTGGGGTTGCTACAAAGGCAGCCTCGGTGATGGGCTTACACATGGCGGAACAGTTTCAGTCTCTTTCAGAAAGCGAACGAAGTTTGAGGTATCAGTTGCCACTCCCGTATTCCTTCGTTTTCGCATATGGAACAATGAGCTAATAGAAGTCATCAAGATCTCGCGTTGATAAGAGCATACGGCTCTTCGATGTTGTGTGTAGCTCAATACTCGGGCGACCAACGAGTGTAGCACCTTGCAGACTGAGACGAAGCGTAAAACTGCACGAGGATCGACACCGTAATCTGTCAGTAGACGCTGCCTGCTCCATTGCCGCAATATTAAACAGAATCGTCGATACTCTTACCGAAGAGTCTGAATTAGGCATGGTGCATGCACAGCAATTTCTCGACGAGATTAGACGTTGGAGCAAGGACCTACCAATAGCCTTACGCCAACGTCCCAAGAGAGGAACCGCCCACTCTCGTCACTCTCAAAATCGAGAGATAGCCATTGGGAATATCCACGTCGCCTGCACATACTACTTTGGCATTATCTTGACGACTCGGGAGTTTCTGATAGCGCACATCATGCCCCAGATAAACAACGATATGCCAGTCATGAACCATCACGGTGTTGAAGGAGAGGCAGAAGATGAAAAGAGTGTTGCTGAGCTATCTGATGCATGTGTGGATGCTGCAGTCTTCATGGCAGAGATGTGTGCTGACGCACTGGATTCGCGCACCATCATGGGCAATATGTGCATACTGAAGTAAGTTTCTGGGGTCTTGTGCAAGGAGATTGCTGCTTACAGTCGATTCAGAGCTTGGTTATTTGCCGCCGGCCTAGTTCTCGGCTTCTCACTACTCGCCCCCGACGTGCCCCAAAACCGTGGAAAGGCTTTCCACAACGCGCTACGTGTCCTAGACTTTCTGGGCCATCTGAGTCCACAAGCAGCACAGTATCACCGGCTTCTGACAAGCTTTTCACAAGCCATTGACTCTTTCAAGACCAACTCGCCAACCGAGTACCACCAAGCCAGTGCCCCATACGTCGAAAGACTTCTGTCATTCAATCTGGCCGAAAGCCCTGAGACCAATAGAATTGGGGACAAATCACAACCGCACGAAGGGGCAAGAGATAGCAAAATACCAGAGCGATCAACGGGAGCACATGATCCAGTAAGGGCCAGGAGTGACCAGCTAGACCTTTCCTCTTTCGATCCCACGGTATCTGGCGGGGAGGACTTGATGCTGAGTCTTCTTTGGGATGATGGCGATGTTTCTTTTGGAGAGTTGAGTGCATTCAACATGTCAATAGGATATGGCTGAGCCTTGACTAGTGGGCGAATGCTCCACGCACCAAATTTGGCGGGTTAGCTGAAGAAAAAGCAAGGTCTTCGCCTTGGGATCATTGACTAATTTTCCACCCCCACACATGATAAGCATAGTGGAGCTCATCATGAGCTCTGAATACCGGGATGAAATCGATATGATGGAGAAAGACTCTTGGCCAATTTACCATCCGGGGTTAGGCACTGCATGTCTGCATCTGTGTTTGGAAACCCGGAGGCTCTGAGGTATTATTACTAGGCATAGATACTGAGTCGGCGACTTATTGACCGAAACCAGATTACGGGCGTGAATTCCCTTGCGCCCTTCAAAGTGGCAATTCCAAAACGCGGAGTAAGTTGCCTTCGCAATCGCGTTGAGATCGACGGGTTCCGCAAAGAGACGTTTCCCGAATTCGTACATCGTATTAAGTAGTCAAGCAGTCTTAAAGACTTCATTTCAGCGTCTTTGATAGCCAAGTGACCACTTGAATCCGAACCAATGGTTAAAGTTCTGTCCTCGTTACAAGAGGCGGTTTCAGACTGCTGGTTTCTGGTGATCTTTGGGGGAGCTGACGACCTCTCACGTGGGATGACAGGGGATCTCCATGCGAGGCATGGTTTCGGACGAGAAAAACTGCCCGTCTTTACCGGCGGACTTCTCCGGATCGCTGGGGATGTCACATCAACATTGACTTTTAGATCGGCACGTATTGAACGAACACAGTTGATGCACCGTAGTGGTAATTAGGGCCATCCGATTTTGCCGATGTGGCCGCTGCCAAAGGCGAGGAGATGCGCACCGACTGCGTGCTCGTCGTTCTTCCCATCTTGTTGCATCGGATGACTTATGTGAACTTATCCTCCTCTTACAGCGGATGCTGCATGCTAGAAAGAAACTTACTTACAGTTTCCAGCAGCGGTAACACTGTACCAGAAGACAATGACATATATCGGCATCGTTGCTGAACTGACGGATCGCCAAATGCGCAAACGTGTATGGAAACCATCGCCAAGTACATGTACTCAAGGAGCGGAGATATCAAACGATTTCAAAACCAGGATATCTGACTCGTCTAATTCTAGTAAGAATCCTTTGACGCCATCAACTGGACTGATTCAGGTATAAAAGCAGTCTTGACCTCCACAAGCTAATCGCAATATCTTGTTACTCTATCACATCATCATCAAAGTCGAACATCACAGCCGTCTACCACATCCCTATACTTCATCAATAAGGTTGATAGTTTCAGTATTAATCCATAAAAATGCGGTTCCAAATCCTATTCGCTATTCTTGCTACCTACGTTGCATCTGCCATTGCGGGTGCTTGCGAGGACTGCCAGCGAACATGTCCCAGGCCCAGCGAGGACGAGTGCAGTAAGCTGCTTGCAACTTCGCGTTAAAGAAATGAATGGAAGACTGACCCATTTCTCTACCCATAGACGCTCTTTGCGCACCCATCTGCAACGCAAAATAAGCCGCTTTTTGTTCGGCTGCATCTTCCCAGCCGATGCTTACCATTCTCCAAGCTTGGACTGGAAGTTTTGTCTCAGGGTGGACCGGTATTACAGGCCGAAGTTCGGCCATAGCAATGAGTCAAACAGCGCTGAACTTTCTCAAATTGATGTTTCATTACCAAAAGACCGTCTGACCTACTTCAGTACCATGATTATGATTCAGCAAATGCTCCTCGCTCTTCCACCGTGTGGCTTGAACGAAAGTCTTGGTTAATCAATCATGCTGTACTACATTCATACTTTGCATAACGTTGGCCTCACTTCAGTCTTCTATTGCTACCTTGGTAGGAGTGCGTTACGGACGTCGCTGGCATGGCTCTGCCGGCGTTCGTTACAGGTCGTGCCTCTTACAACCCAGTGCCGCTTCTGGTCACTTGACATGCTTGGAGACTCTTCTAGATGCACCAGAATTGAATGTTACAATGGATACATAATTGAAATCATCTGAGCTATAACGCTAAAGCAATGCAACAATATGTGCATGCAAAAGTAGCTATCATGAAATGAGAGCAGAGATGAGGCCTTCTATCATATGTGAGGTCAACAGGATATAGCATTCATCTCGGCTTCAAAGCCTCGTAAACTTCAAACGTACGATATACTTAACCGCTAGACATTGTTCAAAACTCTCTACTTTACGGACACAGAGGCTGGCAAAGCCGGTTCTCCTACCTCGTAAGAGCAAGTCATGTAGGGTTTCGAATAAGCATTTCGCTGCGGCAGGCTAAGTAAAAGCACACTGGGCTCTGGCCCGTGATATGATTCGAGCTACTTGCCCACGTCATATGTTTTCAAGCTTTGGGTGTAGCTCAATCTTACGACTGCAAGCGTGTAGATGCTAATTAGACTCTTTGAAACTAGGCTGGAATGATATCGTAGTGAGCTACAAAAGTAGAAGTGCCCCGGCCTTAAAAGGGTGTTTGAGCAACCCTGTAGTCTTTGGAACCTGAATCAAAGTACCCCTTTCTACCTATCCACAGCAGTACCTAGAAACTGTAATCCAGCTTTTCGTCAACCTTGGTAGACTGACGATAGTTTCTAAGTATCCCGTCTGATACGTCAAGGTTGAAGATGGGAATATTAAAACTCGAATCTGTAAAACAATAACGTTGCTGATCCTCGCTCACGTAGTCACACGTAGTCAGCTATATCCTATCCCGCATACAAAGTTCATCAATATTGGCAATAAAGCTTCGATCATCGCGATAGGGATAGTTGCAAAACGCTAAACCAAGTTTCCGCTTGGATGAGACGGCTCCAGTCCTGAGTTGAGTTTAATTCCTCGAGGCATTCAAAGCGACGACTCTTCTAAAGATGGTGAGCATGCGCGAAAATACTAGTACATGTATGTTCCACTCTGAAAAAATCTCTATGTTTTACTCCAAAGAAGTAGATGCTGTCAACACTTAGCAGGCGTCAAAACATAGCGCTGCTCCACTAATGCGATACCTAGGAAGAAATGTTCTACATTATACCCGTACCCCGAATCGTATGCGATTGATGACAACTCCGGGATGGGTCACTTAGTAAATATTATTCCGTGGAAAGTTCTCTACTTATGATTTTGAAACAAGTTTATTTTCACTTCGATATTCATGTACTGAGAACTCGTAGTTACTACTAGTGTAATCACTGGAAGAAGACCTGACGTAGTCTTAGCAGTCTAGGTCAACAACCCATCTCCGTATGCCCATAGGTAAGTGATTCATCGGCCAAACTCAATAGTGCGCAATGAACCTTGCTGAACTACTGCAAAAACAATTATGTGAGGCTGGAATCTGGCCGAGGAACCCGCCTGCCCCCCGGAATTCAGGTGCCTCAGTAACACTCTATCACCTCCATCTACTTCGACTGATTTTGACAGGACCACCTGGAGTGCCCTCGAAGTGGAATAAATCCGTTGGATCCCGAAAGAAGAAAAAAAAAGTTGAGGGGCATTCATCGCTCAAAGTCAGTTATGCAGTTTGTTGGTCTGGAGGATGAAACCCCATGATCCCCTTGACGCGTCTTCTCGGCTGGTGAACAGCATGCAACTCACCAAAGAGGTGGTGCCCGTCGGCTCATGGCCCTCAATAACGGGTGGTTTCTTCACGAAAGCTGAAATGACTTCTTTTGCTCCTGTTTAAGAATTCGTCAGCGGGCAAGCTGTGACAAGCGAACGCGTAGCGCGCAGACATGGAGGCCCCCTTTATCATGAAACACGCGCAAGGATCTGGAACACCAGCGACTCCGTCTGACATTGACGAACACACGTCATCCGAACGTGGTTGACCGTTTGGGAAAAAGTTATGCTTCCCTAACTCCCCCTTCCCTTCTTCTAGAATTAGCTGCAAGCCTGCAAGCCCCCCATCAATCCTTACCTGCGGCTGGCAGGTTGATGAGGCGCGGCCAAAAAGATGAGACGACAAGCACACAGATAGATCCCCCATCGGCATTTCCGTCAGGCACTACTGCCACAGGGAGGCCAACATCAGACGCTTGACAGCTGGAGAATTCGTGGAAGGCCACGAGTCACGGATAGCCCGCCCACATCACGCTCTGTGGTTGCTACAGTGGTTCGTTCCATGTTGAGGTTGCCATGAGTTGTCTTCCGTGTGTGCCAAGGTGGCCTTGGGAGTTTGATCTTCGTACATAAAGGCTTATCATCACCAGTGCTAACATACTGAGGATTCACAGAGTTTTTCCTTGACAGCAGCCAAGCTCCTAAGTCACTCCGATATTTGACTTCACTCGAAAAACTTGGACAAGATGAAGAACATCATTTCCTACATCATGATGGCGATCATGTAAGATCTCCCGTCAATCCCTTGAGCCACCTAGAGCTCTGGCTAACCCATTAATAGGTTCGTCATGGTGCAAGCACAGCAGGGCGATATTCAATGCCGCTGCAGGACACACATTACGAACTCCGTCGTACAAACAGGCGGCCAAAAGCTGTGCGGTCAAAAGGGCGGCATCCTCAGCAGCAACAGCCAGCTATGCACCAATCTCTCTCAAAACTTCACCGACACAGACTGCCAGGCGTTCGGCGACTCCTTCTTTGCAACATGCGGCACAGCTCGTTCACCAGTCAAGAGGGGCATCTACAAGCGCGAGGTTACGCCTATTCAGACGAGGCCCAAGAGAGGCTGGCAGTGGGGTGGCCGGGAGCCGGTTCATCTGCTCGTATCCCGGCGTCCGATCCCCGAGAGATTCTCCAAGAACTGATACCAGCAACGGGGGCATCTACACAATTACTTTCAACAAGCATTCACAGGTCAATAAGCATTAGCGTCTCAATTATTACACGATTTGAATCTTTCATGTTCTACAGCTCGTCCTTGATCTTGTCGAGTTCTTCCCAGAGCCTCTTCTCCAACGTCTGTGCATCCCAATCGGCATCTTCCAGAATGTGGATTTCCTCGCCATGCATGTCGATAAGCTCAGACATCTGCATATTGTTAAGATCCAGGTTCTGGTACGCCGATTTCCAGTACGGCCCCGGTTGACGGCCCCACGTCACGCCCCAGGTGATGATCTGCTCCGTCAAGGCCACAATAAAAGCGTCCATCTCTTTCCAGCCTCCTCTGGGGAGGCTGATATCTCTCTCTTGGCAAAACTTGCTGAACTTTTGGTTCGCTCTCTTCGATATACAAAGGGTACCCCAATCGTGTCCCGCAACGATAGTTCCGCCGTCCTCAACACTCTTCCGGTCGGCATAGAAGAAGAAGGATTGGGATTTCAACGTGCTTTCCGATGCGAGCTTCTTGTTCAGAGGCAAGAGATCCTTTTCGACGGTGCCATCTACATCCGAGGTCCAGTGGACGAGTTTTGGCCTGAGGTAGTCATCTTCTTCGGCGACGCCTTCTTCCGGAGCTGAGATTGCAGATGTAAATATTTCCTCCTCTTCTTTGGTGAGCTTCGTGAGCATGTAGACTGTAACGAAATCATATGACATGGTGTCAGCCATATTTGCGGCAGCACTCTGCTTCTCTGTCCTTATTTCAGACGTGACTAGTACAGTTTTCCTGGTTGACGAATCTTGCTGGGCTCTTGCGAGCGAAATGCTGGATGCGACAAGGAAGAAGGCAGCCAGCAGTCGCATATCGAATCTACCGTACCGTTGCTGGGTCTAAAAGGGATGCAGACTCTCCAAAGATGTTAACCGTGAATGAAACGACGTTTTAGCGGCCTTATATACTTCATGCGAGTCCTAATTTGCCCCTAGAAGGATCGTTGCGGGGAGCTAGATGGCTGCCTAGACAAGATCTTGATCCTTTGGGTCTTACGCCGCAACAGGGGTAGTTGATGCACTACCACACGTTTTAATTCTGCGCGTTACGTTTATTTGTCTCTGTGTGAAAAGGAGGAACTTTGGATCTAGCTTCAGACTATTTGGCCCAATTACTACATACAATGTGCATGATGGATGCAACCAACACGATTGGATAGAATATCTGGTGAGGCCCGGGACGGAGGTTGAGTACAACAATTGCTGTATCGAAAAGTCCTTCTCTTTAGGCATTTTCGATTATAAGTACCGAATCATTGAGTCGTCATGACAGTTGACGACTCATCTGACGAAGTCTTCCTCTTCTTCTCCAACGGCTTTGGAACCTCTTTCTTCCTTTCTTCCCACAGTCGAGACTTCAACATCCCATCTATGGCGAAGGTAAAGCCTTGACAAGCTGTAACAATAACTTCTGAAGCTCCCGACTAGCGGTGATCAACAGCAGGTGATACTGAGGATCGATGAAAACACACAAGATTCAGCACCACAGTGGGGCAACCAAGGTATTTGACAGTAATCTGCAGATAAACTGTCTGCGCAGCGTCATTTGAGATACTATGTTCCTGAGAAAGCAGCAGCAATTAGCTACAAGTTCTTTCTATCCAAAATCGTTACCACTCCATACCTTGATTCCATGATCCAATTATCAAAGAGCGCTTATCTCATTCTTCCACCCACTACTCTCCTTCAGCCAAGCTTCAAAAGTCTGCAACCGCGGCTCCTCCTTCCTCAAAACCTGGATATCCGCTCCGTAGCCCTCAGTTCTAAAGAACTCAAACATTTTGCCTACATCTGCGATAGCCCAGAGCATACCCTGCCCGAAGATGGTGTACGTCTGCGGCATATCGCTCCCAACGACCTTCTTAAACGTCTCTCTCGCCTGAGCGTAGGTAATACTGTCTCCTGCAAGCGACACAGCTCTCCGATCCCATTTCTCAGGGTTACCAACGGCTTTGGCCGCGAAGAGTCCGATATCCCGCACCGAGACGAGCTGCAGACTCCGATCGGCGGGCAGTGTGGACCACATGGCCGCAAACACCTTGCCAAACATTCCTGGGTTGGTGTTATCCAAGAACGCCGTCGGGCGCAGGATAGTCCAGCGCAGTTTCCTGCCGTTCTTCTCTAGCTCGTCTGCACGATCGCGGAGGTGCACTTCGATGGCGTGCTTTTGCAAGAAGTGCGGCACGTCGGTAGAGTTTCCCCACGACTTATCCTCGCCGCCACGGTCGACGGACGTCAGGACGATCTGCGAGGCTGCTCCCTTGTCGATGGCGGTGTCAACCCAGGCTTTCCCGATGACGTCCTCGTTGCCGATGGTGGTTACGATAAAGACCGTGTCGATCCGGGGGTGGGCTTCGAAGACTGGTGCGGGTGAGTCCTTGAGGTCTCCCTGGACGGGTGTTACGGTGACGCTCTTAGCCCTTGCTGTCTCGATAAGGGACTTGATCTTTGCAGATTCGGGGCTTCGTGTTAGGGCGAGGATCTCGAGAGGCGGTGAGCTGGGTGGGAGGTCGAGAAGGGCGTCAACGACGGCGGCGCCTTGCTTGCCTGTCGCGCCCAGGACGAGAACCTTTCTTGTGGAAGCCATGATCGTGGTAGTGATGACCTTGTAGAGCGAGATAGAATGCCCGGCTGAGAGGGTGGGAGTATTCGATGGTTGTATCTCGAAATTGTAGTTGATTTCAAAGTGACGTCGAATGAGGTAACTTCAACGCAAGCTTGATGTATAGGTATGATGAAGGAAGAGCTTGGGGCTTAGGTGTAGGGATGAGCTTCCTGGCTTGTAATGTTTGAGGTTGGAATGGCGTCATGACCTGTAGCTGCGGCCGCTCGAGCATTTCCCCAACCTCAGGTCCGAGCTACACGGGCTGCGTTGATGCGCAGATCGGTGCTAATAAGGCTCACATGCAAGCAGCATTCCTCGAGTGATTTTATGGACTAAACCCTATGCCAGGACACTAAATGCCTACAGTAGATGGAGATTCCATCCCTACTCTATCTATCTCAAAATTTGCTGACAAGCATTGTTATCTCAAAGGCATCATCTTGCGGCGCGGGCATCGTTACTGAGCCCACATATGGACACGCGGTAGGCATTCCCAGGGCAATTTTTCGCGTTGAGAATCATTCAACGAGATCAGCAAACTTTCAGTCTCAAAAGTCCGAATAGGCCGCTTGGCTAGCGTACGATAGAGCCAGCATACGAATCAAAACTTGCGGCTCTTGCATTCAGTTATTGCACAGCATCCTAAGAAAATGTGAAATATTTGGTTCAAATACGCAAAGCCTTGGTGTGAAGCTGTATCTGTACAAAGCGACGGTTTTACCGGAGCAAGTTCCGGAGCTAGGGCCCGCCCGGCTGGTGGTACACATGCCGGCAAGAGTAAGACGGAAGATGAGCGGGCTCACGATGGGCTTTCGTCGCAGCGCAGTTTGTCATACTCACTCGTCTAACTTAGGTATGGTCCTGACAACTGACCTCCGTTTCCTTAAGTAGTGATCAAGTCAGAACATGGAGTCTTACGGATCCAAAATACTTGAGCACAAGCATTGAGTGATGATGACAAACGATGAGGTCCTCTTAGAAGGAGGTGTCGGATTCATCGCGCGCGGCAGTGTGGTACTAACTAGTCGGTTTATGAGATTTAAAGATACGGTTACGATAGGCACTGACGTCCAATGTTCCAGTCCCTTGCCACATATTGTGCATTCACAGACGTGGTTTACCACCGTTTCTTCAGACCGGACCCGAGCGTTACCTCGCGTCCCGCATCTGGGGCTGCCGCGAGGGCGGCACGCCCGGAAGCCATCGGAGATCCCCAATGTTCTTCATCCTAAGTCCGGCCGCGAGTTAGGGGAAACAAAGAACGAGCATGGGTAGGTAGGATTAATATCACACATCATGACCAAAACCGGAGAGGTTTATTAGAGAGTGAGCGAGTCGCATTGAGTTTCTTAGTCAAGGCAGGCTCGTTCGCGCGTGAGAGTCAGAGCACGAGGAGGCGGCGCTCTAGCAGGTATCGACGTGACACGGCAACGAGACAAGACGCGACTCTGCACCTTTCAGACGTTCTAATGAACGGATGACGCTGTCTGAGGAGTTAAAGGCGATTCGCAAGCCGCGAGTACGTACTACTGTATTTACTTAATTAGCGTCCCGTGCTTGGTCGTAGAAATTGCTCAGGTCCATGACAGCTCAATTGAAGCATTCCAAGGACACAATCGAGCGAAGGGAATAGAGACAATTCAAGTTACCGAGACACATATTTCGGCCCGCAAACATGTTCGGCCGCGTCCTCCTCACTCTCGATGGCATTATGCTGCTCTTTGGCGCATACATGGCCGATTGGAACGAGACGCATATCCATAACCCGCGGTGGCCGCCGCACGCCAAGTGAGTGATGACCTCCCTTACCTTTTCTATGCCGACAGGTCCCACGACAGACAAAGTCGATGTCGTCAGCCCACATTACTTGCACCCCGTCAAGCTGACCGAGGTCAACCACAACACACAGATTCCATAATGCGCAAACAATGACGCTCTCCCTAATTCTGGGCATGGCGACGCTCTTCTTCACGTGGCGCACCAACTCGTCGGCCGCAATGGCAAAGGAGTCGTTCCGCATCGCGGGCTTCCTAGGGTCTATTTACTGGGTGGCCGGGTGGGCTTCGCTGCTGTACCCCGGCACCAGCGGGCTGGACCCGGAGCACGGCGGACCGGGGTTCCCGCAGAAGTATCCCTTCACTATGGCGATGGGGCTCGCCGTGACGGGCATGTATCTCGAGGGAGGCATCTAAATTTGGGTTCCGTGGCGCATTCACTTTTGGTACAGGCATTGGGGAATCGGGGCGAGGATTCAGCCGGACGGCACGGTGGCGACGGGAGGTGGAGGTGTTGAGGGTATTGCGAAAAGTGCTTAATTGGGTTCAAGCATTTGGAGATAATCTTTTTGAATTGAGGGCAGGCCTGGTTGAGGGCGACGCGGACATCTGGGCTGAGTTAAGATGTTACTGAAGATTGTTAAGTGCCAAGGTTACGAATGTATTCATACTCAAAGAAGCTGAGCCTCTCTGTTTACCCTACCATATCCCTCGGCTCGTCCCCGTCTGCCAGGTAAGTGGGACTCGCGAATCGCAATCAATCATCACGGCGGCGACGACGACCGCGCATTTTTGTCAAATTTAGAGCCGCGGGAAGTGGGCGGACCACGGCACGGCGCATGGCCGAGCGGGCGGCGGAGGAAGAGGAAGGGAGAGAACATGGGGAGTGTTCCCCGGCGGTGCAACGCGGCGCGTCCGAATTAGCTCACCTCGGAGGGAGGCCAAGCGAGAACGGAGGGGTTCTGAACTTTCGGAGGATTACGTGGAAGCCGTTTTGTTCTCAACCTCTTTTTCAATTTCTCTAGATCAACGTTTGTTTCAAAGTTTGTGAACGATGTGGGCGGGATTCGCGGAGCCTGTCACGCCTGTGAATGGAACCCACCACCGTGGCCTCCTCTCTTGTGTGTTTCCGCGAACCCGCCCATGTCTCTGAGGGGCGGGACGAGGATTGGGAATTTCTCGGAGACATCCAGAATGACGTGGGCTAAGATTCTTGGGGGACAGGGGTAAGGGAACCCGACCCCCCTTGTCTCCCCTTCTCCTCCGTCGGGAATTTTGGCAGCATTGACTGGGCAATTGTTTCCATGGCCTATGGGCTTTCCAATGTTGTGTGTGTGTTTTTTCAACATGGCTCGGGTTCGCCCCATGGCCCGGCGGCCGGCACATAGCTCCAAGCCACGCAACACACAAGCGGTAAGCTTGAAGTGGCATGGTAGCATTACAATGGCCGAAGATGCCGTCCTCGGCGCCGCAAAGATTTGAAGATGGGTGAAATCTAACAGGAGGGGGGATTCAGACAGACTCAACTGCGAGGTCTCGGCAGCGGCTATCCGGTTAGCTCGGGAACGGCTTTGGTGGCTGACCTTCAGCATGAGTACAAACCGTTCATGTTACAGCCAAGTCGGTCAAGACGTTTGCTTGGGGGAACACGAGAGCCGCGAGCGCGAACTATTCGCTGTGAGCCTAGGATATGCTTACAGAGTGTGGGAAAAAGAAAACAACCTTGAATCTCCCAAGGCTTGGAAGATGGCACGGATTACCATCCTTCCACCCTGCAACGCAACCGCTTCTCCACTGTGCCTGCTCTGGAATAATCGATACTAATGGAGACACTCGCGTGATGTGTTGCCGGATGAGTTGGGCTCGCCGCTGTCGCTGACTCTCCTCTGAGGTGATGATTGACATGGCTCGGCCGTGGGCAGGGCATTCGGGATGTGGAGAAGGTAAGTTTGTCATGTACCCCGTCTGACTGCTATGGAAGTTCATGGCACTGGTGCAAAATTCCACCCTCTGCCTGCATCAACCCGGCTTTGCATGCCTCCAACTGCCTACAGTATCTTTTCCTCTCAAGGGCGAGGAGGGATGCCAGAAGCATACCCGGTCTCAGTCTACAGAGCCGTCACAAGACCCTCCGAAACAGAGAAAACATCAACGGCCGAGACTTCTTCGATGGGTATGGACCATGAGCCATGGGGTTGCAAGACAGCAAGACTCAGAACGGGGGTGTCTAGCAGGGCCGGGGGAACGCCCAGAAATGTAATGGGCTGCGTAACCTGCAGAAATGCGACACCAACGCGGCAGCGGGTACAGCGGGGGGGATCAAACACGACGCACAACGAACCAACATGCTATCCAGCCTCCTGGACGGATGCAGACACACGTCTGCAAGCCCCTGAGCCACCGTGACACCACGAGTCTCCAGGTCTGAAGCCGTTATCCGTATGGATACAGAGTGTGTGTAGAATCACTGCCTCTCACTCACTCTACGTCTCTTTCTCTCTATCAACTTTGATCCTTATGAGTTAGCTACTAAGAAGTACAGTATTATAGATGGAAATAGACTTATTGCCTTGATCCCCGCCGTCCAAGGGGGCGGACCGAGAAAAAAATAGGGCCATGGTCCCAGAAAACCAAACCAAGAAAAAAGCCTGAGCCACACACGCGCACTTCGCCAGCCCATTGAACCCCCATTCAGATGACGGTCTCCACTCGAGCTTACGACGACTGCACATCAAAGCAAGGATGACACAATCCCCAGCAACCCAAGTGCGGTGCGGCAACCGCAGTGACAAGCGCCGACTAACGTTGTGCGTTTTCTATGGCTCTCTTCCTCGGCTGGCTCTGCCCCCGTTTCGTTCGTTCTCAGCGCTCCCGCCGCTGCGTTCCCAAGAAATGCGAGGATGAGGCAAAGTAAAAGAGGTGAAGGGACATGCCTACCACGCCGATGTGCCCACTCCCCGCTCGCCTGAACGTCAAGTTGAGGTGGAAGCTGGGATGAACCGGGGATCATGGATGAGAAGAGCATCAGACCAAGCCGCCTTCCCGCCTTTCCCCCTCCAATCATTGGCGATGATGGTATATGTCTCTTTACCCAGTATCCATATCAAAGTACCGAGCGACACGGAGTATGTACGGTAGCCACACCCGGTGATAGTCAGTTAGTGACATTGAGAGCGCCCAGATGATTCAAGGCTGGGCCACATCCCGAGTGTTCCCTGGAAACCCGGAGGAAGGGCCCCCTTTTTTTCTTGTCAACGATTCCTATCGGTTTCTTCTGCAAGAGGGTCTGAGAGGTTGCTTTTTGAAGGGACGTCTTCCCATCTTCTTTAGTGTGCCTGTTGTTTAGCCCTTCCTCTCTTGCTGAATCTCTTTGACCTCTTTGACCCTCTTTGTACCTGATCATCCCTCCGAGATATCTTTTTTCTCACTCTCTGTTTCTTGTTTTCACGGCATTTGTTCTCTGTTTACGTAGAGACACTTCCAGTGACCGCTTGACTTCTTAAGAGAAGCATTTGGAGTAGATCAACGGCCGAAACCCTGGCACACCATCCGTCCCCGACGTAACCATCCCGGCCGTCCGGTGTAGCGACCTCTTGGCGGTCGACCATTGACTTTTTCGCCTCTTCGACTGCCGGCTTGGCACGGTACCACGAACACCAACGGTGTTCCATCTACACACCACACACACATACGAGCGCCTACCACATTGGGAAGGACTGGTGTAAACCACCACGCTGAGGGATCACGAAATATTATCCAAAACACCAACGGCAACCAACATACTTCCCGTCATCGTTGTCGCCAGTTGATACTCTGGGGAAAATTAAGCAACGACTAAGGAGGAAACGACCGAGAACTTCGACGAAGCAGCGCCACGCACTGGTCGCCCCGTCGACTCACCTCACCAACCGTGGCGCCTAGACTCATCCCGAGGATTATCGTCACCTTTGACGACGCAATTCAGTTCCCCCGACACACATCGCACAGAATGTCAAAGGAGCTCCCCCGCCACGAGCGGCGGCCTTCATCACCGACGGCGTACAGCGGCAGCAGCAGCGCTTCCGGCAACCCCTTTGAGCAGTGCGACATGAGCCTCAAGATGCTCCTCGCCTTCATATCCACACGAGTCCTGCGCGGCGGCCCGCGGCTTATCGTCCAGCTTGTTCTCGCCTTTTGTGGTCTGCTCCTTTTGGGCAAGTTCTTCGCATCGCCGACATCGACAGATACGCTATTCGATTCCGGCTCGAGATGGAGCTGGTCGCCTTTTGGCAAGAGCGCGGAGGATGCTGGATTCGGTGGACCTGGTGGTGTGAGAGTCGTTGCTTTCGGATCGCCCGATATCGCGACGCCATCGAGTGGAAAGGGAGCCAAGGGCAAAGGCTGGACTGAGGCCCTTTGCGAAGAGGTAGGTTTCATTTTGTGTTCCGGGGGTTTCGAGTTCATTTGACTGACAAGATCTCAAGCTCCGATGCTCCTCTCACCAATCCTTCACCCCTTCAATTAGCCTCCCAGCACAGGCTCTGACATCTAACCAACACTACCGCGACACCATCGAGAAGGTCCAGCGCGAGATCGAAGAGTACAAGGCTCCGGGCTTCAACTACGACTTCCTCCTTGAGCAGTTCCCCATCTCTGACACTGTCGCCGACCTCTCTGCTCAGATCGACGAGTTTCTCGCCCAGCCCCAGACTCGCAACAACATTCCCAAGGAGACCATATGGGTCTTCTCCTTTGGCACCTGGGACATCTGGACCCTCGCCTCTCTGCCACGCGAGCTGGGCCAGGGTATAGTAGACCTTGCCGCCCGCGCTCTCTTCGCACAGGTCGAGCGCGTTTACCAAGCCACCCTCGACAACGACTCCGTCGCCTTCTCCGACTTTTGGGCCTACCAAAACGCCTCCCTCATCGATAAGCTGAACAACATGGACCGTGAGGGCGGCGATGTCGACGAGCACGAGATTGAAAACTTCCGTGTCGTGATCCCGGATCTCTTCGACGTCTCCCTCACTCCCGGCTGGCACGCCCAGCGTCCCGCGCCACCGAGTCCTCACACCAAGGCTGAGCAGATGACCAACGCCGCTCACCTCACCGCGCGATGGAACTCGGAGATCAAGGGCCGAATGGACGAGTGGATGCGTACCGCGGATCCTCAGCCCGAGAACCCTGAGGAGGAGAGAGGCAAATTCGGCTACGTGCCCGCGAGCAAGCGCGCTACAGCCCACTACCGTCGCTCCCGCGCGGAGCAAGGTCTCGAGGCTGCTCCCAAGGGCGAGGCCCTCCGCGTGCCGTTCCCCCGCCGCGTGGCCGCACAGATCGATACGACCAGCTTCGTCCGCGAGGCGATTGTCGAGAAGCAGATGCGCGAGTACGGCCTCACGGACAGCACGGGCCGAGGCAACAGGACGGAGGACGACGCCAACGTCTTCTTCGCCGAGGCGTGGACGCCGTGTATCTGGGCAAAGACTTCGGAGACGTCTGAGGCCGCGAGCGGAGGATATGCGGCGTGCGATAAACCAGAGGAGTATCTATTCCACTCGCCCTTCACGTTGAGCGAGCGGGCAATTGCGCACACGGCCAAGATCGTGGCTGGCGAGGCGAGACGCAGGCTTGCTTTTGTTGATGCGGTTGACGAGAGTGCGGTTAAGGAGGGAGAGAAGGCGGCGGCCAGGGTCAAGAGACATGAGCCGAGGAGCGAATTGGGCCACTTCCAGCGTGTTCTGCGTCCCAACCTCGTGTCGCGCATCGTTGAGTCTGCGTGCCCGACGTTGGACGTCTGCTAAGTGGCTGTTTTCTTTTGTCCCGTCATCAATCCAACGTTATCGGAGGCCTACCTACAGGATAAGGCACTCATCGCGAGGAACAGATGGATGATGTTTGTGTATTTCGCGGCATTGGCATTGGCGTTGGGAGGGCATTGGGTTACAAGGACAACCAAAGATCATCATGTCATTGGCTGCCCCCGAACAATTTGGGGCCAGACGGCGTTTAGGGTTAAATCAGATACCGGGGACATCCCCACAGAGTCAGTCATAGGCAATGACATTTCCATTGAGTACATACCAGGCGCTGAACCGCGTTGTTGGTGAAACCTGATCCGCGCCTTGATTAGTTGTCTTCCTCAAGTCATCTCGTTCCTGAAATTTGGTGTAGGTTAGGTGTCTTCGAAAGAGAATCTGAGTACACTCCGCGCGAGGCGAAAACCAAAAGATCAGGGCTTGCTTTAAGAGATACTGACGGACCATATATGATCTCCCGGAATTCAGACTCCCAACCCATCGCATGATCGCTCTTTGCCGTCGCTCTTATTAGGTCGATCAACGTGTCGCAACTATCACGCTACCTCCCACAGTGCCATCGCGCAAGCGCTTATCAATGCTGGCAGCATCGTCGCGAGGGTAAACCTAGAAGGGCGACGATGCAGATCTCGCCAAGGACCATAGGGCAGATTATGGGGGGGGGGGGGGTGCGACAAGGATTCATACGGAGCCATATGTTGAAGGGACGAAAGCGCCGACCTTGACCATCCACCTGGAACATCTGATGTCATGGCCACCAAATGCGAGCTGGCCGACTCTCACAGTATCACTCAAAATTCTCGACGAAGCTCGCTCTCTTGGATTCGTTGGAAAGGATAGTTGAGACCACTGACCCTTGAATCCTTCTCACCACAAGACCAGGATACGATCGAGAAATTCCCACCAATCTGCCGTCGACAGATGCTTCCTGACCACTCTAACCCACATGCAACTTACCTCACCGACCACCGGCTGTCCGAGGCACGTCGTGCATGCTGGCATGGCTGGCGACATGCAGAAACCCGTTCCTTGCTTGGTTGTGTTCCTGGGCGCCAGAGCTTGAAATGTGCCAAGACTGCTTAAAGCTCGCTGACCTAGTGCGGCACAGCAGATTCGTCGCTGGATTGGGTAGTGGAATGAAGAAATGCAACATGTCCTCTTTGCCCGACTTATGTCTGCCTGGCCATTTTGAAGCGCTAGCAAACACACAATGTGACACAAAACCTGGGGAGCGATTCGACAGACCGAGCTGACATGCCTTCGCCAAGAGAAACACATGCGGGCCGCTGTCTTCGGCGCCTTCTCATTGCACGATCCTTCTGGTGTTGTCAGCTTATAGTTTAAAGCGACCTCCCCTCAGCTCAACTCTACGGATTGCGTTCACGTTCGGTTCATATTCAGGCTGCCCGGAATCACGTCGAAGAGATTAGTGCAACCCTCAAACCAAAAACGATCCAATATGCCTCTCACCGAACTCTCTCAGCATGCAATCACAAACCTAGGGCCGCTGACAACTGCCTTCACCGCGCCAGCCTCATGCGCAACCTCCTCCCTTGGCCTCTATTTGGCGTTCGAATCCGCCTTCCCTGACCGCGTGCAGCCCTTTTACCGTCAAAAATGCGAGGTTCCGGACTACGGCGAGTGTTTTCCTTCCGGCGCCGTGTTTGACGACATGCGCTCAGCGGCCATCACGGGCCGCTCCGACCGTGCGGGCACCATTGCCTACTTCTCGCCCGCAAGCTCCTGCCCCGATCAGTACACGACGGCCGGTGTCGCTGCCAAGAATGCCGAGGGCGCGGTCAGTTCGTCTGGGGTTTTTGTGCCGCCCTTCGTCAGGGTGCCGTTTGGGTCTGGACACATGAGTGACAGGCTGGTGGCTAACCCCCTCGTCAACGTTTTCATGGAGGCTCTCGATAGAAATGAGACTGCGGTCGTTTGCTGTCCCGAGTAAGTCTACCCCCGTGGTCGTTTCCACCGGAGATTGTACAGAGGCTAACGAGAATTCCTATAACTCAGCGGTTACACTGTGGGGTTCAATGGCGGTTGCTTCTCGCAAGTTCCAGAGTCCGTATATGGCCCGACGACGACGGTGTGTCTCAGAAACACTGACCCTAAAGCCGTGTCCTGGGTGAACGCGACCTTCACCTACAACAACACCGTTGCCTCCGGGCTCGTATATTCTTACCTGGCGACCAGCTACGAGGTCACGACCCAGACGCGGACCTTTACTGGTGCCCTGAGCGACTCCTTGATTCCGGTTGCTTCGAAACCCGCAGTGACAATGGTCTACAACACGGCTGTGGAGACCGGGGCTGGCGGTGTCGGTGGGGGCGGCACGGCAGCTGCGACAGGAACGGGGGCTCCGAGTGCGGCTCACGGGGCCCGAATGACGACTTCAGGGGGTAATTTAGGGATTCTAGTGACGGTTTGGGCCTTTGCGGCACTTGCTGGTGTTGCTTTGGCGATGCCTTTGTGAGATGTCGTGGAAGATGGTTTCGGGATCAAAGTCTATCCAGACGGTACATAAGCTTTCTCACTACTACTACTAACTAAAGATGATATTGATATACAACCCCCCCCAGTTCAACGGGGAAATTTGCTTTAGCAGAGAGTTGGTCATGGAAGTATAACTCGCGACGGGAATCCAGCTTGGTAATTCCTCGCCCAGGAATGTTTCTTGAATCCATCGGTGCTACCACCATTGGCGTCGTTTGGTCAGACAAAGACAAATCAGAACTCGCAAAAATGAAGCGACGATACGGACCCGACTATTGAGGTCTCCTCTTCCAATCGGTTTCACGGAATCTTTCCAGCTCAGGACATTCACGCGCATCACGCTTTGCCAGATGCCAAGACTAGGCAGCCAAGTTACTAAGAGTCCAGTCCCCTCATGCTCGCTCGTATTGTCGGAGTTTTTCAGTGTGCCGCAGTAAACCGAATACTGACTGGGTAGGCCAACACATATCCTGCATGAACGTACTTATCTAATAGTGTCTACCTTGGGCCAAATAATTGAATCTTGACTTTGGACAAGGTAACAACGATCAAAAGACTACTTTACAATCCATGCAAGTGAGCCATTAAGTACTTTCCAACAATGCGACCCTGTGTGCAGTGCCTCCACGACTACCGGGGTACTCATAAGGGGGGGCGGGGAGGCCGTGTGCTTCAACGTGAACACAAACTCGCACGATCTAGAGGATTGACGTACTGCCTCGACCAAGACTCAGACATCAGAACAGGTCCAATATTCCTCACAAGTCTTCACATCATTTGAAGATCATGCACAACAATATGCTGGTGCAATTTCGCGAAAGTTATTTTCGTTTCGATAAGGTCGCTCACCTCATGATCGTCTCAGCTAGCCATTTGATTTCTTGAGATTCATGGGTATTACATGTAGCAATCTCACATTCATGTTCACGGATTCACCCAAGTGACATCTCGCCGCCGAGTCATGTTGTTTGAGTTCCATAAATCTAGGTTCAGGCAACTAGCGGCCTGTATTTTAGCTCGCTGAAATATCCCCGAGCCGATCAAACTAGTGGCTTCTACTTACGAACATAAAATAGCATTGTGCCGTGCGTTGGATGAGTTGAGTTCCATCTCAGAACAATTTGAAGTATTCACTAGTCTGTACAGGCAACGTTCCAAATTCTCAAGAACCCCCTTCTGAAAACTTCGATTCTCTGACAAGAGGATTGGAAAATGAGCGAACTACAATCTGATCAGTTCAGTGTATGTACCAAGCTGGCATTTTCCATATCATGTAATACCAGTCACTAACGCCTGTTCGAACACCAGAACAATGAACTTCAACCTCGTTCTGCTGCTGATACATCCGGGGCAATTCGGCTACCGGGCTATGGCCTACCGCTGAATTATTTGCCAGACAAGCGAGACAGATTCCCTGTGCTCATGGAAGACACTCACAAAAGTTGGAAAGCTAGTACTCTACTGGTTCGAGAGATTTGCATGCTCAAGTTCATGGAGGACATCACCAACAAACCTGAGTGGTGGCTCAAAGTTCGAGACCCGGTGGTTTCCGCCAAGTGGAAGGAGGAAGTGCTGGCATTGGACTGGGCAGCGTACCGAAGCCATGGAGACTTCACGAAGAACATGGCCGAAGCGGTAAGTTCCAGTCGGGTTGGCATAACCTTCGCATGGCTGCCAGCAACTAATCGAGATGATTGAGCTGACATTCAGTTTTAAAGTGCATGCAAGAACTCCGAAAAAAAGCAACGTTGTACGAGGAAACAGGTCTCATTCCCGTGATGGATTACTCTACTTGTGTCATCAAGTCAGACAATCTTTTGCCTGGCTCGTTGACTGATCGTCTGCAAGTCGCTGTCAAACCTCTTGAAGATGTTCCCGACCACAAAAAGGATTGGCATCCTGGAAGTGACGGTAAAGTCCTCGACTTGGTGCACCCGTCACTCTTCCCACTCCTGTACGGCCGCTCACGAATCATGCACGAACGGATCACATTAAATGACTGTCTCGAACTCGGCGGACGTGGATTTCTAATCCCCAAACCCGACGAATCTGATGTTGGTGAAGGTAGAACTTTCGACTGGCAAGGCGCACCTGTTGAGCTAGTGTCCACCAAGTTTCAGTGGTTGCCATGTGATGTCGCCATTGACGACGACGGCCGGCCCACCATTGAGAGTTATATCAACAACTTGCACCCAAGGAAACACTCAGATCTGTACCCCTTGATCGAAGAACTGATACAGAAGTCTTTGCCAGCTTGGGACATCATCTATCGTTGGGTGAGAAAGTTCCCAGTCCAGCGTCTGACCGCGCGAAAGGTCGGAAAGCGTGTCGCAGTTCCTGATGTTGTCCCTGAGAAGGGAAACCAGTCAGACGGGAACGAAAGCGATATTCCCATGGGACATCAAGATGAACACCACCTGGAGATCGACAACTTGGCCCAACCCACGGCTTCTACTGGAGAGAAAATAGGCAGACAGTCCGGGGACACCCAGGAAACCAAGCGACTGAAGACCGACGAAGCGGACTCTGAAGACTACGATGAGAGCAATGATGAGGACGACTACGACGATGACTATGACGACGATGATGACAGTGACAGCGAAGACGAACAAGTTCGAGAGCCCTCTGCTTATTTCAGATTATCGACCAAAAACATCAAGCGCACCGGATTCTTCAACAACACACCCCGCATTCAAGTCATCGTCAAATTCGCCAACATCCACCTCACACCCGAACAGCCATCATATAACGGCGGCTCATGGCACGTCGAGGGTCAACTCAACGAGCACATCTGCGCCACAGCCCTATTCTACTACGACAGCGCCAACATTACCGAGTCCCAGCTTGCTTTCCGCGCTCCGGGGAACAGGGAGAAGTTGGATCAGCGTCTCAACTACCAGCAGTACGATCACAAGTCTATTGAAACGGTTTTTGCGATTCGAAGTAGCTCCGATACGCTCCAGGAGGTAGGAAGCGTACTGACGCGGCCTGGGAGGGCGCTCTTCTTCTCGAACTTGAGCCAGCATAAGGTGCGGCCTTTCCGGTTAGAGAATCCGACGAAGCCTGGGTACAGGAAGATTGCAGCTTTGTTTCTGGTCGATCCTGCTGTGCCTGTGATTTCGACGGCGAATGTGCCTCCTCAGCAGAAGCATTGGTCCGTGGTTAAGGACCGGGATTCGGAGGCGAACGAGATGGTTGAGACCATGAGTACCCTGATTGAAATGGACGAAGCAAAGAAGCTACGGGAAGATCTCATGAGGGAAAGGACAGTTCTATCGAAGACTGTCAATGAAGAGCTCAGAGACGTGGAGTGGAGTTTCTGCGAGCACTGAGACAAAATAGGTTTGGCCCTATACCGTTACCTAGACTCGGTACCTACTAAAACATAGACTGGAGATAATAGAGTTACTTGAACGTTCTCATACTGTGATGAATGTGGTAAAAGGGTCCATGCCTTGCAGAAAGCTGAACGTCATCGTCTTCAAAGTACGCAGCTGTCGATGGTCGCGATATTAATTCACCCTCAAATCGGACCTTGCTCCACCACAATCTCCTCCTGTATAATCCGTCTCAAATACTGATCCCGCACGATTATATCGCCAAAAACATCAGGACGGACGCTCAATCCTTCAATATGTCTGAAGGTCAGCATTGCAAGCGCCAGACCAATTTCCTGGGAGAACTTCCGTCCAAATATACAAGCACTCCACACCTTCTATTTCCCTTTCGACTAGATGCCGAATTTGGAAGATTAGAATTGATTTCCTCAGCCCAGAAGAGCAGGCCGCCATGGAAACTACGGCGCAGATCAAAATGGAGGAGTCGAAGGAACGGATCTTGGTGGAACGGGATAACGCGGAGGCAAGTCAACGTTTATCGTCATTTCTATTTAACTAAAGCCACGCATAAATTTGTGGAGCTCCCCTCTTATTTATTGGATATGAGTAACTAGTAGAAGGTTTGAAGTGAGGTACTAGAATGATGAGCGGGTATAGGAATCAGATTGAGGGTCTCAATATTTTCAATGGGTGTTATCGACCTAGACGCAAACCAACTGAAAGTGAAGTCTGCATATGAGTATCTAACTGATCTTAGTTGATGAACACTAGAAGATGTGCGAGGATCTACCTTATTTTGGGACAAGTTGCCCGAAGAAGTTGGGGGTTGTTGTGGTTGACTTCTTATCTCTACTTCCCATTCAAATGGCCATCAAAATGGATAAGATCGCGCAATCCGCGGTTAGTGGGGTTAGGCGGGGTTCAGCATCTGATCCAAAGAACCTTTGTAAGCCGTAGTACCAAACGGGGGTAAACTCTGATGACAGGATCAACCCTTCATGGTTGCGGTTAGAGACATCGGCCGAACCTCGGTTAAGCCCAACGACCTTCCCTCTTTATCTCCCATGGGAATTGGAGATGGCGAAATGTGCAACCCTTCAAGACGACATCGTTGACACAGTGGAACCTTGGGTGGTAGTACGCGGGCGGCGTGCAGCTCGCTTCAAATACAGACAAAATGCCGGGCACAACCTCTTGTGAGGCGGCGCCGCTGCTTCCAGGCTCGACACTCTCGTATCGACAGCGCAGGCAGCCGGTGTCTGATATGGCGTCAAAGATCAAAGAAGCCCTCTGGGGCCCGCCATCAGTCGAGCGATCGCTGCTTATCAAGCTTGATTTCACCGTGCTCATCTACTTTTCTGTCGTGTGGTTCTTGTTCGGCGTCAACCGCGCGAGCTACAATACGGCATACATCAGCGGAATGAAGGAGGACCTGAATTTCCAAGGAAAAGTGAGTGACTCGCAACACTCCAGCGAGAGGAACATCCGATAAGCACCTCAGCTTTCATGCGTGATAGACTCTGACTTGTTCGACTTTAGGATTTTAACTACATGCATACAATCTACCTCGTCACCTACGCCGTATTTCAAATTCCCTCAACCTCAATCCTAACCATTGTCAAACCCCGCTACGTCTTCGTCGCAGCAAATACAGTCTGGAGTGTCCTCACCCTCGTCACATTCAGAGCAACACACGTCTACCAAATTTTCGTCCTCAACGGCTTCGAAGGCGCTTTTTCAGCCATCGCATAGTGAGTTTTCTTGTGCGCCTCGACGAGTTACCTCTCTAATGATGCATTCCAGTGTCGGCGCGCACTTCATCTACGGATCATGGTACAAGCAATCCGAACTCGCAACCCGCGCAGCCGTCTTTTGCGCTTTTGGCAATCTCGGCAACATGGCAGGAGGGTGGATTCAGGCGGGACTCCTCGCGTCTCTATCAGACGGCCCGATCGAGCCCTGGCGACTTATCTTTGTGGTGGTTTCGTGCATCACTATTCCCTTTGCCATTTTTGGTAGGTGCTCGCGCATGAGAAGTATATGTAATAAGATGAGGAACTGACATCTCATAAGGCTGGTTCGCTATACCAGATCTACCAGAGCACCGCGCAGCAAGATTCTTGACCCCGGAAGAGAGGGAACTCGCTGTCACCCGCCTCGGCAGAACAAAAACAAAAGCATGGGATAGGAGCGTGTTTCAACGTGTCCTACTCAGCTGGCAATTCTGGCTCCTCCCAACCGTTTTCATGCGTATGTCTTCGTTACAGATATCTGAGCTCAACGAGTACTGACATGTAAATACAGTATACTCCCTCAGCGTCCAAGCAATAGGTAACAATGTAATCCCCCTATGGATGGCCTCGCGGGGCTACTCCGTAATTCAGCAAAATAACTACCCGACCGCAACATACGCCACGGGCATCGTCGCGACCTTTGTCTACTGCGCCGTCTCCGATAGGCTCCGGTCACGTTGGCAGGCCTCGCTGTGCATCGGGTTCACGTTCATCGTCAGCAGCGCAATCTTGATCTCAAACCCGCCGGATGCAGGGTATTTCTTTGCGTTCTACCTGATGGGCACAACATATGCGCCGCAGGCCCTGTGGTACTCGTGGATGGCGGACCTGACGGCGCACGATCTGCAGCTGAGGGCGATTACGACAGGGTTCATGAACTCGTTTGATTTTGCGTTTGTGGTGAGTGGTTACTTGCATTCCATGAGCAATTGTCTGTGCTGGCAGCCACTAACAGGAACACAGACGTGGTGGCCTCTGATATTCTACCCCGTGACGGATGCGCCTAATTACCGAAAAGGATACATTGCTAGTTTAGTGACGGGCGCGTTGACTGTGCCAGTAATTTTGTTAATTGCCTATCTTGAGAAGCGGGGGAGGAAACTTGGTAAAGTCGGCAGTGCCCACGATGAGCATGCAGAAAGGTCGAGGGATTAGGGTCAGAAAAGTGAGGGAGGCAACATTTCATAAGCTATGCGTGTTTTCAACAACTTACCTTCCCTTAGAGGACTACCGAGAAGTAGTTTGTGTCAGGTTATGAAACATAATTTGAGTCCCGGATAGGCATATAGACATCGTTTCTGACATAGGAATCTTAGGCAATCTTCTGCCTACTTACGACCCGAGAAGTGAAGAGAATGACATGGGAGATCACTGGATGCATTTTGGGAAGGCATCGCGAGTACCATGTGGAATCTGGACCGCAGGCTGGTACGTTCTGGCATCACTGTACCGTAAGAAATACCGATTTAATCCTTTTTTGAGAATAGCAACAAAAGTCAACGGTTCCTATCCCACAGACTCGTCATTGCCATTGAACTCATCATGAATGGCCGTGTAGACTATGATTTGTGCGTTTACTGTACAACTGTCGTAATGCGTATGCTGTACCAATCACAAAAGCTTCATTCTCTCTGGAACGCCGTGTAAATGTTACAGCCTTTTCCCCATGTCATAAATGTCATAACCTCGTTACCATGCTTCCCACATCTGTGACCCCAAGGCCACGAGACGGTTAAAGAGTTCATCTCTCGAAATAATGGCGGTAAGATGATACTCCTTGCCCATGCTGTCTGTCACGATGAGGCCGTCCGCAATCTCACGATCGGTAGCCCAGCCAACAAAAATCTTGGACTTCCAGCCGAGACCGCCCATTTTACGAATTTGCTGGTGGAGTATGCGTCAGCTGTGGCAACTCAAGAGATTGCGTGAACATTTTCTCACCTCAATATCACCAATGGTGACAGTCCACGTCGGACTCAGATCATCCGACTCAGTCGTCCAGCTAAGCGCAGGGGTCGTAGCCGTAGTCGTGATGTAAGCATGGCCCCTCTTACCCTTCCAACGTGCCGGGAATCGGACGGGACCTTTTTCAGGATCGGGCGTCTTCTTGATGACGCCCAGCCTGTCCTTTGCGTGTTTAGCGCCGACCTTGGCCTTTACCTTGTCCGCGGCGAGAGTGGTGTTGATACCGCCCTTGGCGGTGCTCTTGATAAAATTCATGATTCGGTGGCCCTTCTTCTGCTTGTGCTCTGCCGTTTCCGACTCCGCTGGCGCTAGTGCTGCTTCGTCGGGTTGAATAGCCTCGTCTATCTCTGCTTGATCGACACCTGGTGAGTTTTATGAGCCAATCTCCGGCAGCTTCTTTTAAATCATGGGTTACTTACCGAGGTGCTCCAGATCCTGACCAGCGGTCGCATGAGGTTCATCAGGTGGCGGTGTATCGGACTTTGGCGGAGGAGGGAGCGGTGCCTTGTTGCGCTCGCCAATTCGCAGAAGCGTGATGGTGACTTGGGCATTGGTGGGAATGCCCTTGAGAATGGTGTTTCGCAACTCAACATACTTCTGCCAATGAGGGTAGGTACTGGACATACTTTAGACACGCGAGTAATCAACGTTGAAAGAAAGACTGACCGGTTGATAAACACCAGGCCTCTTTGGATGATGGGGTCTCCAAAGATGGTGAATCCAACCACAAAACCGGTACCTTTGACCAGCATGTACGAGGTTGTAAACAAGGAGACGAGTAGCAGCGGTAAGATAACGCTGGCAAGAACGAGACGAGGTCTCTGCTGTGGGAAAGGCGGGGTTGGACTCAGAGCGTTTCCGAAACGCTCCCAGGTATCGACAAACTGCGCATTCTGTCAGTTGCAAGAACAAAGTGGTTCCCGGGCCGGAGTACTCACGTCGGCAATGCCATGCATCACAGGCCTAGCCTTGACCCAGACGGACTCGTGAACAGGCTTCTTGGTCTTGTCGTGGTGGGAAGTAGGCTCCTTGCCGTCCGTCTTATCCTTGGCATTGACGACATCTTGGGTAATGTTAGTAGGGTCGGGGACAGAAGAGTCGTCGTGGGGATCGCCTTGAGGATGTTTTCCCGCCGCCGTGCTGATGATCAGCGATGAGATGCTGTTCACGAAGCTCGACGCCTCTTGTTCCACGGCCTCTCCGGCATGCTTCTCGGGTGCACCAGTGATCGAGTCATCGGACGCGAGGACGCCGGATGCGGGTTTCTTGACGCCGCCGGTTTTGCTGTCGATAAGGGAAGCGGGGGCGGGAGGGAAACAAAAGTCTCGTGATTGTGGGACGAGGACAAGAACTATGAGGAAGCTAGCGAAGACGGGGACGACGAAATCGAGGATCCAGGCGATGGAGTAGACTGCGAGGAAGAGTGAGGTGCGCTTGTATTCGCGCCATGAACGGAGGCGAACAATGTGCTTCCAGAAAGAGAATAAGCCAACAACGACGGTCATGTACAAGCGCTCCACATGGGCGCGGAGTTTATCAGGCGAGAACTCCTCCTCGTCGGCGATGTTCATATCCAGGTTTGCAAGCTGCCCGTCTATGTTTAGCTGCTGATATGCGCCGATTTGGAGGGATAGGCTCACCGGTGGCTCGGGTATCGATTTGACGTGGAAGATTTGCTGGGACGGTATCAATATCTCGAATAATGACACACCTCCGGCATAGAGGTCTTTCGGCTCGCTCCAATTACCTTGTCAAATCGCCGGACTAGGATCCAGAGCTCCTCGTTGCTCAAACCACCAACCATGGGTTGCGCAACCTTGCTCGGTGGGTTGTTCCATCCCAAGTTCTTCACTTCAACATGATCGTGGTCAAGCTCGGCGTGTCCCCTCTCTTCGATCGGCTTCTCCTTGGAGGCCATGTCTGCCAGGTGATGGCTGTCTGTTGGTCTCTCCTCTTCATGTGCCTCTACAATTTCGGGTTCTTGTCCCATTGTCGACTGGCTGGAGTACCCATAGCTAGATTGGCTCGCTGGGGTATCTACACCGGGGTCTGAGGCAGCAGGCGGAGGGGGCGGCGGTGCTGTCGTTGGCGGCGGTGGAGGGGGGGGTTGTGAAGCCATCTCGTCAGTATCGCTGGGTTTACCCTTGAACATGGTTGCTGCCGATACTGTTCTGGGGTGGAAAGATGCGATGGGATGAAGTTTCGACTGCGATGCGGGGTGTCTCCTAGCTTTGAAGTCGTTTCGAGGTTCATCCGCTCGTCTGGGGCTACAAAGCTGAGACAGCTGAAAATCATGATTTGGGAGAAAGCTGGCACGAGGAAACAGCTGGAATGCAGCCGCCGCCGACGTCAAGCGCGTGTCTGCTCAAGCTTCTTACCGCATTTGGGTAGGTATGCATGACGTCACGGGCCGCGCAGCACTGATTGGGTGCTCCAAGACGATCATCGTGATCATCACCACACGGAAGATCTCCACATGGGTGAACACATCCATGGATGAGTTACCTTAGCTATACGGCAAGACGGGAAGTAATGACACCTGTTTACCGGATGATTGGGTGGCATCTTCTGCTTGGCCAGCCTTTTTGACAGCTCGACGCTCGTGCGACCACATTCTGGATGCAGGCGAAGGGAGAGCAGGCCGGACCATTCGATCCTTGAGCCTCGAAGAACTGCGATCATTGGTTGAGCTCGCGCCCTGTTTACCTCGTATTTCTTGCGTTGGGCTAGACTCTCCTGCTCAAGAACAAAGCTTGCGATCACCTGAGCTTCTGAAAGGTTGAGGATTTGTGCCAGTGTGAGGAAGATAGCCTTCTCATCGTGAAAAGAGCAAAAAAATCATGATGGTCAAATGACTCTCATTCACTTCTTACTTGCTGCTTCTCTACTATCAAATTACCCTCACTCTTTGAATTAGCCAGTCCAATTCATCGAATCTGATGAGCGGTTCCAATGATGAGTCTCACATCAAGTATCCCTCCAGCCACATCAGGCATTTCGGCTGCACAATAATGCCTGCTAATCCAGACCCGACCAGCCACAATGAAAAGCTTCAGACTCATCATCTCGCAATGCCCGTAGCCCCAAAGCCACTGCCGCTTTTCCGTGACCCGGTTCTCAGCTTAGCGGCAACGGCCGTGATCCCCACAACATAGATCCGGACTCCGCTCCAGAAGATTTTCTCTTGCCGAAAAATCTCATGATGCTCCACTCTAGGGCTTTATCTTCCCTCAACCAAGATTTCGATCTCAACCACACCGATCCACGGGCATCCAAAGATCACCATCGGAAGGGTGGCCGAGTTGGTTATGGCGCCAGGTTAAGGTCAGCTTAACATCTGTTTCCTGGTGGGGCAACCCGCGCGAGTTCGAGTCTCGTCCCTTTCATTTTCCCTTTTTGAACTCGGTGATGGCTGTCTCTTCTTGGTTCTGCGTCGGGAGAGGCTCATTTTGTGTGTTGTGAACTAGTGAAGTTTGGGAATAAGATGGGACTAGACACACATAAGCAACGAAGGAGCATGTATGAGGACATGCTGGATCAATGAGCTGCGGAGATTCTGGTTTGACGTTTGAATGACCTATTGATTACACAACTCTATCGAGAGACTCGTGGGTTGTACACAGTTCCCCTCCTTAAGACAATCAAAGTCAAACATCTGTGAATGGTATATTCAAAGCTTTTACTTTTGGTAATAGGTACTACTCTATACTGTAATCATACGTAAAATCATCATCTAGTTGCCGTCACTTCTAGGTCTACAGATATTTACACCTAGTATCCAGCCCACCAAGTGTAGTTGTTCGTCTGCTCAGCGGTGTCCCAAACCAAGGGAACGCTCGAATCCTCCGGCCTCTCAGGCCACGCCTGCGCAAGGCCAGTCCAGACCTTGACATCCTTCCAGGTAGCCTTGCCGCCCTCAGCAGCAAAGAAGGTCAACCCGGTGCTGTCGTTGCGCGAGGGGTAAATGCGCGCCGTAAGAGCGAAGCGCTCGTTGATCCAGATCTCGAGCAGCGAGTTGTCGAGTACGACGTGGAAGTTGAGCTCCTCTGTAACGGTCGCGTTGGCGCCCTTCTCGTGGATCTGGTAGGGCTCAAAGTGACCCACAAACGTGGCGTTGTTGAAGTTGGGCAGAAGACTGCTGTGGGTGCGGATAACGCTGATCTCCGAGGCCTCGACGTCGAAGTTGATGGTGGTGTACTCGGCGGAGTTAGGGCTCTGAGCGAGGATGATACCCGCGGAGCCGCTGAAATCGCTGAGGGTGGCAGTCAGCTCGTAGGAAGTGCCGAGATCGGCGGAGGCGGTCTTGGTGGTGTCAGCGAGCTGACCGATCTCGAACTCGTTGGTCTGGGCGCCCTCGCGGAGGAGCTCGAGGACGTCAGGTAGGGGACGCATACCGAGAGTCTGCGCGGTGTGACCGTTGCAGCTCTCGATGCAGGTGCTTCCATCCTGCTGGGTGCCGCAGTTTTGGACGCCCTTGGTCTCCTTGATGTAGAGCTCCATAGGGAGGTTCATGGATCCCTGGTAACCCATCTGCTTGGACGTGTTGAAAGCGTAGTCGCCGAGGATGTCGTCGTTGGCCCATCCCCACATGACGCGTCGGTCGTCGTTGCGGGTGTCCTTCCAGGTGGCCTGGGCGTAGGAAATACCCCAGTCCAAAGCGGCGCCCGCGGTGGGCGTGAACTCGACGGAGCCGTTGTCGCGGCGTGCGACATCTCCGCGGTTCCAGAGAGCCCACTGCTCCTTCCAGTGCTGGGTTGTGTTGCCGCCTTCGGCGCCCATGGTGACAAACCAGGCCTTCTCGTCCGAATCGCCGACAGGGAGGTCGAAGAAGCTGCTGACTTCAAAGTTGTAGCCGTAGGATCCGGTGATATCGGGAACGCCGAGGGAGGTGTTCGCAGCAGGCTCCCAGAGGGCGCCGAGGAAGGTCCATTCGGTCAGGTTGGAGGAGGGTGCGGAGTAGAGCGGAATACGGGGTCCGATGAAACCGGGGCGGGCGGCGCCGGGGAGCTGAGCGGGCACATCGCCGGTCTTGAGGCCGGAGCCGAGAACCATGTAGTAGTGGGGCTCGCTGACCTGGAGGAGGCTGTCGAGCTCCGTGGAGGGGAAGAAGCTGGGGTCTCTCCAGCCGGTGACGTTCCAGCCCTCGGGAGGTCCAGAGAGAACGGTGCCAACTTCGTCCCAAGTGGAACCTCCGTCGGAGGATGTGTACATGGCCTGCACTTCGGTGCCGGTGATGTACGGCTGCTTCCAGTTCGTGGGCAGGTAGTGAATACCAGTGCCGAAGGTCAGAAGTGTGCCATCGCTGGCACCCTCAATGTTGACGGGCTGCGTAGTGCCGGTGAACTGCGAGAGGGGGCCGGACGCGTACTTGCCGGAGGCGAGCGAGACGGAAGAGTCGTTTTGCCAGTCGCGGACATCGGTCCAGTGGAAGAGATCCTTGGAGACGGCATGGCCCCATGAGATGTTTCCCCAGTTGACGTGGTTGGGGTGGAACTGGTAGTGCAAGTGGTATGTCTCCGTGGCCGGGTCATAGACGGCACCGCAAGGGTCGTTGAGCCAGCTGTGCGGCGCGAGGTAGTGAGAGCGAGGCCTCCAGCGGGTGAAGAGGGAATTGTTGCCCGCGGTCGCAAGGTACTCGGGCGTGATGGTCGGGACGCTGGCAGACGAAGCTGGGACCGCGACGGCGGCGAGGGAGGCGATGGCCGTGAAGACGGCACCACCCTTGAGGACTGACATGCTGTGCTGCGATGGATAGTACTGGTAGACGTGCCGCTTGACCTCCGAGATCTCACGAACGCAGGCACTCAAGGCGTTCATCTTATATATCGGCTGCGCGCGCTGCGCACGCCTGGAGCAGGATCCGACTGGACCGGGGAAGCTGTCATTCGGAGCTCTCGATACGACGTCAGCCAGGGCAGAGCCAAGGAAACAGCTCCGCAGACGGACCAAGGGTAAGGAGTCATGATCCCTGGGCTTGTGGTTCTACTGAGGCTCGGCGAAGACGGATCATGACGATGATGGTTACGAGAGTAGAGCAAAAGGCGAGAAGCAACTAAGAGAAAAAGGTTTCTTGGACTGACTTTACGGGCCGAAAAGAAACCCCAACGACTGGTCTTGGCCCCACGGGGGTTCGGTCAAGCCTTGTGTGGGAAACGAAAGAATTTAGGTAGGCAATCCTAGAAATTGGGGAAAGACTGGAGTAAACGCGGGGCGGCCACGCCGGTGGTCTAAGGCAATTTACAACTTTTGGAATCAGGTTACGCTACTGACCCCAGCGTCGGTGGGTTTAGTGGCAGATTGGCATTCAAGTACGGAGTAGTGAGAGTGAGAATGCGGGAGTTGCGGAGGCGCGGGGGTTCGCCCGCGGTATCGCTCGCTGAAATTCATCGTGTGTTTTATTCGATGAAGAGAAGAAGAGAGAAACCGAACGGCCTGGGCCACAGACGTAGCTACATGTAAGCTATTGCAAAGCTGCTGTTGTTAAGCCCAAATTGTCCGCGACATGGGCACGTGTGCAGCTTCCAAAGCGTGGAGATAGCCGCCGGTCTCGATCCGTTGCATAGACTCATCATCCGAGTGGTCGAGCGGTCCGACAAACTCGCGGCGACGGCAGCATCAGCGTCGCAATGCAGCATGCAGTGTCTCTCTTGAAGCTGGGTACGCAAGGCAGAAAAAGCGTGGCAAGCGAGGGCCGCTGGGCAGAGATCATCGAATTGGCGCATGATGCCGTGGGGAAGATGGTAATTACCACGCAGTACGACGGCACTTTGCTCGCTGTTACCATTCCCTGGGTGCGGAGTGAGGGACAAGGTTTAATGGCCGAGAGTATCGCCAGCTGTGCCCCGCAAACCACAGGACGATGGGTTTCCCCGATCTGGAGATGCTGGGACATGGTCTTCTTTTGGCTCTTTCAAGCGCCGGTCTCCAGTGGTTCTGTCACTTTTTGTCACTTGTGCCCTTGCCAACCTAGCCTTGCGTAAGGTCGCAAATCCATTCGGTTGGTTTTTTGCGTTCCAGTCAAAGCTCATCTCCTTTTGTGAGTTCGGATGAGTATCCCATGAAGCGTGGCGGAAGTCAATGGGGGCCAATAGACTTTCTGTGGAGGATGTGAGATGACATTGCGGAGGTATTGTGGGGAAACAAAGTGGAATGACAGAGTCAGTTTGGGGTCATGAGCAACGAAAGACTTCTTCTAGAAGGAAATTTGGACTTTTGAGAGCTTCTGAGAGGTCAATCCCATTGCCTATTCTCGCTGAATTCGAAAAGATCGTGTCATCTAGCTCAGAAAACGGCCGACTGGGTGGAGTCTGCTGAGTTGTGGCAGATCATCGTGATTCGACAGACTTTTGCGCAGACCCCTCCCCAGACGACTGCCAATCCGTCTTCGCAATTGACCCAGGTTTATCACTGTTTCGATATTTCTTGGGTTCTGATCCATACGTATATCCGATTCCGGCTTGCTGCCGGAGAAACATGCTCTGTGCTCCGAGAATCCGTCCACACTGACGGCCCCTCACCAGCCGCAGTTCATGACCCGAGCGTTGTATGTCCGGTCGCCGCCCGGGTCGCCTAAGGTGGGGTACCATAATGGCTCCATATCTTCCCGTTGAGAAGATATGAAGAAAGGACTGCTTCAAGGGCTCTCTCTGCCCTCAAGTTCGTCATGAACTCATGCCAGATCAAATCCAATGCTCCTTCCCACTATGGTTCTCCAGAGGATTGGAACCCAGAAGTGTAGAGCATCATTTCGTCGTTTCTACCATACATGGACAATACAGGTCCGCGGGAAATGGGCTTACAATGCCGGCAACATTCTTTCTCAGTCTCCTCCGAGGATCACGCGGGCGGTGTCCCCTCTTGAGGCAGTGTGCAGGTTATTAATAGTCGCTTATTTCCATTCGTCGTTGGACCACCTAGCCTGATGACACCCACTGACAGAAATGCAACCCAAAGGAGTCATTCCAGCTGGATTAATCGCCTCAGGTTTCCTTGTCGTTACCAGTGAACCAACTGCGATGCGCCGATAAGGCACAGAAACACCCAAGTGGGCACATTTACCTTACTGCGTAGACAGGACCCTTTCACCTAGATACATTGGTCTCTGCACCACTTCCGCTCCATGTCATCACTCCGTCCCTATACCCCGCCTTGCTTACCTTGCGAGCGCTTCTTCCTCTTTTGTGAACGCCGCACTGAATGATTCCCAGTTGCGCCTTGTCAGTGATATATTGGTACCAGTGAAGATTTATCTTGGCTCTTGGTCCAAATCATCGAGATGTTATCAGAGTCGAATCGTAACGCATCGAACTCCGGAACACCTGCATGTGAGGAAAGTGAACATGGATCCGGAAGAAGCCAGCTGGGTTCACCTCCCAGCAGCAGCGCTCCTTCACGGCCAGGAAATAGCGATGAGGATGGAGACGACGATGACTATGAGAGCGGTTAGTCTGGGTTCATCAAGGTTTCTCAACAAGCTCTCACATCATCCTAGATTCTGACAAGGGCGATTGGCCATCCATCGTATACGACTTTGACGACTTAGAAGAAGAAATTGACTTCTATCGAGAAAGAGTAGCGCGGCACGAACAAGACCAAAAGAACGGACTGCGGTTGATGCAAACGCGGCTGATGCTCGGAATTGCTTATACTGCGGCAGGCAAGAATGATGATGCCGAAGCGACACTGATCAAGGTCAGGAATGAGATGGAAGAGATTTGGGGATGGAGTCACATTGCCACTATGGCCTGCACAAAGTCTTTGGTTCAAGTGCTTGAATCCCTTGAAAGGTACGACGAAGCTCGGGACTTGTACGAGATTGCCATTAAGGCCGTTCGATGTGCTCTGGGTAGCGAATATCCCTGGACCCTGGAGCTTTGCAATAACTTTGCTTGTTTTCGCGCTCGGCGATCCGAATTTGACGATGCAAAGAAGTTGTTTGAGGACGTTTATCAAGCGAAGCGACATGTCTTGGGCCAGCATCATCGATCTACACTGGACGCACTCTGCAATTTGTGCAGACTTTCGCCCGCTTCAGATCACAGCAGTGACGAGCTTGCCATGGAAATCGCTGTTCAGGCTCTGAGGCAGGGCTATGATGACGACAGTATTGTCGTCTTGAGCGTAGTAAAGCACCTCAGCTTCCTCTATCAGCAAGGTGGGAACGCCGAGAAGATGCAGGCTCTCTGTAATGAATTCGAAATAGAAGGTAAGGAGATTTCCATGGCGCTGATACCTTGATCAAGTACTGAATCATCTCTCCTGAAATAGCTTTGGCGGAGACATATTGTACCGCTTTCCATGTGGACACCCTCATTCCACCTCTCAAGACCCGGGGGCAGACCCAGGATGTCAGCATATTACCATTTGATATCTTCCAAAAAGTTCTAAGCAAAATCGGGCCTACTTGGGCTAAGCGAAGCCTTCGTGGTCTCGAACGAACGCGGAATTTCATCTATAAATGGACCGGCATGGACGTCAGAACTTTCACACAGCACTTCGTCGCGGATGAAAAGTGGATTGAGTGGGGCGGATTGATCAATCCGGCAGTGCTCTTGGAAGAAGCCTGTGCAGCAGGACATGAACCTGCCGTTGAGATGCTCCTGGAAAGGTACGATGAGTACGGCGAGCATGATGATGAAATGAATCTTGACATGCAGGGCGCTTTTCGAAAAGCGGTGGTTTCAGGTAGTGAGCCCGTTGTACGGCTCCTGCTAGATCGAAGCGTCGAGATAAACCACATCGACGAAGCCGCGAACACGGCACTTCACGACGCAGCAAAACTGGGACATGATGCTGTTTCAGGTCTTTTAGTTGAGTCAGGCGCGGACACACACGCAATGAATGAAGACGGAAACACGCCGATGGATATGGCGATGATGGCAGGCCATGAAGGAGTTGTAAGGCTCTTCATGGGCCACAACGGTGCTATACTGACCAGCTCGACAACCGCTGGGGGTTCACCATCTGTTGCAAAGGATCTTTGGTATGAAAGACTTCAGAGAACGGGCTTCGACGCAACTGTTGTTCATTTCTATATTGGGGGCCGCGATAAGGAAGTGGACGCCACCAATGGCATCTCTGGCGACGCTCACCGAGTGCAGATTGTGCCAGTAGAAGAACTTGTTGGGAACTTCGACAATGTGCTTTGTCAAGTATTGGAGAACAGAACTGAACACGAAACCTTTCCGGAAGCGGACTTCAGATGGATACATCTGCCTGCAAATTGCGTTCGTCACAGTAAGCACCAGGGTAATACGAATCTTAAAGGCTAACGTTCTTTTAGATGGATTGGGTGGAGGTGATTATTTTCCATTCACTTGCCGGTTAGTACCTAAGGTGACTAAACTATTCATCTAGGCTCTTCTGACAACGTTACAACTCGCTGAAAATGACGACCAGAGATGTCCGGACTTACTCAAGAACGAGCTGTGGATGCGCCAGCTCCACGATCCGCCGTATTCGTCCGTTCACGGCCGATTTATGAAACCTTTGTGTCGAGAAATTCCAGGATGTTTGTTAATGCTAACTATTCACCTGCCATTTCCGAGTTTTTCTGACCTCGTCTCTTGATAGTTCCTACCTCCTCTGGGAGCATGGTCGCTTTCGTACGTTCACTGGCCTTTCATGCGACGGCTAATCCTGCTGGCCGGAAAAGTCCTATCTGCTCACAAACAGCTCACAGATGCCATATCTTCATTGGGAATCTGATGAGAAGCGGAGAGAGATGAACGAAAAGATCGCAAAAGTCAATGCAGCTCAAACGCTTGACATGGCTCGGTTGACGCAGGCTTTAAAGAATGGAGTGAAAGGAGCATTTGGAGAACAGACGCCACATGCAGGAACTGAAGACAAGAATATGGCGCTCTTGGGGCACTATCTCTTTCCAGTGCCACCACAATCACCGGTACATTTACGTCGCACACTGGACCAGTTTCAGTATTACATGACGGAAAGCACAGAAGACCGTGACTCTGACCAAGTCATATCACGCTATTTCAAAAGACGACACCCTGATATACCGCTACCTGTAATGATGATCGATCAGCTTTGGATCTGGGTTTTGAATCAAAGTAAGAGCTCGGCATGAGGGCGTAGATACTGCATGCTCATGATGGTGTTTAAAGAAACCGTCGTCACCAGCTTCCCCCAGCGCTGGGACAACACGAAAGGTTCTTCCCGGGACAACAGGATCCTCGATACAGGCAACGTTTTAGATAGCGTCCTCACACGTCTCAAGCAGAAGGAAAGAACCCCGATTGGATCTGTCTTTGATCTCTCAGAGCTGATTATGGCGCGATGCCTAGGTCTAAACTACGAAAGGATTGAGTGGGAGTACGAAAGATACCGCTACCTGGAGATATTCGATTATTCGATCAATTACGTTGTAAGTTCAAACTACCATCATTTCTGTTCCTTAGTGGCTAAATACGCGCAATGCTCAAAGGCACACGAGGAGGTCCGTTGTTTCAATGAATTCGCCAATAGGGCGAATAGTGAAGACAGTGGGAAAGATGGTATTGGCGAGACGAAATTGGGCAAACAGAAGAGGAATCAGAGGAGTAAGGAGGAGGAGAAAAAGCAAGAGGTGGGGAAGCAGTCAGGGGGGAAAATAAACACCAAGGCGGCGAAGAAAGTACATGCTGAGCCTGTGCCATCAGTTGGGGAAGAGATCGTGGCGGAATGGATGGAAACCACGATCAACAGTCGTCATTCAAAGGATCGGGGCAGTGTTGTCTCAGCTAAGTCGGGAGCGCAAAACTATGACGACGTTTTGTCTCGAACGATGACAGAAGACGAAACTACCGGCAATCCGCTGACAGCAAGTATACATGGACGACGTTCGGGCACATCTACGACGTCAAAAGAGATCCAGAAAAGGTGGCGGAAAGAACACGAAGATGCAAAGACTGAGAAGAAAAAAAAAGGAGAGATTCTCAATGAATTGGCGCGTCTACTTTCGAAAAGGACTGCCTCAAAACCACCTCGTAAGGTAGAGGATTCATTCGACATATCGCACGAGGTTGAGTTGTTGAGGGAAATCAAAGATATCCGGGACGAGTTGAACATACTCGGCAATTTATTCAGTCAACAGAAGCTCGTTCTCGAAACCTTTACTCGTATTGTTGAAGCAAGGAGAAGGGACGGCCAAGTACCTGCTGCGGATATCACACATCCGGAACCGAGTCTCAGCCACGCAGTGCAGAGACACATTGCATATGTTGAGAGCTTGGATAAAAATGCCGAAAGAGTGTATCGCCATGTACGAGAACCCAGTTCTACTCTTCTTACGGTTGCTGTTAGGAGGCATGCGCTAACCGGACTTTCCAGCTTGAGGATCTCCTAGACCTGAAGCAAAAGCAAGCAAATGTCTTCGAAGCCCGGAATACGCGTGTCTCGGGGAACACCATCACGGTTTTTACTATCGTCACCATTGTTTTCCTTCCAGCATCTTTTATGGCGGCTTTCCTCGCTCTTCCTATCTTGGAGTATCCCTCAGTTGGTGACGACAAGATGGGGCTTGCTTATGCTGTCAAAAATACTGGTATGTATATCCCGGAAACCAGCAAGTTTGGCCTGAAGGTATACTTATCCAAGTAACTTGGCAGTGATCACTACAGTTGCAGTAGCTTTCCCTTTTATTGTGTTCGCTCTCTATGTCAATCCCATCTTTAGGATTGCCAGAGTGTTGACACTGCCATTTCAAAATGCGGCAAGGTCTGCTTACGAGGCCAGGCCGTTTCTCCTGCTTCTGAGCAGAGTCATATCCAACGTCTTGTGGCTGGTCTTCAAACATCTCAGCAAGCTTGTAAAGCTTCTCGCCCTACTCATGTTGTGGTCTCTCCGCTTGCTACTACTGATGCTTGTCAATTGGCGCCGAGTCTTCATTTGGACCAGGGGGATGAGAGACGCCAAGAGAGAAGCGAGGAGTACTGGCCAAAAATGGAAAAATAGGCGTTATGTCACTGGATATCTCTTGAGAAAGTTGAATAGGCCAGAGCAGAGCGAGGGAGACGATGTCGAGGAGCAGCGAGCAGGGGAAGTTTCATCGGAAACACAAAGCAGCCGCCTCACCTACGGTGCCTCCCTGTCAGAAGTATCTCAACCACCCGTCGATGAGAATGCGGTCAGCGAAAGAGCGATGGGTAAGAGAGTTGCCAGCGGATAGAATATCTGCAGGGAAAAGATCTGTGAGAGCAGTTGACCAAGGAAATCCCACGCAGTGAGGAAGCGATTGCCTTGGACCCAGGTTTCAGAGTTTGGGGACATGCACTGATGTGATGATGACTGGAATATGGTCGCGTCGAATGCGATGTGGAATGAGCGCGATATTGGGATTGGCAATCATGCCTACATGTACAGATAATACTAGGCCAAAGAATATCGATGTCACTTTTCCACCGTTTCATGCAATGATGCCACCAATACACGTACATTTGGACAACATAAGCAAGCCAGACAAGCGCAACAGGTCAAGGTACTAAGGTCAAATTTACCTCGTCACGATTACTACTACACTGTCAAATCATGCCGCTTTCACCGATACCTGAGTAAGTTGATAGCCTTGTAAGTTCCTGCTTGCAGGTTTGGAGCTTTCTCTCATGAACGTTTAGAATTGCATGTTTGCCTTTGGTCAGACACTCGCTTATCTGCTGATGACCCGCCAATAGGACTCTCCTTCTCGTCCAGTCAGGTATTCAGTTGCCAGTCGCCTTTATCAAATGTGTTATTTTCACCGCCTCCTGATTTCTTTTTTTCATTAAAGCGTTTCTTAACCTTGTCTTTGAGAGTGAAGGGGCCAATGTTATCCAATCCGGATACAACTCAACTCCAACAACCCCACTGTCGCTTGTCCGTCTTCTCCAATTGACGTGCCCATCCTTCACGACTTCCCCTGCCTCTCGGGTCAGATCGGCGTGATGCCCCCCTTGAATGGTCTAATTGGTGCAACCGTGCCTTGGAAATTCGTCGGTTTCGGGTCAATGAGGGCGAGGGGTGTAAACCTGCTACCAAGTCCCCCAGCCAGCTACGATTCCCCTAGTGACAACCAAAGCTAGCGCGCCATTCCCCAGATTTCACCCCGCCCCCATGATCCGAGTGTGGGACGGTGGAGGATGTTTGCGGGGATAAGTGCGGAAATCGAGGATAAACCTCGCTTCTCAAGGAGACTTCGACTTATTTCCTCCCTCTTATGTAGCGTACAACAACCTTGGGCTGCATAGCTTGGTAGCACCGCCGCTGTTCTCTCAAACTCTGGTAGTATCGACCGCCTTCTCTGTGCTTATTCGCCTAATCTAAGCGCGTTCAACCTTCTTTCAACTACATCTGAGGGGGGAAGTAAGATTCCAAAATTGCAACAGTCAGCAAAGATGGGTGGACTTCGCGCGGTCGAGGATCGGCCTACGCCGAAGGAGGTATATAACTGGCGTCTCTATACAGAGTCTTTCATCATTGCGATGGGATCTTTGCTGTTCGTCCCCACCCTAATATCCAGTCTGGTCCCGCTTCTCTCAGAGAACTTGCTAATTCGGCTTGAATAGCTTCGGATACGACTCGGCTTTCATTGGAACAACCATTGCGCGCAAGAGCTTCGTCAATGACTTTGGCATCATACCGGCCACATCCAAGGAGATATCATCCAACATTACCTCAGCCTTCCAAGCCGGCGCATTGGGGGGAGCACTTATGTGTTTCTTCAGTATGCCCTTACATCCCTCGTAAATATCAGATTCCACCACCGAAGCTAATGTCCGTCATCAACAGTCACAGAGTATGTCGGCCGCAAGTGGGCGCTCATCATCAGTAACATCGTCTTCCTTGCTGGCGCCATCCCAATGGTAGCCGCCACGAACGACCTCGCCTCCATGTATGCTGGCAGAGCACTCACCGGCTGGGGCTGTGGTGTGATCACGGCCACGGTACCTTCCTACATTGCTGAGCTATCGGTCCCTTCCATCCGAGGAATTCTCACAGGTCTTTTTGAGGTCACGTACCAAACGGGATCTTTAATTGGTTTCTGGATCAACTACGGCATCAATCAGAACATGAACCCTACCAGCTCAGCATCGTGGCGTGTGCCGATGGCTGTTCAGCTCATTCCCTCCGGAGCCTTATTGGTCGGCGGATTTCTGCTTCACGAGTCGCCTCTATGGCTCTACCGCAAAGGCCGCGAAGAGGAAGCGAACAAAAACCTTGTGGCTTTACGACATTTGCCGATTGATCACCAATACCTGCAAGAGGAAGTGGAAATGATCCGTGCCAGACTGGCTGAGGAGGCCTCGGTTGCGGCAACTTACGGCGGCGGGTTCTATGCCTATATCCGAGGATCGCTGCACGAACTCTCAAGAAAGGGAATGTGGAACCGTTTACTCCTGGTCTTTTGTTCTTTTGCTTTGCAGAACATGTCTGGTGCCGCGGGTGAGTTTCTTGCTGTCATCATCTCATTTGACCTACTGTTAACACGGTACAGCTATCAATTACTACTCTCCTATGCTTTTTGGCTCCATTGGCATCAGTGATGTGGCCCTGTACACGGGTATCTACGGTCTTGTCAAGGCCGTGGCGTCGATAATCTTTTATGGCGCACTTATCGACATCTGGGGCAGACGTAGACCGACGATCATTTCATCTTTAGCCTGCTCTCTCTGCTTATGGTTCGTGGGCGCCTATGTCAAGGTCGGCAATCCGGCACCAATCATCGCAGCTGGAGGAGAGCTTTCTGCCTCAACGGAGGCTGGTGGCCGCGCTGCTACCGCTGCCATCATGATCTACTCAGTATTGTAAGTTGCGTCCTAGTAAGCGAGACAGAAAACAGTGATACTAACTAACACAGCTGGTCTTTCGGTCTAAACGGCATCCCGTGGATCGTCTCCGCCGAGATCTTTCCCGGTGCTCTCCGCAATTTGACTGGAACATTTGCCGCTTTCACGCAGTGGCTGATCCAGTTCGTCATCACAAAAGCCCTTCCGTACATCTTCAGTAGTCTCGATTATGGTGTTTGGTTCTTTTTCGCATGTTGGATGCTCACAGCTACTGTCTGGGCATTCTTTTTCCTCCCTGAAACTAAAGGTGTCACAATCGATCAGATGGATGCTCTGTTGTAAGTTGCTCGAGGAAAACCCTATACTCGGCCTATTACGACGCTGACACTTTGTTTTAGTGGCTATGAAGGTGATCGTCTTGTCCAAACCCCGGCCCTGAAATCCGACGATGCGAAGAGCGTAGAGCAAGACGTAAGAGAAGTTGACGAGGCGGGTAGAGCATGATACTAAGTTCTTGGCCCTGAAGTTTGGTCGAGGATGTCGACTGAGGTCGGGGCCAGTAGAGAAACACTTGCGGTAATTACGAGAGGTACCAGCAGAAACCTTGGTTGTCGAATTGGATCTTTGAGTTAGTTTAATGAGATTGAGAACCCCACCTTGCTATACTTTCTTGACAAATACCTCTGACGCCTATATGACCCAGCCACATCATCCATACCTTGACCGGGTGCAGAGATCGGGTAATGAAAGTTCTCTTGGCCCTCTGCCATGACGATCACGACCACATTCTGACCATGATAATTCTCACACTCCCCTAAGCTACGTCGGTCTTGCTAGGCTGATTGTCCGTGGTTACGAATCCAGAAAACGAGGGCAGCCGAGTCACATGAGACTCTATCGTAAAAGTATGTTTGACAGAAATTCCTCCACCAAGCGAGAGAGGACTGATACGATCAGGCACTTGGGCTTCTGCATGAGCCGAAATTTGGGCCTGGTCACTCTTTCGCCTCAAGGTCTCGAAACCCTCCAGTTCCCAGCTAAGGCTGTCATCCGCGTCGCTGTTATCCGTGCTCCGCTTGAAACCATCGCTTCGACTAAGAGTTGTTCGTACACCAGAAAAGTTGCGCGTGGTCGCGGGGCCTCTTAAAGTCCTTACATGCCCCGTGGCGATAGTCCTTCCGTTGCCCCAGATAGATAGATTCAGCCACCTGGCTATCGTTCGGTCGAATATGGGCCGGAGGATAGGGCTGAATGCCACCATGACTGCAATGCCGTTCTGTAGTACGGCGCTGTAAGGTGCAGAGGCGAAACTCTTCGTTACATATGTTCCCATAGTCGACGGTAAGCGTATGATACAAGCGGACGCCGGAAAACAGAATGGTGTTGTGTTCCGCTGTTGCATCGGTATCTTTGTCCTCGGGGTAGAGCCTCCATAAAGTGTTGACATGAAATCTTGGTGCAGTATCACTCACATGATACCGGCACCAAATATGAGGTAGAGTGCAATTTTATCCGGTCTGGACGTTTGCAAGGTGCTAACAACTTTCATCGAAAGAGCAACGATGATAACGTCGATGAGAATGTCGAAAATAGGCACCAAGCTGAACAGAAGCTTGCTTCCTCCATCGCTCGGCTTGGTCTTTGCAATGATCAGTCCAACGAGGCCAGTGTAAAGTCCCCAGACGATGGAGAGTCTTATTGCAACCCAGGACGAAATCCGGAACCAGCAACCGAAATCCGAAATGGCGTTGGGTCAATAGAATGATGCTCAGTTTTATGGCTAGTATTCCGCCGGCTTATGTGGCTTGTGCAGCCAGGAATGTCTCGTAAAAGCAGGTGACGTGGATGTTGTGTTCAAGATCAGAAATATTGTGTCCAGCGCCTCGAAGAACGACAGCTATGTAATAGTCATCTATCAGGTGCACCATCGTCTTTTTATACCGCGGACAATTCTTTGTAAAGCTATTGACTCACAGAGAATGCAGGAGATCGCAGCACCATAGAAGAAGGCCTAGAAGAGCCGGAAATCAGCCAACCGCGGCCCAGTAGGTATAAACTGAAGTCTACCACGAAACTTACCTGACCAACCAAGTAGAAATAGTCCTCAGCAAGGTAGGCCGCGCCAACGATATACTTCGACATAATACGCATGATAGTCCAAACGGTTGTGAGTGACATCATGATGCAAGATACAATGACAAGGTTTCGCCCATCAAGGGTCATTGGTGGATAAGGGGGCGGGACTCTGCGGGCCTGGACTGCATAGTCGTGCTGGTTGAGCAAAAACGACACAACTGCGGCCATTATCGTGTCCGAAATTGTTGCCTCGTGAATGCAATTGGCATCGGAGCTGCGATGTGTTGTTAGGGAATACAATTCTCAAGTGTGGCACATACGGCGGGAAGCTGGGAACGAGTCGAACTAAAAGACTCTCGAGGCGTTTCTTGCAATGACAGCTTGGAATGCGGTTGAGGATTACTGCTTCTGAAGTGATATGAATCTCCAAAAATCGACAACTAAGGTATTTGGGCAACTTGACTGCTGCCTTGAGGTCCACCGTCCGCCTTTTGGACGTGCAATGGTCGCACTACATTTGGTGGAGGAAACGGACAAGATGAGCAACGAAAAGGCGGAAATGGAGCCAAGAGCTCTGTCACACCTGCCAGCACGATCTGCAAGGTATGTCATCCCAAACTTGTCAAGAACAATAGCAACTTTGAATCAAGCGGTTGCTTTGGACCGCTTATGAACCAATCACTAAAGCGTCCTGTTGAGGCAAACATACAACTTATTGAGAGCTCCACATTGCACGCATTTGCGTATGCTTCTGCTTGAGGGATCAGATCGGTAGTCGCCCCGGGTGACAGTTATTTGAGCGCGGGCGTAAGGAACTACTGAGCAAGCACGCACGAGGGTAACTTGGCAAGCAAACAATGTCGAAACTTAGACTAAGGATTTAACCGACTACCGGCAACACCGAGAACGTCAAGATTAGAGCATCTATTAAGACAAAACCGCGACGTGAAATCCGCTTTACTTTAGTCAAGTGACCTGCCTTGAGCCTGTATAGAGGGAGTGCTTCGAAGCGGACTTTGATACGGCTAAACTGGCCGTTGAAGGGCTTGATATGGATAAACTCCGACGGCTTTCGTCAGGCATATGCTTCCATCATTAGCATTCGTTCTGAAGAAGAACTTTCTAACGAGTCATCTTAGTAAGTGCAGTTTAATCCAACAGCATTTCTGGTTCGTTCAAGATTTATGATTTCATCCGAAATGTAGTATTCCACCGCAGAACTGGGAATTACGAACGACAGCTCGCGTTGGCGCCCAAGAGCCTGTTTGACTAATTTCAATAATTGGCTATTTATTCAACTTTCTTTGAGAAAAGCACGACAGCTGTTGTTATCAAAATAAGGGATCTTGCCCCGGGAATTTGTGAGGTCACTGAGGTTTATAAAGATGCCCTCCATCTCAACCCTGTGCCTCTCCGCCTTCTTATGTTGATTTTAATCGTCCTCTATGTTTGCCCTTGGCTGTTGGCTCTTCATTAAGCCTCTTCAGCTCGTTAATCAGCCAGTACTATTCTCCGAAGCAACTTCTACCGTGCCATGCGCGCCACGACCGTCGGGCCGCAGTGCCATCCTAGTCTTCGGATCACTAACCAAAAGCATTGGGCAGGCCCTTGTTGCCTACCTAGCTCATTTATACTTGAAATCCACGTTCGACTTAATTTTCGACTTGATGTGTATCTGATATGAGTCGTCGAGGTGGTTGAGTAGGGAGCGTGCCGGACAAAGAGCATGGACTACCAAGTCACCGCCGGTAAGAATATGGTGTGATCCAAATCTTCTGCCCCACCAATTATGACTGATAAAGACTTTGGAAAAGTGCTGACATTCTCTTTCTGAAGTCACAAACACTTGGTGCGGCGAAGTCGACTCCGTGCAGTAGAGATAACTTTTGCGCATGGTGAAATCTAGCAGGTATGCAAGTCGAAGGTCGATGTTTCTATCAACTTCCTCATCAATCGTTAGTTTGCAAGTCTCGTTTTAATTTCCTTGTTCTCAACTTAACAACGTTTGTGTACATATTAGACATGGATAACCGTTGTGAAAAGGTACTTGGACAGTTGTTCACTCTGATTTCGTGGTATGCGCAAGACTCCAAATGTGTAACTGGACTACATGCTAAAGATTTGCGCACGCTGAAATTCATTGAGATGCTATGATTCACAACTTTCCATAATGCCAGATTTCCTCTGAAGCTTCTGCTCGTTGAAGCTGGCACCAACACCCACGCCGTTGAAAACATTGAATGGATTGATATGAACAATGCCATTGGCGGCGAATACGACTGGGGTTTCTCTTCTATCCCACAAACCCATCTCGACAACCGGGAGATTGTATCGCCTGTCGGCAAAGGACTTGGGGGTGGCACAATTATCAATGGAGGTAAGCTCAATTGGCGCGGTGCAAAATTGGTGTTCGTCATCTAACGACGAGGAAGGTGCCTGGGCCCGTGTTCACAAGGTCGACTATGACATCTGGGTAGAGAGGGTAGGCGACCAGAGATGGAGCTATGAAGGTCAGCTTCCGTATATGAAGAAGGCTGAGGCGCTTTTCGATAACTTCACCAACCCTCTTTCGCACGGACACACTGGCCCTGTCAAAGTTCAGTCGCCTGGATCTACGGGTCGTGTTTTCCCCCTACGTGAGCCTCTACTTGAGTCCTGGAAAGAGCTCGGCATCGACGCACTCCCTCAACGGGACAACAATGCCGGGAACAACCTTGGTGTTGCAGATCTTCAGGAGAACAGGGATCAGGGCGAACGTCAACTGGCCTCGCTCGTGTATTCTCTCGGGGGGATCACGATCCTGACTGATAGCTTGGTCGCCAAAGTCCTGGTTGAGAAGTACCCGGAAGATGGCCGCCGCGTCGCTCGTGGGGTCAGGCTTGAGAATGGAACTGATGTGTTGGGACGAGATACCATTCTGTCCGCAGGGGCGTACCGCACGCCGCAGATTCTGATGCTTTCATGTATCGGTCCCGCCGAGACCTTGGAGAAGTTCGATGTTCCCATCCTTCTAGATCAACCAGCGATCGGCCAGAACTTCCATGATCATGTTCTGATGCCGACGATTTGGCAGCTGAAGGACGCATCTGCAGGGTACGCCAAGGAGTCCGGCAACCCTATTTTTAATCAGTCTCAATACGTGCTAGGGGCTTTCATCGATTTCATGACAGTCACTTCTCTCGAGAAAGAAGGTGTGGCTGCTGCTATAACCGAAGACGAGGGATCGGCCTCAGATCCTTCTGTGCACCCCTTGCTGAAGCAAGATTGCGCCCATTCGTCTCACTTACTCCAGTACTCGAGGGTGTCGGCGGACGGCTCAGCCGTGTTGATGATTTCAGTCGCTTTCATCAACTCTGCCCGAGGTTCTGTCACCATTCAATCCTCCGACATCAAAGATGCACCACTCATCGATCCCAACTTTCTGGGTCCCAACGTCGATCGCTACGCCGCTCGAGAGACCGTCAGGCGTAACATCAGGTTGCTGACGTCTAACGACACTATTCTGGGAAGAGAGGTGGTGGCCGGCGAGTTGGCGGCAGAGCCGTTGACGGTGAACTCTACAGACGAACAAATCGACGCTCGGGTGCGTGAGATGGGAGGGTAAGTGACTCGCTCCTACTGATCAAGACACTTTTTTCTAAAACAAATCACAGAGGATGCTACCATCCTGCAGGCACAGCCTCTATGGGTACCGTTGTGGATACAGACTTGCGCGTGATTGGGGTGTCGGGTCTTTGCGTTATCGATACATCTGTGTTTCCTGTGTCGGTTTCGGCCAACCTGCAAGTGGCTGTCTACGCTTTGGCTGAGCAAGCCGCAGAGATCATTGGTTCAACTATGAAAAAGTGCTGAGCTGATCGCTTAGATGAGATAGCTGCATTATGAGGAACTTTCCCAATCATCCGCGCTTTGGCACAGGTGTTACTCACTTCTCAAACCATGGCTCCTAAAAGCTTGGGTTCAAGCTTATAGTTAGCATATCATGAAGACTTCGGAGCAATTTTAGAAGCACGACTCAGGTTCGGTCTTAGAAAACACCGACAAATATCCAAACGTAGTAACAGAGACGACAATGCAAGTATGCCACAGGCTAGTATTGTTCAATTAATATTGTAGCCTAAAGCCTCATGTTCATCGTCGAGTTCAACTCTCCAAAGCGGATGTTGCTGAACGTCACCTCAGGGTTGGCCACGATCGATTTGATAACCGTGGGGTTACCCTCAGTCGCGTTGCAGGGGCCGTTGTTGCCCTGATCAAGCCACTCCATAAAGGTCGAGTCATCCCACCACAGGCTCATAGCCAGAACCATACCACGCGACATAGCACCGCCCATGCCCTCCATAGCACCCAACCGCATGAAGTCGGAGGCGCCAGTGGCCTGGCAGTACTCATCGTTCATGAAGTTGATCTTCGGGGGTCCCTCGATGTTGACGACGTTGTTCTGGATCACCTTGCCGTCCTGGACGTACATACGGCGGAGCTCCTTAAGCTTGCCGTTGGAGGCGGGAAACTGGGTGACGACGGTGAACTTGCGGGTGGTGTCAACCTTGTAGTTGTTGCCTCGGCCGTAGAAGTCGGTCACGTTCACGCGGTTGGCGTTCCAGGCGCAGCCGGACTTATCGCAGACGCCAGCCTTCTCGCATTCCTCGCCAGTGCACTTGTAGAGGCCGGGCTGGCTGCAAGGGTGAGGGGCGATGTGAGTTGCGCGGGAGTTGGCCTCCCAGATGTCAAGCTCGTTGCAGCAAGAGCCCTTTTGCTCAAAGTTTCCCTGTTTCTCGTGTTAGTACCTAAATCATCCCGCCGGGCAAGTGTATCAAGGCTACTTACAACTCCGTTGATGAAGGACGTCTTGAAACACTGCGCATCACAGTAGCCGGTGCCCCACGCGGGACCGAGTTTGTTCAAGGAACTGGTGTTCTTGCCACCGTCCGGAAGCATCTCAGACAGGTAGAGCGCGCTGTTCATGCCGCAGGGCAGGTTGACCATGTCGACGTCGAAGCTGAACTCAGATCCCGTGAGATGAATCATCTCGTAGCGCTGCTTGTTCTCCTCCAGCAGGTAGATACGGGGAGACACTTTTTGATCGTCGGCATTGAACATGGTCAGACGAATGTCCGTGCCGTGGGTAGTGACACCCTTGGTGCTGTAGTCAGAAATACCCTGGATATGGCAGTTGGTCGCACACTCCTCGGGAGTGGTACAGGCAGTGGAGTTGGGCGGGCTGTTGCCGGTAAGGCAGCTCACGCCGCTGGACGTCTTGATCTGATGCTGACTCGAGTCGACGACGAGGTAGTTGGTCTTCTTCTGGCAACCATCTTTGACGGTACAGCGGAAGGTTTCGATCTTGGGGTGTTCATCGGTAAGATTGCCAGGCGCCTGACCGGAGACGAGACTGGAGAGAAGAAGAGTAGCGGAAAGAATGGAAAGCGCCATGGTGGGCAAAGTGCAGATGCTGAGTTGGTCAACAAAGTGCGAAGAAGGTCAAAAAGGAGTGACTTGAAGTTGAGAAAAGCGAGGCTTGTGCCGAACTAGAATCATCTGAAGTCCCCGGCGGCAGCAACGTCGAGCTATATACTTTTGATGAACAGCATGACCGTCCCATTCGAAACCGAACAGACCCTAAAATCATCAAGCTGTTTCAACCCGTCAATTTGGGTTCGGAGTCTCCATGAGAATCCATCTAGGGTATTCCGACAAGCTTTCGGGGTTCAATGGTTGATTGCCTCAGGGGTTAAAGGGGCCACGGTGACTGTCTGCAAGGGGCTTTTGGTGTGACAGCAATTGCGGGCAGCAGCCTCAATCTAATGTCTCTATCAGAAGCGGCTCAAGTAGGACATGTGCAGGAGGAAAATTTGGGTACAGCGACAGCAACATCGGACATTGGAGAATAAGAAAGGACCGGACGGTCGGGGAGGGAGCATTGGGCACTTGGGGGCCATGATACCCGAAAGGTTGTCAGGGACTGCCTGGCCTTTATTTCGGCAAAGTGGGATGAGAACCAATATTTCTACGGATCAATCCGTGCCTAACACTCCTATTTGTCCCAAAATTGTGTTTCCCTTCCACAGTTTACCGAACAAGCGCGGTTTAAACTTTCCTCCTGTAACAGAAAAATGGTTTCGCAAAACTCTATCGCTAACGAAGCATCGGCTTGCAGGGTCACCTATTCTAGCGGCCTTATATACACGAATCAGATTTAATTTAGTTGTTAACAACTATCCACGCATCCCACATTCGCCGGCGGCTACATCGCTCAAAGCTCAGGTAAGTGTAAAGTCAACTACCCAATCTCCGTCCCATGTAGCAGAGTAATAATTGCCAAACAGGAGATCATAGTTCGGGCGTTGCACCGAATCGCTCGCTGCGAACCCGAATACTCGGTACGAGAGAGTTAGTGCTACAGAACTATACATGTACTGGAGTGTATAATATCGCTAGCTATGCAGATGCGTCGTCCGTCTTTGTTATCCTGGAACACCTCAGACCTGTGAAGACCCAATACTCCGCACAGCACGGCTTCTCTTCCTACCTTATAGTAAGGATCCATCATACAAGCTCAGAGAATTCACTACCCAGGCAATTTTACGCTTAGAGTTCTCTGTACGATAGCCTTCGCTTCTTGATCTGCGCGGAGCGCCAACTCAGAACTGACACTAGCTCCCGGCTTAGGTGCGGATCTGGCTTATGTCCCGATATTCGCGGTGAACTCGGATCAACTGGAAGTCCTGACTTGGCATTGCTGATGATAACTGAGTTTCTTGGCCTGCAGACAGATTACGTGTAAGTTACTAGTAAGGTAGGGCCAGGGGTTCATCACACTCACTCTCCTAAGTCCCCGTGGGAGCCGTGGGGCCCGCTGTGGTAACGGACTTTGCTAATCCCGGCAGCTCCGAACAGCCTTTTCCAAGCTTGCTGTGTCAAAGCGAAGCCGTATTAATATGTAAGGAGGGCGATATCCAGGACTCAGTGAGCACACGAGATTGTTATATCTTTTCCATGGTCTTCCTGGTTCTATGCAGCTGATAAGGGTTGAAAAGTCTGTACACAAGAATTGATCAATCAAGTGGGGAAAAGACCATGCTACTGTGATGCCATGAGTCAGACACCAGCTTCACCAATTGAGAAACGGGTATCAAACCTGGTGTTTCGTTTCGAGAATCTTGGATCTTCTCATGCATATGCTGGCATGCTTAATTCGTCTGAAGTCAACTTGAAGAAAAACTGAGTCGGAATCCTGCAGGAGGACCGGACTTCTCTGGAATCTTCGTACCGAGGAAATGTGGTGAGGGAGCGGGACCGATCACTCTGGACATCCACAAAATTACTTCAAACCGCTGGAGGGAAAAATCGAAGATTTATGAGGGAGTTTGCTGACTTTATAATTCACGCCCCTGCCTGGAAGGAGGATCGTTCCTCAGTCAATCCGAAATTTGAGCTCATCGAAACATTTGTTTATTTTACTACTCGATGACCTCGCACACAGCTTGACCTGGCCCGCTGACCTAGACGGGCCCTTTTGTGCTGGTGAGAGGGGCGACGTTGATGGGGCATAAGTAAGGTAGGCCAGTTCGAATGGTCCACTTTGGGGGCAGAGCCTCAGCAAGGATGGAGGGGGCGTGGAGGTGTGAAAGCTCGAGACAGGTGCCGGTGTGAGAGACTGTAGTTGCCAGGCAGTTAAAACCGACTGGGGTTCATCAGGATTTCAGAGTCCTCAGTTGTCCTGAAGTTCTGTTACCCAAGTATGCACTCAGCCACCAGGTCCGGATTGCTTGGCCAGTTATCTCCAAGTTCAACCATTGAGCTAGAAACTAGGTTGCTAGTCTTCTTGAGTATTACTGCTGCATGAAGTATTGCGCAATCCAAACAAAAGGGTCATCATTATCGCAGCGTGGCCATGTCTAGTAGTTTTATGTGTTGAAATACGACATTACAGTAATTGAACAGGGGTAGAGACGACCAACATGTACATGGGGGCGCCACACTCGCCTTTATAAGTGCTAGTCAACTAGGCAGTACTAGCTTTTCAGGCAACGTCAACCGCACACAAATCATCGCACCTACGTTCAACAGCATTGACCTTGGACCTCAGCTAGATTTGGGGCCTGGTTCTTTTCATGAACAGATTGACCGACCAACTCGATGTTGAGCTAACAAATGAGCCAGTCAAGCTCAACGAGTTGTCTCCTCCCACTGTCCCTACCTTAGCCGAACCCCCCCCCAGCCATACTTCAAAGAGAGTATGGAGGCCTTTCTAAGCTACCAATTCAAATTAAATCTCGAAAAGCCCACAGCCTCGTTGCTTTAACTCTGGCTGTTGGTTATCAAGTTGTTGTTGCTGCTAGGCTTCGCGGAGAGGATCCATCAGAGATACTAGCACTAGTTGAATATGGTCATGCAAGAGCTACTCTTCATAAAAGTGTCAGGCTGATTGGAGTCGGTCATGTCCGTAGAAGCAACGTTTTGTCAGTGCAACCCAACGAATGATGATTGAGGACACTTAACCTAGGTTGGTAATCATTGAGTCGCAGCTGAAAAGTGCGGCTGAACCTCCGTCGCTTGGCTAGGTCCCACGTGATAACCTCCCGACAACCTCTCCAGTCTCCATCGGTCTGTCTAGGGAATCTAAGGTAAAACCACATCCTTTATCAAGAACAGATTATCCTGTCTGCAGTTACCTTTGCCTTCATCTCCATGTTTCAATGTTGTGGAAACCTCCGACGCAGTAGTGTCTCCTTCAACGAAGTCGTCAATGCTGTATTCTACTAGTACAAAGAGACATCAGTCGCAAAGATTTGGACCTCCACCTGTGCTTGGATTGACTGGCAGCGAGGGTAACATCAGATTACTGAGCACTGAGCTCTCGATATGGAATCTTCAATTTTAAGCCCTGAGTGCGGAGGTTCAGAATGCTTAGACAGTTTTGCTAAAGCAGGTGTAAGGCGTGAAGTAGAAAAGGGGGTTGGGAGGAACTTCGGACGTTGTTGCCGGACCTCTGACTGAGTGATTTGTCGCAAAGCGGGGCAAAATCCCTGCTATATTTCGGACTTCAACAAGAGATGATCACGGTAGACGTAGCAAATCCCCGAATGAGGGATAGACTTAATGCCAGCCAATGAAGATGAGTTCCTAAGCTTACGCCGCTGCTTTTCTCTCTCTTTATTACATGTGCTTTTTGTCTCATTCCCACTACCCTCATAATCATCTCTTTCTGAACTCGGGTTCATCGGTGAATAATTTGGACGAATGAATCGAAAGTAGGCACGAAAAGTAGCAACTACAATTGTAGTCGTTAGTCACATAGAACTAGACAGATTGATGAATAACTGGATGATGCAGAACGCGCCTTTGGATAAAGGAAACGTCAAGGCGAGAGGCAACCAAGAGTCTACTCACTGCAGTGAAATGGGGCACAGAAAGTATTCAAGTCGTCTTTACAATCTTGTGTTCAAACTTGTGTGCTGGGCTATAGAGTTAGTATAAGGTATGGTGTGTTGGTTTGGTAGCTAGAATCAATCGAGTATCAAGGGTCTCGATAACGAAGACGAGCATGGGTGAGTACACAAGATTGACACTTTGATTCGCTTCAGGAGAGGAGTATGCCTCCTTCATAAACACTTGTCAGTGCGCCCCTGGAGCTAGCACATCACACTTGGAGAACATTCTCCTCAACCCCAAGTCTCAAGGCCCTAAACCCGCCAATTGTATTTTCGAGAATTAGAAACTCTATATTGCCATCACTCCTCCTTTTCTGGCTTCTGGCCGTAGACCACGTTGCTTTAAAGTAGTTAGCATCGAAATCGTCTCCTCTCGGGCCTCATCGAGTGTCAAACTTACTAATACAGCCACGCATGAATATTGGGGTTCTTCAAGTCCTTTCGTACGCCAGCCAGCAAGACAAGGACCTCCTCCTTCGTCCACCCAAGAGCTCCGCAAAGAAGGCGAAGGGAGAAGCCTTCAAGACCGTCCAATAGCTGAATCAATTCCAGCATTCCAATATCCTTGAGATGAGGATCCTTTGCCCATGGACCCGCTGGAATCTTGTACGGCTGGTGGTGAACGTTGATGAAACTGGTGTTTTCACGCACGATACCTTCCAGCTTGGGTCCGATTTGTCCGTCTCGGCCAAAGACTTTGCAGGCGTCCATGAAAAGATCGACCCACCGCAGAAGCTCAGTGCCCTCGATTGTACCGTCGTCGGAGTAGATCATGAAACTCCAGTCTTGGAACTCAGCCCACCCGCCCGGGTTCAAGTTACTGCATATTGGTCAGGATGGATCATACTGAAGAGGTCCATAATGAATTGGTGGCTTACTTATAGACGCGCGCCACGTACTTTGGCCAGTCCGCGATGGACCCGCACATGTAACGACTGAAAATGAAGTCGTACTTCTCTCCAATCCACTCGCTTTCAACGTCATCAATCTCGAATTTGACATTCGGCGGTATCCTTGACCTTGAAGTTAGTATGTTGCGTGTCTTATTTATCGAAGAGATTTACCAAGCTGGTTGGATGGCGCTGAGATCGTTTCCGAGAATCTACTCTCTTGTCAGCAAATGCTCGATACGTGCACGACTGCGTAGCTGGGATTGTAGAAAGGCAGCATACCTCGGCATTGGGGTATTTATCACCCATCTCAATGGCCCCTGAGGTTTGTTAGTCAGTCTTCTTCAAAGCGACCGAAAGGTTTGGTGCTGGAGTACAGATGCCTGTTCCCGTGCCGACATCGAGGATCCGATTCAATCTCTTCTCATCTATCGGGGCCAAGAACAGTTTGTTTCCGATTGTCTTCGTCAGCAAGGCATGGCAAAAGTCCAGTCGATCCATTTCGCTCTGGATGTCACAACGATTAGTCGCACTATACAAGAGCCATCACATCGTTTTAGATGCCTTACTTCATCGTTGGGAAGGATGTAAGCTGAAGAGAATAGTCAGTTAGATTTACAAGTGACACAACATTGGCATTGCCATACATCCGGATCGGAATGAGTGGTAACGACGACCATGCTCGGTGGGGTAGTCAACGACGGACGAGGACAAAGATGCGGTGTACGAAGAGCTACAAAATTAGACCATTTGCACTTTAAACAAATGGCGCCAAATTGGACCTAGGCGTCTTTGGGCATTACATTCTATCGTCAATGGTAGACGCATCGTCCTTACGGCAGTAGGTGTCAGTATACAGTAGTGAGCAAAAATTATCAGAGTTACACACCGATTCGCCATCATCAATTGCGATATTAGCCTCCGGGTCAGTGGCTCCAGCGGGGGACAGCCCAGCTGCGTCCGACGGAGTCCTGGTTCTTGGGGGAGACCTGGCTGACTTTGGAGAATGTGCCGCAGGTGATCCTGCTGGCGGCGTAGGTTTTGACGTCGAGTCGGCCATGACTGTGAGTTGGGGTTGCTGTTTGGTAGCAATGGGTTCAGACACGCAGATGGCAAAAACGCGAATCAGATCAGAAATTCGTCCGCTTTTTGCGTTGTACCCGGGTCGGCGGGGTGTTTTGTACTTGTAGAATCAGAACCCCCGCAGCTTGGCAAGTTATGAAATGTTGGTGCCATGTTCGTGCTGGCCGTTGGTTCCAATGTCTCGCCGGCTGCAGCTTAGTGTGCGGCACAGCTGCAGATTGTGCATAAATATCAGTTCTCCTTCCCGATCAGTCTTGCTGCCGCGGTTGGTGGGGGTTAATATCGAGCACACTTACCGAGATCTTTTGCCCTTCTTCTCTCCCCGAATGTCTGGTTTCGGCACGCACACTCGCGCTTGAAGACTTTTTGGGCAGAGGTTTGAAATCGAAATTCGTCCCGCCGTTAGTAGTAACCTACTCAGCCGTAAGGTACTAAATAACAAAGTCAGTATTATACCCGGCGGCGATCGCACCCTTAGTATCTCCTAATCTATAGAGTTTTGCGGGGTTCGTCGCCGTGACCTCGACAAACTTTTGCGGCGTCACTAACCACATCCTTTATCAAGAACAGATTATCCTGTCTGCAGTTAGCAGCTTCTAGGCTTCCGACAAACGAATCTGCTGAAACTCCCTAGATACCAAGTCATCACTGCCAATAACAACATTCCGAGACTTGGTCACCATCTCCCAGGATCTTGCCATCTTGATCGCAAAACTCCATGATCAACACAAACACCGGTGCAGATTGACTAATAGATATTCAAGAATGACTTCTGAATATCAATACTCACCCCTTCCCACCCCAAAGTCAATCCGCCTCATCCGCCTCGTCAACACCAAAGATAAATCCTCGCCTCTAGAATGCGAGTTTGAAGAAACCTCTCTCGACAATCCAGCCTCATACGCAGCCCTCTCCTACACCTGGGGAGGCGAACCATCGAATGTCCCTCTAACAGTAGTAAACGCCACGGCCATCACCGCCCCAACCACCAGCCCTCAACATACTTCTCAACCCTCACTCATGATAACCCCAAACTGCGCCGCCGTGCTCAACATCCTACGCGGACCACGGATCCGCGATCTCTCTCTCTGGGTTGACGCCGTCTGCATCAATCAGTCCTCCAACACCGAGAAGAGCGTCCAGGTGGGCATGATGGCGGAACTTTACCAAAAGGCAAAGTACGTCTTTGTATGGCTGGGCAACGAGTGGGCGCCAGCTACGGTGCTTGCGTTGTACAAAGGTGTTCCGAGGGTAAGAGACGAACAGGGACGAGGTAAATACCGCAAACTTTGGACATTCACATTCAACCCGAATTCACATCTTCACTTACACCACTTGCCCCCCAAAAAAAGAAACCCCTTACCCCTCGATGGCCCCCGCCCCTCTCATTAACACGACCCCAAAAAGCCCTAGACCCAAACCTCCTCTCCATCCTCCAACGCGCCCCCTACTGGCTCCGCGTCTGGACCCTCCAAGAAGCAGCTTACACCAACGCCTTCATCCTCTGCCTCGACGGCGGAGGCGAAGCCCTCTCCAACATCCTCCAGAACTGGGGCGACGCCCACCGCACCCATCCGGGGCCGACCCAACTCGCCATCAATATGCGCCGAAAAATCATCTCCTCCCTTCCTGCGGATGCTTCTGATGCTGTATCCGCCGAGGAGCAGAAGGAAGCGGCGGAGATTGCTGCGCGCCGCGGGAAGTTGAACGTCTATCAGCTCAGGTGGCTGTTGTACTTACAGTCCACGGAACCTCGTGACAAGATCTACGCCCTTCGCGCCGTGTTTCCAGAGACATTTGGAAAGGTAGGGGTTGATTACACGGATCCGGTGGAGAAAGTCTACCGTGAGGCGACGAGGCAGCATGTCCTGGGGCAGGATACTCTCACCCATCTCCTACTTCTCGGTGCCGAAGGGGGAGACACGTCGACATCAACATCAACATCAGCAACAAATACTCCTTCCCCACTGGTCCCAGACTTACCCTCCTGGGCCCTCAACTGGAGTAACCAAGCCATGGACGGGAGAATGCTCCTAGACGCCCCGGCGTCATCGTCCCGCGGCAGCAGGCCCTACTACAGATTCTCACCCGACACCCGCACACTATACCTCAAAGGCAGGAGCGTCGCGCGCGTAGGCGACCGCATAAGCCCCAAGCTCCCATTACTCGACCATTCCTTCGTCCTAGCCGACAAAAACGAAGACTTACTCGCCTGGGCCGGCGATGCCAGGCGCATCTCCCAGGCCTTCCTCTCAGACATCTTGTCACCGCCGCCACCACCGCCGCCCACCAACGCAAGCGAAGACGATCAAGCGGCTACTGCGAATGCGCTTCTCACCTTTCGAAGCGTTCAAGCCCTTCTCACACGAATCCTGAAAGCGACCCCGCGAACAGAAGCCGACGCCGCCGCCTTAAGCGTAATCTCTACCCCGCAAGCGCTGGCGGACGCAGTAGCTTCCCGGCAAAATTCAACTTGGGTGATTATGGTCAATATCAACTCCATCACGGGCTCGGGGTGTATGTTCCTAACCTCAGAGGGCCACTTCGGGTTCTGCGTGGCGGAGCCGGAACCAGGTGATTTGATTTGCGTCTTTTCGGGGCTGGATTTCCCCTTCGTTGTTCGGTCGAGGGAAAGCGGGTATGTAGTCGTAGGGTATGCGGTCGTCGATGGGTGCATGGACGGGGAGGCGTGGTCTGATGAGGAGGATGAATTGACGGAATGGGCTTTGGTGTAGATATCCAAAGACATGTTCAAAGCTGCTAGGTCTAGGACTTGTGGCTAGGCCACGATACCCTCGTATCGCGCCTCGCCAAACCCCGAGACATATATATCGAATGTCATTCTACTAGAACAAAGCCTAGTAGAAGGGACCCGCCCTCTCAGAATGAATCGGCACTAGCGAGTAGGACATTACATCCGTCGGGGCGAAGCTGCGTTAGTTTAGGCTGTCTGGATATGAGCGTATCGACTTTAGATTTGAATTCGCACTGAGGCCGTCTTAGCTCATCAATCGTTCGGTTGGGTATGTCAAGTGAAGGAGGTAAAGAAGGGTACATGTATCGTTATGAGGTCGTGGACAGGTTCGTGGATAGGGAGTCGTGCCTTGGTAGGAAAGACGAGTTGAGAGAGTTGCCGTCGGTTTAGAACGTCTGAAGATATGTGTATCGAGACTTCAGATCCTGAATGGCAACCAGGACCTTCACAACTCACTGCCTGTCGGATGGGGTATGTCAAGTGTTCTCGAAATACATGAGCCCGGAATAAGGCAGCAAGCAGGTAGAGAATTGGACCTGTACCCTGGGATAGGTCAGGCTATGGGGCTGTCGGCACATCGCGAGGAGAATAGTGCCAGGAGAGAACTCAGAAAGAGGACAATCAGGGCTTAAAGAAGGGAGGTTCCCTTACTTACATACCAAGCCCGACCGTCCCGGGATCGGCACCGGTAACCCGTCCACTTACTCAGCGCCACCCCGGCGGATCCACCAGAAACCATACCTTACCTTACCTTAGCTTCGGACTCAAATATCTCCTCTCCAAAGTCCGAACATCTCGATCTTCGATGGTCCGGTTGTCGCCCCCCCCCCCCTTCCCCCTCTGCCCTCTTCCGCTCCGGCGGCCCCTTCCCCATCCCCATCCCCTTCAGCCCCAGCCAAGCCAGACCAGGATATGCCTCCATGTTCCCCTTGCATAATGTGTGCCCGGTCCTGGGAGGTGGTCAAGTTGCCTCACTAAGCTTAACCTACGGATACTCTAATCTTGTCTCAACGTCGTCAGTCCCGGGATGAGAGCGCCGGTGGATTCCATCCGGAGAATAACATTTAGACTCTTGGCTTGTGGAGATTCCCCAGAACCAGTTATCTGGATGTTCGTGTCGGGATCTCGATCACCACGTGGTCTCATTTCCTTAGTTCTGGAGATGGTTTGATGGGATGTTCTAGCTTCATCGTTTCCGGTATTAAACGGTGATCGGCACTAAGTCATCCATATCTCATTCACGGTCACTCGGAAATAACATGCAAAGTGAAAAGAATAACAGTATATGAACAGTTGAACATTAAGACAGCAGACTGCTTTTATCTAGTCTATGAAAATAACCCTCCAACGCCGAAACAATGCATTGATGCTGTGTCTAATGCAGGGCGCTTTCGCCCGTCTCCGCCATAAACTTTTGGCAGTTGAGCAGTGTACGAAGCTGGTCGCTGACCTCCTCAAGTCTACCAATAACCTTCTTGTTGCCATCGACAAAACCCAAGATCGAGTAAGGGATTCCAGTATCCCTGCAGAAATCCTTGACAAACACCTGCGCCTTGCGGAGATTGTGCCGCGGGACGCGCGGGAAGAGGTGGTGAACGGCCTGGAACTGGAGACCGCCGTGGATGAAGTCCAACCAGGCGGGGCAGTCGACATCCATGGTGGTGCGAAGCTGGCGCTGGGCAAAGGACTCGGACTCGCCAAGATCCGAGGTAGACATGCCCCAGTGGGAGAGGGTAATCTGAACGTGCAGAGGCATGGTGATGATGTGCGAGACCAGGACAAAGGCAACACGAATAGGCCAGGTGGGCAGCGTGTTGAGAATCAGACGCCAGCCAAAGATGTACCAGAAGCAGCACATGAAGGCGATCTCAGTCGGGCGAATCCACCAGGCCTTCGAGGCGCCCAAGGAGGAGGATCTACGCGACAGAACGTGGAGCCAGGAGAGAAGGTAGAGGTTGAAACGAGCGATGCCCATAACGGGGTAGTAAGTGTAAGCCTGGTACTTGGCGAGAACATCGGCCGCGGCATCCCAGACGAAGACGAAGCCATCGTAGTAAGTCGACTTGATGGACTTGAAGAATGAAGGGCATGTGGCGAAGAGAGGGACGTTCTGAATATCGGGATCGTGTTCCTGGGATGTGTTAGTGACAATTTCGAGACATGGCGAACAAGAGGCTCGACTTACAGGCTGATTGGTAATGAGATGGTGAACGTTGTGACTGCTCTTCCACCATCCCATGGAAAGGCCGCAGCAGAAATCGGCAACAAAGAGACCAATAAGAGTGTCAAACGTGAAGTTGTGGGTGATGGCACCGTGTCCAGCGTCGTGGGCAGAAAACATGATCTGATGCCAGAAGAGGCCCAAGAAGCAGGCTGAGGTCATGAACCACTCGTAGTGCAGGGCAGTGAGGAAGAGGGCAAACAGAGTCGAATATCTGCACATCTCCTTGCCGTAGTCCAAGTAGGGGCAGTCATAGAGACCGGCGTCCTTGACACGCTCATGGAGCAAACGGTACTTCTCCTGGATATCGCGCTGGACGGCAGGGTCGAGAGAAGGGTACTCATCGAGATCCTTGTTAATGTTCTGTTGGATGGACCACTCGGTGTACTGGTCAGCGGTCATACGGCTCCGGCCCGACAGACCGGGGCCTGCGGCGAGGGCATCATCGGTAGGGTCTGCAGGTGCAGCAAGGCGACGTCTAATGCCAGTCTCAGTCTGGGGCTCGGGCTTGGTCTCGACCTCTGCACTGCTGCAATCAGAAGTCAGGGACGTGCGGGAGCTCCCGCCAGATACATCGGAGACGGCATCGTCGGCGGAGTCGTCTTCATCGAGATCGGACGAGGGGCAGTCGACGGCAGCGTCCGTGGCATCATCTGCAGTAGCACCACCGGGAGTGATGCCGTTGGATGCAGATGCGGGTGTTGTGGTCTCCTTGGTGTAGACGCCGCCCCTAATTGGTGGTGTCATGTTGATCCAGGGACCCGCAGGTTTCCGGCCGATCCGAAAGGCTTTCATGGTGTTGAGTGTGGCAGCCGAATGGTACCTGTCAAAAGCGATATGTCAGCACACTAATTCCACTTAACGCAACAATAACGGAGTCCGAATGTCCAGCGAATCCGAAATATTAATTGGCCCTTTCCCCCTTCTCCCGCCATTGGGACCATGTGGGAAAATAAGCTTAACCAGACTTCTGATTATATCTCGGTCGCTTTCGCATTCCCGGATGCTTCTTTCTTCCCGGCGTCCCACTCCTTTTCAGATTGTTTATCCGAACCCGCGGGTTTGATGAGGGTACCCGACGCCGCATAAGGGTCCAGATTTGGAGGGGGACTCAGCCTCAAGATGAAGATGGTGGGAGGGGGAAGATGCGATGCACCCAAAGGTTAATTGGACATGGAAGGTAAGTCGAGCCTCTTACACTTTGATCTCGTCTGTCGCATCTCTTCCAACCATGTGTAGGATAGCCAACTGGCCACCAGGATGCTTGCCCATCCACCCGTCGAGGCGAAGAACCATTTCGTCAAGAATGACGATTGTGCGGCCATCCGCAATCATGCCCTCCACCTCGCGGGGAGTAATGATTCTGCTATCGCGATCCATTGTCGCAACTGTGTGATGGTTTCGTTATTCGGTTCAAGATGTGTGCTTGCTAGCCCAGTTTCGAACACGTCGAAAACAACGAAGATCGACGAATTTTTTTTTTTTTCGTGGTGATGGTGACGAGGTTCCGTCGACGTGGTGAATTCGAGAGAGCGACTACTGGAAGGCGCGAAGGGACGGTGTGATCGAACTTTGCCAAACGCACACAAAAACCCGATCGAACTTCAAATTCTCGCCGGTCAATTGCGTACGAGGTCGACAGACACTTCACGTCCAGTCGCAATGGGGGAGGAAGAAAAAAGAGAAGAGTCGGTGGTGGTAGTGAACCTGGGTAGGTGATGGTGATGCGCCTAGGACGAACTGGTTGGTTGAACGTGGGCGATGCGGTATTTTACGTATTATCGACCTTGGGTGGTTTGAGGGAGGGTTGGCTGGCGGCAGGCAAGATCCGCGGTGACAGGAAAGCTTCAGAACCCTGTCGGACAGCTTTCGGTTCGGGATGGCGAGAGAGAGAATTTACGGCAAAGGCGAAGCAGTCGACACTCGTGCCATTTTCAGATGAGAACAGACGACATGGACATGACCTGGGAAGCAAGAAAAGGGAGGGGGGGCAGGCTCAGGATAAAGGGCAGAACAAACGAGCGAGAGAGTCAAGAGAGACGGGAGAGACAAGAAACGGGCAGACGGGACAACGTAACAGGCGACGGGGGTGTGAGGGTGGAATACTGAATGGATGGAGACGAGACGAGAGAGAGGATCTGAGAAGAAACGTGGATGGAAAGGAGCAGCAGCCACACAACAACCAGCTCAATCCAGGAGAGAGCAACCAGCACCAGTACCAAGGTGCAAGAGGAAAGCACCACCTAGCAAGCGGCGGCGACAAGATGCGCCAGGGACGGTACGGTACTCCGTATACCCCGTGGCTCATCCCCGTACGAGACTACGAGTGAACGGGGACCAAGACGTGGAGCGAGGCGAGGGTGCCCAGGTAAGGTGGTTCTTCAAAAGATTTGTGGATCATCTTTTTCCATTGCATCCACACCCACTGGGCCACAAGCGTGTGCTACTACTGCTCCTAAGGTACGGAGTGTAGAGAGAGAGAGAGGGAGACTACCGTCAAGGACAGCTTGTCTTCGAGTTAGGCAGGTCGAAACAGTGTGCGTGGGTTTTTGGTGGAGGGGCAAGTTGACTGGATGGATACGCAGTATGGGGGATTGGGATTAGGATGGGACATGGGCCAGCCGCCATGTCAAGGACATGACATGGTGCAGGGGGGGGGCCGGAGGGGAAAAGCGATAGAGAGATGAGACTCTCATCACTCAGTTCGGGTGCGAGACGACATTCTCTTTCCAATCTCCCCGACTAGCTTCCCACTCCCAGTTCTCCGCCAAGACAAAAAGGAACCGAACATCAGCCAGGTTGTAGTGGTTGTGGTTGCAGCAAGGTATTTGATTGCGGTGTACTCTCTGTTCGGAGTATGCGCGATGGCGTACCTGTGAACATCGCAATCAGACATGTGGTGAATTGGCTGGTTGGTGACAATAAAAGGTATGAACAGGTAAGGAGAGGTAAAAGAAACATGTCTGTGTGGACAAAGTATGATACTGAGATGCAGAAATGCAGGGCAGAATGAATGAGCGAGTATTCGTGTGCTCTCGTATGGGTACGGAGTACGGCTAGTATGAACGAACACATACGCGCAAGTTGAACAGACTGGACGCGCCCTTCTCAAAAGCCTAGGCCACGCCCCTCCCTCTCTGCCAATCTTGTTTCCCGAATGGCCCCCCCCTGATCCAATCTAGCAAATTGGCCGTTGGCGCTTTCGCTAGCCCCGGGGGCGCAGCTTGTTGCGTTGCTTGTCTTCTCTTTCTCGCCTCTTGGAGAGATTGGTGCCACTGGGCTTGCTGGAGAATGGGGGCTGGGCTATGCAAGGTGCAACTCTGCACTCCTCACTCGAGACCATCCCGCACGGCAGCCGAGACCAACTAACTGACTCTAGAATGAAGCAATTGTAAGAGGTTGACTGAGAGTGAGACTCGAGAATCAAGATTGAAATGGATGGGCGTGTGTGCCGGGGTGAGCGAGGAGAGAGGGAGAGAAAAAAAAAAGTGACGGAGCTTATTTGATTGACACCGGTTGACCTTGCGCAGGCGGGGACTTGGGAGCCTTGACAGGACCCTGAAAGGCTGAAACGCTGAATTTTGGGGTTCTTCTCGAATCATGCACTTTCCAATGTTGGAGAAAGCGGTGGATTTCTGGAAGGGAAGGCACGCCGCTCAAGGTAAGGCAGGGACCCGAAGACGGTACGAAGTGCGCGGGTGGTGTGCGGTGCGCAGTGCGCGTATTACCTGAGCATCAGGGACCTCAGACCTTGAGCCTTGCCCGGGGTGAGGACCGTGACGGTCACCGAACACGGCTAAGAAAACCGAAGAGGAAGCAGAGCACCTTGGAACCTTCCCATCTGCAACCTTGGGGGGACCTTGGATACGTGGATGGTTTGGCAGGGAAGGAAGGACCGTACTCGATACGGAGGGGCGGGACCATCTGGGCAAGTACGCGGGTGCAAATGCGCCGCAGGGCCATTGCCCATTCTCCAGACTCACAAGTTGCACCTTCCTGGTTTCCTGGGGCCTTGCGTTACCCTTTCCCTCATTCGCCTTGGCTCCTTCCCAAGTCCAAGACCAAGCAAGTGCCCCCAACAGACTTGGCAGCCGCACACGGGCTGCGGGCAGACACCTCGCACCTCGCACCTCGCACCTCGCACCTTGTAAAGGAGAGAGAGGGGAAAGAAAGAACGAAGAAAGAAAAAAGTTGGCAAGAGTCAAGAACCCCCATGAACACGCGTCTTGAGTGGGAGTGCGCCAGAAAAGAATGGAGAACAAGTGGGACGCGGACCCAGGACCCTTGAAACTCAATTCCACCGTCCCGCGAAAGACACCAAGGACACATAGACGCAAAGACGGCACCGGCTCTGGGAGACTGCCCGGGAGTGTGGCGATTGTGCTGGGAATGGCCTTTCCTCCCATCGAGCCTTGACTCTTGACTAGTTCTGAGCCCCCTACTACAGTCGTAGATCCATCTCCAACTCTCCATGGTTGACTTGACGATTGCAGCTGGGAGAGTCTGAAGTGAGTTTTGAACCCGCGGAAGAATGTTTCTGGAAATGGCGCTCAAGCTCTGGACCTCCCACCTTGTCACTGGTCTTGGGTGCAGCCTTGGCCCAGTTTGTGTGCGTGTCGCAGTCTTGGTTGGAGCGGCTGCTTGAATCGTTTGGTCCAATCCCATTGTCTAGTCTCTTGGTCTCTTGGTTCTTCCTTTGACTTCTGATTGCACATGGCATGCCACCGAAGAAGACATCGAACAGGGCAGGCAGAGACTCTCAAGTCTTACACGACTACGTACAGAGCTGCCCAGGTGGTCTTGTCCTCAAAAGGAACTGTTTCCCTCGGCTACCGTACGCGGTCCCGTCCACCCCGGTCCACTGTCCACCTTGCTCCTGTCCCCTGGTCCTTCCTCCCCGTGCGAGGTGGTGCCAGGTGGTGGCTCATTTAGCGAGCCGAGCTGTTGGGGCGGAACCAGACGAAATTGGCCCGAGGGAAATGGCGCGCCTGTCAAGGCAGCCGGGCGCCGCCAGGGGAGAGAGGGGCAAGGGGGGTGTCGGAAAGCCACAAGCTTGCCGAGCGACGGTCTCCGTTCGAATTCGAAGGTGCTTTGATCTTGGAAGTCCCACGATCCACCGTTAATAACGAGTTACTATACGGATACTCGCGGGAAGATAAATTGATGAATGATGAACACAATCAGACATGTAACGCAACGTAAAGATGATGGACGAGGGGGTTGCAAAGTGGGGGCATTTCGCAAACCGAGGTATGGGGCAGGAAGAGATAGTGAAGACGGAAAGAACGACCACAAGGAATAGGTAATCAGGAAGTAGCCACCAGTCACCAGCGCACCCACGGTAGCAAAACGGGAAACACCGTAGAAATATGGCTAAAAGGCCCAGGCTCCAGCCTCTTGGCTAACGGAAGTTTCCTCTTGGCGCCGCCGACTGCGCCTCGCAATGACCCCACAAAACGTCAACTGCGAACCCGAAGCGGGAGGAGACGATGGACGGCGCCGACTGCCTCTAGCCTCTCATGCCTCTACGATCTATCTACTCCGTACTACCTATCTATCCGTGGCCTCGCGAATACTAATCTACTCATCTATCTAACCTCAGCTCACGGCACGACATTCTATCATCTGAAGGCTGTGCCCGTACTACGTGAGGTGGTTGGCCGAGTAAACAAATCTCCTTGGAGATTGACGCTCTTGATTGAGCGTCACGTCGCAGCAAACTCCAAAACTTTGCTGTTGGGGTGTTCCGGGCTCGGCCTTTCTAACTTTTTCCCTTGCTGCTCTATTTTATCTCTTTCCGTGTTTGCGAGACGAATGAGACGAGGCACACAATACACACCAAACAATTGGCATCCCATCTCTTCGGGTAAGATAGGTAACCTTTTTCCTGCAGGCTGGCTGCACTACTGCTGCGACTGCAGGCCTTCCATTGCGGGATGGTGGTTGCATCCAATTCCTCTCCATTAGCAGGTTCCTGACGCAAAAGCTGCGTGTTTTCCCCGACTCGTTTCCAATTCGGCAACCAGAGTTTCCATACTTTTTCCACCGAGCTCGTGCCAGCCTGCGTTCCAGCCAGCCAGCCAGCCCAGCGAGAGAGTCAGCTCGGTGTTGGCGCTCAGCTGAGTATTTCGCGGCCGATGTGTGTGTGCGCATTCAGCCTGTGGTTGTTGGCTGAATCGCTTGCCTGAGAGCCTTTCCCACGTAGGTATTCAATATCCCCCGGCACAGTGACGCTGCAGCAGGCTAACTAACAGCACCACCACCAGATTGAATTGAAGAAGCGGGAGCGGGCTGGAACTGGAACAGCTGCCATGCTTGTCATCCCAGGAATCTACTCGAAGGAACCCCACTTAACAGCCACGACTAAGGGCCGGGGCCCAGGGGCGTGGTGAACGAAGCAGCAAGGAAAAGGTGCGAGCCTGGCGACGTGCCATCGCCAATGGAGTGAGTGCCACACGAAAAATGTAGGTACCCGGAAGCAAGGCCGCGTACGTAATATCCCGTATCCATGTTCGAGGCCGTTGAGTGGCACAGTGGTCAGTGAGTTGCTAGGTCTGTCATGGGGCTCGCCCGCCCGCGGGTCTAAGAAGTTGATGGGCAAGGGTAGGTAGGGAGACTTGAGAGGGGCAGAACTTATTGGGTCTTGGGAGGGGCGGGGGCCTGGTGCGTCGTTTGGATACAACCATTCGGCCAATTCTGCCAACTCCCAAGAATATCTCACAAAAGTGGTTCGCCTAGACGACGATCTCCTATGCAACTTTTCAAACTTCCTAGCTTTTCCTCACCGTCTTCATTTTTTTGACACTGTGGATAGCCACGTTTGATGGAGAGAAAGACAGCAAAGGGGAGAGAAACAGCGTCATTGCTGTCGCAACTATCCTTGGATTGAATGGGTTCCCATGAAGCCAGAAGCTAAAGCAGCAATCAAAAGTGGGATGTCGCAGGAACATCACAAGACAATCCGAATAGGCGGCATGCAGAGATGCAGATGCCCAGTCGGAAAGCGCAAATCCCATACGCGTGATACGACCGAGGGAGGCAAAAGGAGGGTGCTAATACGCAATTGCGGAGACCTAGCAGAAAGGGGTTTGGTCGTTTTCCGTTTGGCGGCTGGTCCATCATAGATGATGATGCTCATCATTCTCCTCCTCAGCTCTTACTATGCCCCCTCTCTTCACAGGCTCATAGCCGTGGCGGTGGCATGCTTGGCTCCAGCGTTTTGTCTCCTCGACTCCTGTTGGTCAACTTGATCCCATCGAGCCGTAGTTCCTGCAAGCTGCGGCATCATCCAATTCGGATGGCGTAGGGGGGCCGCGGGCATGATATTGGCGTGTGAGCTAGAGCTGCTGCTACTTTGGAGAGACACTGAAAGTTGGAGAAAGGCATGCTGTCCAACACGCCATTACCAGCCTTTGAATGTACGCCTTCCCAGCATTGGATTGGCGCGCAGAGGTTCGCGTGCTGGATACAACACTAAACGTGGTTTCTGGGCCTGGGCCCAGAATCCCGTCCGATCGAGATTGGACTCTGGACGGTCCAAGATCAAGGAGCCTGGGGTCTCCACTCGGCAACCGTTTGATTGGCTCCAGGCAACGGCACACCCTCGCTTCAGTCACGAGCTCTCGGATTAACTCGCATTGTTCCTCGCGAACCTCGGATTAACCTCCGATGGGTTTCTCCCGTTTAGAGAGGTGGAGAGCTCCCGATTCCATTTCTGTCCCCACTCCTCAGGAATAACCTTGTCTCTCCCCAGACGGTAAGTCTGCTGACTAAGGTTTCAAGCTGTTTCGGTCGCCACCGCTGCTGGTCATCATTCTTCCCTCACACACAAAATCGCCCGGCCGAGTCGTCTAATAATGGTTATCACGGCACGGCCGACGTCTACGTTTGGCAAGATGAAGCACAATATTACCCCCAAAAAGAACAGTGTTCTCGAATCAGCTATTCTTCATCCCGATACCCGAGTTGATTCATCTGCTCGCCATTTGACCCTAAAATTTTGCACTCCCAAGAACCATCATTTCAGATGAAGGAAAACTGTATTGCAGTGAAACTAAAAGCTGACTCGGCCCAGAAACAATCGGCCTTCGTCCGAGTCACGTGGAGTCAGATCTCTTGTCATCCCGTCTACCGTTTTGGGACGAAAAATAAGATCCAGACACGGGCAGATACCAATTTCGTTTTGTTTTGCCTCATATCTAGACGATCCAGGGGAGGTGTACCAAAAGAACAAGAACTAGGGAAAAGGCAAAATCCCGTCGGAACGAGCTGTACACGCGAACATCAGCAAAGTTTGAATCTGCATTATCGCCGAGTTTGCCAAAATAGCATCCATCCATCTATTGCGTATCTATCTATTCATTGTTGAGGAAGACCCCTCCCCGCGGAGCCAGGGTTCCACCATCCGTCCAGGCCCTCACGGAACCGGATACTTGGCAATCAGCGGCATCGGACCGATCACCGACGGTACCTTCAGAAAACCCCGGGTCCCCGACCAGCTAATCAGTGACACCCCATCCGCCCGCCATGTCCGCGTATGATGAGCGTGAAAGCGAGCACAGGTACGACTACGAGCCGCTCTCGTCCACTAGCACCGGCAGCAGCAGCGGCGGCGGCGACAACAATGGCGCCTTCAGGCTGCTCCTGCTTGAGCCCTCCTCCGCCCGCGCAGACCAACTCAGGGGATCCCTACGCAACACCACCCTCGCCGAGTGCGACTACGACCTGATCGACCCGTACACAGCCCTGTCGTACGTATGGGGCACGTCAGAAAGGGCATGTCGGATCCGACTCGTTGATGACGGCGGCCGTGGTCATCTCTTCGCCATCACAGCCTCCCTTGACGACGCCCTGCGCGACCTGCGCGACTCCACGCGTGTGAGGAGGGTCTGGGCCGACGCCCTCTGCATTGATCAGGATAATGTTCATGAGCGCAACGCTCAGGTGACGTTGATGGGGCGCATCTACTCGACCGCTCACAGCACCGTCATCCACCTCGGCCATCTCACGCCCGACGTTGCTGAAGTGTTTTCCGTACCCCGCGATTTCGCCCCCGAGCCCGAGACGGCAGACGGCGAAAGGACCGCCGTCGCCGCGATAGGGGGAGAAGGAGGGGGGCCTTGGAGCCTGCTGTCCAAGACGTGGTTTGAGCGCGTCTGGGTTTTCCAGGAGTTGGTCCTGTCGAGAGATCCCTGGGTTCAATGTGGCAGCCGGCGGATACGATGGCGTGAGTTTTGCGCCTACTTTCTCGGTGGCGGCTCGGGCTCATCTCCAAGGTCGCAGAATGATGAGGAGAGGCAGCGCGTCCTGGCAGATATGAACTCGAGCTGGGCCAGCCAGTCGAGGCTCCCCCTCCACCGCACCATCAAGGCGCGTAGAGGTCTAGGCGCTACGAACCCGGCCGACTTCGTCTACGCCACGTTTGGAATCGTGAGTGATCTCCAGACTGTCGAGCGGTACATCACGGTCGATTATGACATGTCGGTTGGCCGTACGTTTGGCAAAGTTGCCGAGTACATGTTTTACGAGCTCGGTGTTGAGCAGATGATGTTTCACGTAGACGATGCTCCCGCTTCTAAACGAGTAGAAGGTCTTCCTTCCTGGGCGCCAGACTGGAATCTCGAGGCTTCTTACACAAAGAGGAATCCTTTGTGCATGGTCCAGGACAACAGTCTGAGCCAGATCAGGGTGAAGAAGGGAGTCCATCATACCTTTACTCAG